CTTTGACCATGAGTTTAGCTGTTTAGAGAGTGTTGCGACCTCAATCATTTCATCATCCCTTTCCGCAAATACGTTCAAGACTTTGGCGAGGTTCTCCCGACCTTCCCTATCTTTGAAAAAGCCAAAAAGAGAGGCTATGCTGTGGAATGTGCGCTCAAATAGATCGTCACTCTTCTCCATCACACAGAGGGGTAGAAAATGGACAAGAATCTTCAAAATCTCACTCTTTGCCTTCGGACTGACTCTGCGTGAAGGTTGATCCAACATGAATACCGATATATCGACCAAATGAGTAGTTTCGGTATCGCCAGAAACGTATGGTGCAATCGCAGCGATAGTTTCGACAGCTTGTTCGAGAACTTCTTTGCCTGGGCTTTTGTGTAGAATCTCTCCAGTGTTGACGATAAAAAGATCCACATTCGGTCGAATTAGCCGCTCCTTGACCGCCTGTGAATTGTCCTCCACCTCCATATCCTCCTCTGGGTTTACAAATGCGACAATATTTCCCACAAGGTTGAGGATAAATAAAACAACCTCATCCTTAACCTGCTTGCTCGCTAAGCATTGAGCAATCTTTGGAAGAACTTGGTTATTATAATCTGAAAGAAATAGGACAGTGCTTCTTGCTTTTGTCCAAGTAAATAAGAGCTGTAGTAGCCCGGATAGACCCTGTGATGTCTCCACCGGAAGATTTTCAAGCCTTGGCTCCACAAGCTCCTGGAAGAGCGCTGGTATGTAGGGTGCCCATCTAAAATTTGGGCAGTTTGTGAATAATGCGATCAAGGATTTGAATCCCCCTTGCCGAATCGCCTTCGAAACTTTAAGTGATACCGAATCTTCATAAGTAGGCTGCTCAACTGTAGCTTCACCTATATTCTTTGCCGCAGAAACCAGACAGTATAGCAGTGCGTCCATAACTTTCGGTATGTAATCGAACATTGTAGATCCAAGTTGTTTCATCATGTCTTCCACCATCCTCACAAAACCAACTTGTTTCCTTGTTGAGACATGAACCGATCCAATTGCATCTGGCCGAAGAGCATATCGTTCTGGGTCCGACTTATCAATGAACTTAGCCTCTGCCAACTCACCGAGCGCGATATCGATATACATATCCCTCTCCTGTGGTTGAAAGTTTGCAAGAGATGCCAAAACCACTGTTCGTTTACTCACCATTCCTTTCTTGCCGCTTGATGCGTTTTTGCGCGACAAACTACGGCCGTAGAGGATCCGAAGTAGCACTGGCATTAGTTCTTTACGGTGATTGGTCTGAATCATTGACTCCTCCTCTTCTACCTGCACAAACTTTGTCACCTCCTCCCTGAAGTGGGTATCATCCAGTAGGTTGTTGAGATTATCTTCATACACGCGGATTGCGGGAATTTTCCATGTGAATACACATTTTAGCGCTAATGTTTGAGACGTTACATCACCGGAGGCCAGAAGATTGAGGAGTGCGGAATACACTAGCTCGGATTTGAAGAGAGAACGTGGGTTGACGAATTTGGCAAAAAGTTTAAGCATAGCAGCTCGGTCTTTCCGCGACCATTTCATTGGAAGTTTCTCCCCCGGGACTTCCTCTTCCTCAGCTACGTCTCCGTCGTCCATTCGTGTCCATTCCAAAAACATCGGAACTAGCTGTCGGCCCCTCTTTTCGGCGATTCTAGGAATTTCGCAGAGAACCTTCAAGGCCTGAGTTCGAGCTGTAACTGCAGATAGAGGGGCCATATGAAGTTCCTATCCACAGTTAGTTTAACAATAATCAAAAAATAACACTAAATAAATCTTACTTTTTCAAACACAGAAGCAAGTATAATACTAGCATCTATATTTTCCGTCATACATCTCTTAGAATCCACCTCCACTACTCTCATGTTACTACACTCATAGCTTGTCCATGGATTTGATGCCACAGGAGCCTCTGACTTCACATCCTCCCCTTCGCTCTTCAAAGAAAGCCACGAAAACGCCAACTGCGCCACAAGTTCCTCTTCAACTTCAGCAACCTTTGCCAAAACAAGCGCCGAGTCGTCCCACGCGGGCGCGAAATTAAGTGTGAGAAGCCCAAAACAATAGTAGGGTACGATTCTCCTCTCCCACGAATCCTTTGAAACGGACGGGTATTCAATTCCGAGCCGGCGGATGTACATTGAGATGGTGCGGGCATTGTTTATTGCGAGAGGTGTGTCCTCAATTAACTTTGCTGTGTTTATGATCTCCGACACTTGGGATGTAGGATTCTTATACGCATAAAGTATCTCCAGACAACGCAATGAAGATGTGCGAACCTCATGGCTAGGTAGTAGAAGATTCGTTATCAACTTTGTCACCATTTCCTTCATATATTCCTCGTCAATAGATTCTTTGAAAATGGATACCAATGCAAAATCGACAACTCCTTGTAGAAAAATCATGTTATCACCCAGCTTCGGGAAGGCTTTACAAGTACTTCCCACAAGCGATTTTGTCTTTGTCCCCTTGCCACGAGCATATATGCTCAGTGCCTTTCCGATCAACGGGGTAAATATAACACTTCTTTCCGTAGGAAGTATCTTTTGTAGAAGACGCCCAAGGCTCTCGATTGAGTCTGCCGGTATGGTATGTGGGAGTGATAGAAGCACATCAAGATACTTCCACATGTTAATTACTTCTGGGCTCTTACTGTCAAGAATATTTGATGATTCAATGGCATTGTCGAGGTCCCGGATCGCAGTTTGGGCTGCTATCGTGAGGGGCGATTTTGGTCCGAGGATATCAAGAGTAGAAACCTCTTGGTCTTTAGAGGGTGTGAGGGAACCTGTTGTTGCGAGTCTAGGTATTAGGATGGAGAGGGCAGAGGAGTGGGAATTCCATTGCGATAAAATAAATCTAGTACAAACTTATCAGTGCCTGGTATGCATTAATCAATGGAATGGGTATTACCTTTGGAAATATGGTAATAAGAAAATCTTGAACCGTTCTGAACCCATAGCGGAGAAAAAGTCGCAAAATGGCAAGAACAGAATCCCCTTCTGAAAGTCCCTCGCCTTATCTACGACTTTTCCACATCTCGATATTACAATCTCTAAATCAGCTTGCTGCAGGATCATGGCAGAAGCTTTCAGCGCCTCCCATACAGCTTCCTTCAATTCTTCTGTTTGCTCCTCTTCTTTCAATGAAGTTCCAACCTCTAAAATGTAGGCAGCGGCTATAGCAGTCTTTTGCCAGTCCATTATCCTACAACCCTTCCTCACTGTAACTACTGTATATAACAATGTGGCCGCCATTCTAACTCTTTTAGGAGTTACCGAATCCGCATCGAGTAATTCGGCGAGAAATTCGTAGACAACGGTCAGTGCGGGTTGGAAGGTCTCTGGAGTGGTATGATGCATCAATGAGATTAACACGCCTTCACAAACACTGAAGCAAGGCCCAGATGTGTCCGAGAGCTCCAATGAGATATCGAGCATTGTTCGGAGTATTTGCGGTCCTTTCGAATGGAGTGTTCGATCCACACTCTAGAAACTCATTAGAAACTGAGAACTATTCCAAAATAAAGTGGTGAGGATTGACATACTACACAAGACTCTTGAAACATATTCATGAGACCTTGTCGGTAACCCTTCTCTCCATGATTTCCACCGCACTTAATCAGATCCTCGAATACATGTCGGATAATTAATCGCAACGGTTCTTCTTTCGCCTTCCTAAGCAGGAAACTCAGTGCCTCTGCTGCAAACCTTGTGATAAAGGTCTTCTGTTGCTCCCTTCCTAGAAGTGGCGCAAGAATGTCAAATAGCGGCCTTAGATCCGGTACTAGTAGCCTTGACAGATACTTGAGCAAGTAAGCGAGACAGTTAAAGGTCCATTCAATAGTGGATACATCTGCGTGCTTCGCAACTAGGCTGCCCAATAAGGTGACCGAGCGCGCAAAATAAGGCTCGAATGTTGCGCCCAGGTCGTGCGCGAATTGAGAGAGCAGGCTTAAGAGCGGTTCGAGTGCTAGGGCGTCTCTGCGATCGATATATTTGACAAGCAGCTCGAACAACTCGTCCTTATAATGTAAAATATGTGGAAGTGATTCGGAGAGTGGGATGGCCTCTCGGGAGAACTCGGTGAAAGTGGTTGAGAGATTGAGATCTACCCATGATTCTAGAGAGCTGTGGAAGAATGACTTTTCCGTTTCTTCGTCATCAACATGGCGGCGTACTCGTCGAACGGGGTCAATTTTTCTAAGAGGAAACAAACTATCAGTTATCTCTCCAACCGAGCCGACTGGATTGACTTTGAGGTGTGGTTTTACAAATTCGCAATTTTTTGCGTGAATGATTGGAACTTTTGCGCGAAGCCGTCAGTAAACCTCTGGTTAGCTAGGACACTTAGAACGTACCGAATGATTTCTCTTTGACTGAGTCCCGCCCTTCTTCGAGCCCGACGCTTTTGGCTTGCCCGACGACATCGTAGCAACGCTCTGTTACTGATGTTTATACCTCGTTGGTTTGTTTTCGGAGGTGTCTAAGATGAACAAAATTTATTGAGGCTCTACATGAAATCTTGGCACGGTGGTGGGGTTTAGCCTCATTCAGGATATGCAGGTGATTGGGTGGCGGTGAGTCGCCATCTGAGGCTGATACTTCACCCCGCTATTAGAATTTTTCTGCAGCAGGAAAGTACCTAAAAAAAGAAATTACATATACTTACATGTAGGTATCCTCCTCAAAGATTCACATTTCTTTAGCTGCATTTGACACTACTGAGGTTCTTAAAGTTTTATCAGAAATCTTGGATTAGCTAGCCTTAGCGTCACGAGCCTTCACGAGTGATAATCAATGATGTTGGCCACTCAGGACTGATCCTATGTAAATGCCGACTACGTAGGACTTGAAAAGTTTTCTTCTAGACAGAGATCTACCCTGTTCATATGAATAAAGTTTAAAAATGAAACTAAGAAACTATTTTTTATGTTTTACATGTCAATTTTTTTTTCCCAAATCGAGAACCCTTAAACTCCCTTCCTGCCCTTAGATAAGTTGAGCAAAAGCCCTGTTGATAGGGCTTCTGATGGGGGTGACCTCCTTCCAGAATTCGATGGTTGCAATAGCACGCTTAGAGATTCCCTCGGGAGTGAATTCGAATTTAGCGTACACGTCCTTGTAAGGTCCGGAAGCACCGAAGCGGTTGAGACCGAACTGCTCGTGAGAATACTTCTCCCATCCCTGTTTCACGTGTTAGTTGATATCCCACCAGGATGTATGAAGAATTCTTACAAGAGTGGTCATCACTTCAACAGACAAGATAGGGATTCCATCAGGAAGGACGGAAAGCTTGTATTCCTTCGGCTGGGCATCGAAAACCTCCCAACAAGGAAGGGAGACAACACGGGCAACAACATTGTGTTTCTCCTTCAAGTATTTGACAGCGTCGATGCAGATACCAACCTCAGAACCAGTAGAGATCAAAGTAACTTGGGCACCCTCAGACTCGACAGCGACGTATCCTCCCTTGATGGCACGCTCAATGGTGGAGTTTTCAAGCTGAGGAAGGTTCTGCCTGGACAAAGCGATAACGGAGGGGGTGTGCTTCGAGATCAAGGCAATGTAATAAGCGGCCGAGGTCTCGTTGCCATCAGCTGGGCGCCAGACCATGCAGTTGGGTAGGGCACGGAAATGGGCAAGGGTCTCGATAGGCTGGTGAGTTGGTCCATCTTCTCCAAGTCCGATGCTATAGCTTTATTAGTTTCAAACTCAACGGCAAGAGATTCAATTGAACTTACGAGTCATGGGTTGAGACATAGATGACGCGGTGGTGAGACAGGGCAGACAGCCTTAAAGCACCAGCGGCGTAGGAAACAAAGTTCAAGAAGGTTCCACCATAAGGAATGATGGTTCCATAAGCGGCAAGACCGTTCATAATAGCAGCCATACCGTGCTCACGGACACCATAGCGGATGTAGCGTCCAGACCAGTCACCGAGACCAGTAGAGGGGGGCTGGAAGTCAACAGCCTCTTTGGCACGAGTCAGGTTTGAGCCAGTCAAATCTGCGGAACCACCGACCAGCTCAGGAATGATAGGGTAGAGTTTCTGAAGGATAGTCTCAGAGAGTTTGCGAGAAGCAATGGCAGGGTCAGTAGATTTGTACCTAATGTAAAGTTAGAATCACATAGACTTGAACTTTCACAAGAGCAGGGCATGTACGTAGGTAGGGCCTTCTCCCATCCTTCAGGAAGTTTACCAGCCAATCGCCTAGCAAGATCCTTACCCTCCTCTGGGTACTCCTTCTGGTACTTGGCAAAAAGTTGGTTCCACTCCTCCTCAGCAGCGGCACCCTTTGCGGCGGTCTCGCCATAGTGCTCGTACACTGCTGATGGAACATCAAACTTCTTTTCGGGGTCAAATCCAAACTTCTCCTTGATGCTCTTGATATCATCGGCTTTAAGGGGAGACCCATGGACTTCGTGAGTTCCCTGGAGCTTAGATCCATAACCAATGGTGGTGGTAAGCTTAATAATTGTGGGCTTGTCCTTGACAGTCTTCGCCTCAGCAATAGCGGCATCGATTGCGGAAAGGTCATTGTCACCGTCAGTGACATGGATACAGTGCCAGCCGTATGACTCGAATCGCTTCAAGACATCCTCAGTGAATGCGCAGTTGGTATTACCATCCTAAACAAATTCTTAGTAAGATTCATAAGTTTTCTTTAATCGGGAGAAGCTCCGTACAATAGAGATATGGTTGTCGTCATAGATACCAATCAGGTTACCCAACTGCAGGTGACCGGCGGTAGAGGCAGCCTCAGAAGCAATACCCTCCATGAGACATCCATCTCCGAAGAACATATATGTGTAGTTGTCAACCAAGTCATACCCAGGCTTGTTGTAGATAGCAGCGGTGTGTGCCTGGGCGATGGCAAGACCTACAGCATTGGCGAAACCTTGACCAAGGGGACCGGTGGTAACCTCAATACCGGGGGTATCGGCCTATTGATATTGTTAATTATTTTCAACCTTCTGAGTTGCCCAAAAGATATCTTACAGCTTCGGGGTGACCGGGGGTCTTGGACCCAACTTGACGGAAGTGCTTCAAATCGTCCAAAGAAAGGTCATATCCGAACAAGTGCAACAATGAGTACTGGAGCATGCATCCGTGACCATTTCTTTATTATTGAGTTAGTACTATTAAGTAATTTAAGAGAACTCAAAGGAACCACGCAAAATAATAGAAACAAAAAAAATTTAAAAAAAACCAGTAACTGCGTAAGACATCGGAAGAATTGTGTACAAGGAGGACTCACGAAAGGACAAATCGGTCTCTGTTAATCCAGTCAGGGTTCTTAGGGTTGAATCTCATGAACCTATTGAAAAGAACGTGAGAAACCGGTGCCATTCCCATAGGAGCACCAGGGTGCCCTGAGTTTGCATTTGCAACAGCATCAGCCTATTCAAACGTAATTATTAGTATTCAGAAATTGATTTTTGATTTCTACTTAAGAAGTTCTCTTCTTAAGGTTTGTTTCAAGCAAAACACAGTATAGATATTGTATTAGAGGGCTAAGGTGGGGTAAAACAATTATAATGAAGTATCAACTTACAGACAAAACACGAATCGTGTTGATGCAAAGATTGTCGAGCTCTCCGTAAGACATCGTGAAAAAAATAGGTATAAAGCTGGTATCTTAAAAGTCTATCAAAGGTATCCGCTGAGGTCGAGTAGAATGAGATGCGTCGAGCAAGATAAAACAGAGGGGTTGCGGAATCTGGTGCGGTACAAATGCGAATAAGCCCCACTACCGGTAAAATTCGAATTGAGGGGAGTTTACGCTACCTGCGTTTGAACTAAGCAAGGATGATAACCCTATACCCTAGCTGAGTGAATTCAACCAGTCCGGTATTAAAGAAATTAATTTCTATGAAAGTATGTAAAAAAAGAAGTACAAAAACTAATTTGAAACATTGTATTTACCCTATAAGATTCCGGATTCGATAGATTGTTTGAATCGAGTGATCTTTCATGAACCGGATAAATGCTGGAAAGCCCCACACGGAATAAAAAGCACACGTGGGATGGGCCCGGGAATTATTCCGAGGGGCCTAATTCCGCTTTTCACAACTCCGGCGGCCGGCCTTTTGTGACAAATTTTCAAATTTCCATGACAGACAAGCGCCTGTGGCCATCTAACAAAGCCTTTCTGCATCGTTGACAAATACTAATGAGAGTAGTGATAAAAATTTTATTCCGATGGGATTTTTAAATTCTCTAGGTAAAATTCCCTTAGTTTGGTGTTTAATCATAGACCCTGCAGCGGAGAAAAGATTGATATCCAACTACAGCGGGGGGGGGGGAAATTATTGTAGAAGTATGGGAAGAGTCCCATTGGCCGAGTCAGCTACTTAAACCCTGTTTTTAGACCCCTGTTTCTACAATAATTCCCCCCCCGCTGTACATATTGGCCAAATCCTGGGTGCCTAATCTGTACCTACATCCATCCAAACTAGAGGGGTCTAATTCTAGAGTAGCACCTTTCGCATAGCATCGTATTCCTAGACGTAGCATTTACTTTGTGCAAGTGGTAGGATGTGACGTTCTCGAATAATTCTACCTCATGCTACAATACTAGACTAATGGTGCTAATTTACAGCATGTCTATAGCATGTTAAAACACAACATAATCCCCATAGTGTTTCCGGTAATTATAAAGTGACGACTTCTTTCACCAGACACCCAAACAGATAACGAAAAAAAAATTGTGATTAAAGTCATAAAACAAAGAAAAGAGAGAAAAAAAGCTCCAGTCCAAAATACAACGCGTCTGACAAACCATGAAGTACGACTAAATATAGAGTGATTTCAAGCAACATTCCCACCCATCTCCCCCAATAATGCCATAGGAGACTGTTGGCTACTTCCAACTGACCCTCCGCCTATATAGAAGCATGGTATATCCTTCCAGCAATCAATGCATAGAGGTCGTGGAGTTTAGAAATGCTGCCCTCTTGGATGCTCTTGGGTGTATTGCCTGCACTCTTCCCGCGGTATGAGGGGTGGCGAGTTGAAAACGAAGGGTATTTCTCAAAAGTAAAAAACAAAAAGAAAGAAAAAACAATGAAAAATTCGAGATTTTGTAGCTGGTGTAGCTTATGGGAATTTTTTTATAGAAATGATGAAGTTATAGTCTTGTTAGTTACCTTACCGGGATTCGAAAGAGCGATAGAAACCCGATCGCGAGGAATGGAAAGTCCGGGATCGAAGGCGTCGATAATTGTATTGTGCATTGCTCCAACCAAAAACAATTGTGTTTTGAGAAACGTTCCAGAATCTACGATGAATCAAAAGGAAGGTTATATTGCATGACTCAAACAGCACCTGTATTGGTAGAAATTTGGATGGTATGCTGTTGATGATGGAGCTGCCCAAACGCCAAGTAGTGATCCCGGGAAACAGAATAAAGGTAGAAGAGGGGAAATGAAAGAAAATGATATGGTTATCGAGGATATCCGCAGCCTAATGTGTCATGAACAGCAATGCCGAATAATCAGAACCTATACGTCCACGAGCGGCATTGTCGTGGGCAAACTAAGCCACCATGCAGGAAATCCCAACCATGCAAAACCGTCTTTAGAAGTACCGTGCAAAGGCAATACAGCCCCCCAAGAATGTGAAAGGATGTGAGAAATGTGGGTATTTAAAAAGGAAAATCAAAATAACGATGGGGTGAGGAATCTCGCACGATATTAAGCAACAAGCACTAAGCTTGTACGACAGTTTGCGGGTGCTGTAATTGTTGCCTTTTTGCGTCGTGGCCAATCGATTCCTAGATATGCGACGAAGAAGCTTAGTAAATCCCATCATAAAACTAGTGCCGCCATTTGTCATTTCATCCGCGTTAGGGGAGGAGTTCTTGCGCGATATTTTCAGCGTAATAGTTTTTGGAATCTGACAAGGATCTCGTAGCTTCGGTAGCTTTTGTCCCGTAGAGCCTCATTTTAACATGACCGCCTTCGCTAAGCTCAAAGCCGACGCCTTTCTACCCCCGTGATATTTTCTTTTCTTTCTCCTCCCCTTTCTCGCGGAAAGGCAAAAAGCAAACACAGTATTTTAGCCGGTTCATACGTACCTCGTCGGCATTTCTTTTCTTTCCGTTGCCATTAGCCACAGTGTTGACTTTCTTCTTGATTATCTTCTTTTTAGTTTGCTTCACGGGTTTCGTATCTCCAGCATGGAAAACATCATCAGGCAACTCATAGCTACGCAGCGAATTTAATTAGAATACGGTCGCCAAATGCCCCAATATTATTAGAGAAGGAGATGGTTGTGCGCTTACTTGCGAGTCAAGGCAATATTGATACTCTGTTCTTCAACATTGTAGTGCTCCGAGCTCTTGCACATGTCGTAAAATTCTTGACTAGCCCAAGAGATATCGATCTGCTTGGAAATTTCTGCGAGAGATGAGTATTTTCCCCCCTGCAAATAGTGATTTCTATAAATGTAGACTTACCACTGTTGATCTCTAGGCCGATGTAGTAAGTAGTTGTGTAGACCTTTATTTTTGAATCGTCTTCTTCCTTTGACTCGCTATCCCCATTTTGGTCCTTGAGGTCGGTCTCGGCCGTCTTTACACCGTCATGGATGCCCACGCTCCGGATTTCTCCATGGGCAACACTAATTGCTTCCTCTTCAGTAGCACAGAAGTGAACTTTGTCGAATCCTCTATTGAAGGGGTGGGCAAGTTTGATTGTTTCAATCTGTTCAAGTTTCATCACAAGATGACGTAACTTGGATTCCACAAGTCCGGACCTGCCTAAGATTAATTGGTGTTTTTAGGAAGACTTTTAGTTATATCATACCATCCTAGCAGTTGCTCCTTGCCCTTGGCCGAGGCGATGACGCTCAAATAGTAACGATAACCATTGGTGAAAAAGCTATGACGTTCGAATAGGTTGTCCCAGCTAGAAGTACCTACCATGATCCTATTTACGACTTCATTTGCCCTGGCCATCTCGCGTATTATGATCGTTTTAGTGGATTTAGTGATATTATGTGTCGCGCACATGCTAGGATACGCGGGTGTAATGATAGGCATCAGATGACTACGGTCTGAAGCGTAGATCTAGTAGACACACGACTTAAAGGCTGCGCACTTTCTATAGAAGAGATAGACATACCTTTGGATTCCATACTCGCACATTCAAAGGTCCATCTTCAATACCTTTCAAAAGAACAGGTTGCGGCCAGGTCCAGCTGCCCATAATCTTGAAGAATTTACTTATAATGACCGAGCTGACGGCCATTGGATAGAGCTGACAGATTCTGGCAACCAACATTGCCCAAGCAACACCACCGGGGAAGCCAATCACATTGCCATAGATGGCACGTCCTGTACATAATTAGATAATTTTTTATGGCAACAGGGGAAGAATCTCACTTTTCGCCCACAGCTTAATAGCTCTTAAAGCCATTTTAAACACTCCCGTTTTAGGTACCAAAGCAAGAATTTCATCGGTAACTCTGCATCCGTTCAGACAGCGCAAATTAACCTCGTCACATCCTCTCAGGAGCTCTTTGTCATTCAAAACCATATCCCGCGGTACTGAATTGATGTTTGGCAGGCGAGCAAAAATTAGATCTATTGAAATCCCCTGGAGTTCGAATTTGATGATGGGAACATAGGCATCGGGGACTATTGAGAGGTCTTCCGGCGGCGGATTCAGCTCCTGGAGCATAGGCGGCAGAGTGGTGAAGAAGTCATGTCGGCTGATATGGGCAGGCGTAACAAGAAGTGTATCAATGTCAGATCCTGTATTAAAGCAACAAGATTAATAACATTCAAAACGTGTATAAAAGAATAACTCCGGAACCTGAAATGAGTTACCTGGCCCATATACCCCCAAACGGTAACTCCCATAAGTAAAAATCTTTCCACCAGAATTCTTCACAATATGCTCCGGCATGCCCTTCCCGACGCATACTTTCCTCACAAAATTTTCGGTTAATGACTGAAGCGCAACCAAAACTTGCGTTCTATATTTGTTTTTAGCTAGACGTAAATCTCGAACTGGCAAGCGCGCTTTTAACGTACCTTTTCGCGCTCTCCTCTTGGCTCTCAAAACTGTCCTGCTTTTTGAGCTCTTCGATAAGTGTCTGGTTGCGCTCGACCTCTTTTTCTGTAGGTCCAGCCACAGTGATGGGCGGCGTAACTCCGTACTGCTTGGGTTGTCTGCGCACGAATGTCAGAGTAGTTATAATAAGAGCACCTTAATGGGCACACCCATATGTCGGCAGGAGGTTGCATACTCGGACATGTTGATTCACCGAGGCCAATAAAGGTACCGCTGGGTGAGAACTGGAAAGGAAAGCTCTATAAAGCGCGTGGAGGAACGAATCGCACACGCTTGAATACTGTTGTGGTTGTTGATGTTGCGTAGCTGCGTGTTTGGAGAGGAGGGTCAGTGAGGTTCAAGATCTATCAACGAGTCGATCCAGAAGGAGATAGACACGCTAGTTAAATCTTTGTTCAAGCCACGTATTCTTTGTCAGCAGTCACCGCCACACCGGTAGCTTACATGTGCTCAACACCCAACGACACGATAGCTCCTAGGAAACAATCATTCACTTCATCAATTCACCTACCTTCAACACATACCCTTCCCAACCCAAACCTTCGACATAACCCACAGAATCCTTAAAATATGTCTCACTTCCCTGCCCTTGAAGACTTCGACGAAACCCCTGTTGGCCAGTCCGGAGCCACCCCTATAGATCTGGGTCTCGGCGACGACGCTGATGATTTCATTAGCCGCGAAAACAAACTCCTAGGGGATGAAGCCAGAAACTTCGCTACTGCTGATGATGACAATTTGCTTGGTGGCGGAGAAGCCGATCCTGCGAATCAGTTTACAAGGAACTTTCCGGACATGGCAACATTCGATAATAACGAGGTGCGACCCATAGTCTTCCGTTAGGCTGTTTAGCACATATGAGCTAATGATGGCTTTCATAAAGATGATTGGACCCGGAGGTGTCATTACTGGAACATCCGAACCGTACCTTCCCGGCCATAACACATATTCCGGGATGACCATGGAGACGGAAGAAGAACCCGAAGTCATTAGGTTACTCCTCTCTCTTGCGTTACTCTGATGGAAAAAACGACTGATTTAAAATTGAGCGAAACTTAGACAATGGCGCGAACGCCAAACTCTTGAGATCCAGCGCCGCGACGAGCAGTCAGAGGCACGCAAGCGTGAAACTATAGAGAAGGCCCAGGGCGCTGTAGATGATTTCTACGAGAACTACAATTCCAAGCGCGACAAAGCTATCGAGCAGACCCGGTTTGTCAAGTCTCATGCTAGAATATGTGCTTTTTTCCCTTGGCCATAGACTGATTGTTCCTCCGATGAATAGCAAAGAAGCACAGGAGTTCTTGGACTCCCGTGAAAATATGACTTCTGGTGGTACCGCTTGGGAAAGAATTGCTAAACTGGTCGATTTGACTGAAAAGGGTGCCCGCTCTGGAAAGAGCGACAAGTCAAGGTTTCGGGAGATGCTTCTAAGCTTGAAAAAGGATGAAAAAGTGAGATATTTCCCACCTTCCCTTGATGTAAACCTAACTAATATATTTATGTATAGGCGCCTGGTGCTAGTGGATTTTAGATGACTTGTTTTATATAAAAAGTAGAATGGAATAATATGGCTGATTCCCATAGTTCAGTGAATATTTCAGTAGCTTTGGGTCTTACGTGCAGTTCGATGGAGAGGGCAAAAGTAATCTTTCTAGGCGTTGATGCATTATTTGTGTACACACTTCTTTCTTGTTGTCCTGGCGCTAGTGCGATACACCTACTTCGCTCCCCACTTCAAAGCTTTTTCTAGGAGCTTCCAAGGGCAATTGGGTTCCAGATTCTTTGATGAACTTCCTCGACTCTATACTTGGATCAAACCAAAGCTTGATACCACGATCTGCAGGGCTAGCAACCAACTGTGTCTGGAATCTTTGTAGATTTGGATAATTTAAGAGCTAGGTGCAAGCCCTCGAAATTTGACTTATTCATGAATTATCACTCGAGACCTCTGCAAGCTGCATTGTAGACTAGGGAGCTTCATTTGAGATAAGTATCAAGCTGATACTAATCCTAGATGCTCATATGAATCAGATTTCGAACATGGTCACCTTAAAATATACATGTATGTATTCAATTTGTTATCTCTCCGTTTCAAGTTATTAAGAATTCAATGCAGGGTAACTCCACATCTCTGGTTACCCTGTACAACTACACGTCATGCACACGTGTAGTGCGCTTGAAGTCGGTGAAGCTACCAGAATACTTAGGTGCATACTCTTGAAGCTTCCCCATGTCTCTTGAACCCGGATCTCGAATACCGTCCCCCTTGAGCTCCGGCCGCTCTTCGCCACAGCCGCGATTACGGCTTCGGAACGATGATGGTTAGTATTCTAGTGAATAAGTGCTAGCAACACATGTATACAGCTAATAAGCCCAATTCGGTACAGATATTACCAGGAAAGATCCGAAATACAAACGGTATTCTGCAAATATCGACCGTGCACTTTCGTTATTTGAGAGCTATACTTTACAAGAATGGGCAGATTACATATCATTTTTAGGGCGGCTACTAAAGGTTACTTCCGGAAACCATATACTAAATTCATTTGTTTCTGAAAACTGGAACCTGACAATGCAGGTGAAAATAACAGGCATTACAATCAAATCCTTCGCTACCACTTATACCCTCAAAGAACCTTATCGCAAAGCGACTCGCTCAATGTCTTAACCCTCAACTACCATCTGGCGTCCACCAAAAAACAATCGAGGTTTATTCATACATCTTCAACATGATCGGGCGCGAAGGATTGGCGCAAGATTTGTCATTATGGACGCCTGGATTAATGCCAGTACTTTCGTATGCATCTTTGACTCTCAAGCCTCATTACCTCACCCTTTTGGAAAGATTTTACCTACCACTTTCCACCTCATTACGACCGGCGCTCAAGAGCCTTATTTTATCATTACTTCCAGGAATAGATGAGGAAGGAGGTGAATATTTTGATAGAACACTGGCTTTAATGGATGGAATCAGGAATGGGGTTGGGGATGATGCATATTTTTGGCAGTGTTTTTTATTGGCTACTATCACTAGCCCAGGAAGGCGCCAGGGAGCGTTAGCATTTTTGGGCAGAAGACTCCCAACACTAGACGAGGCAAAGAAAATGGAAGCTCCAGAGGACACTCATGACATAGCTTTGGACGATGGTAAAGGTAGTGAAGCAGAGGCTTTGGTAAACCCTGAGCCAGGTCTCCTTGTACGAGCATTCTGTGCTGGGTTAGGTGACGAGCAGCTATTAGTTCAACGTGGATTCCTTGATTTGCTGGTTGGATCTTTGCCTCTTTCTTGTAGGATTCTCCAAGAGAGGGTGAGCAAGCCTGATCTCGAGTTACTGGTGACTTTAGCAGCCGGAGTAGTGTTAAGGAAGGACATGGGCCTGAATCGAAGGCTTTGGGCGTGGTTTCTGGGGCCAGATGGCCAGGACCAAAGAGACAAAGGTTATCTACATAAATATGGCCTCAATTCTCTTGTTGGTGGATTGATCAAGATGTTGGATTGTGCGGAAGATACTAGTGCGGCAGAACGCGCAAAGCCTTACAGGATATGTCTGTCGCTGATGGACAGGTGGGAGGTTGGTTCTTTGGTTGTTCCAAAGCTCTTCTTACCAGTTGTCGAAAGTGTCCGGCAGTACGAAAAGTCTGCGCCCAGCAAGGAGGTTTATGTTGAGGTTCTGAGGAGTGCGAGGATGTTTTTCGATGGAGTCGAGGCTTCGCTTATTTGGGAGCAGATTCTAGAGAAAGTCGTATCGGCATTTTCTGTCGAGAATGGAGGCGATGGAGAGGAAATGCTGGAGAGTGTAAGTTTTGTCATAAGAACGTTCAATGTGAGCGAAGAAGAGATGGTATTGGTGCATGCTCCTTTGCTAGTATTGGCTGTTCTAGTTGAATTGGGGGCAAGTTCCACGGAAAGGAGAGGGTTGAAAGCCAGAGGATTTCAGATCACAGAGGAGTTGTGGCAGCTGATTCCTGAACGAGCTTTCAAGGGCGCAGCCTCTGATGAGATATCAGATGAAGACACAGAGATTGGGGGAATACGGAAGAAAATCCAAAAGTTCTACAGAAAAGGACAAACAAACAACAATTCAGAATCTACTCCACCGTTTTCTATGAAAACAATTGGACGGCTAATATTACGAGAGACGGCTACAGCCGTAGAAACTGCATTGGACGAACCCGATGTCGGTGTCCGCTGCCAGCTCTTAGTCAACGTCATCCAGAAAACACCCAAGTTTCAAGAATCACGCGAATCCTCCCATTTCATCGAATCTTTCGTGAAAACACTTTCTTCAGAAGGCATTTCCTTTGCAGCCCTCCAGGGGATTGCTAATGTGGTAGCTGCTATGTATGTTAAGGGTTATCTCTCACCACAGACAATCGACTCATTAATTCTACCGATCGTGAAAAATATTTGGAATTATCTTTCACCAGATACACCAAAGTTCCATGTAGAAGCTGTAAAGGCCCTGTGGAATCTTCAGAACGTTCTTGGAGATAGAAGAATTGAAGCTGCTGTTGCAACCGTTATGACTGAAGGGGATGTTGGGGGGATTTATTCTTTCAGGAGTGCTGAGCAGGGTCGGAAGTTTGGGGTTCTGTGGACACATAGCATGGGCTACACAGGCGGAGGTGGGCCTGAGATGGTTTTGACCAGGCCACTATTCTTGTTCCTGGACTCACTAGTAGATGACGGCTTGGAAATGGCCGTGTTTGCCAGGGGATGGCTACAGAATCTAGGAAGTCTAAATAGGTATATCATTTGAATATCATCTTCGAGGGGGACTGCGGTCACTTACGACGTTCTGGAACGGCAGGTTATTCAGCGTTTTTGTTTCCAAGCTTCTCGGACTGGATTTTTTGAAAGACTCCGGGAAACGAGATGCGAACGGCGCACCGCTCAAGAGGCATGTGTATCGTGAAAATCACGATCTCGAAGTGGCTACGTACTATTTTCAAACTTTATCAAATGTCCTGCAATATTCGACACCTAGCGTTATGGCAGCGTTGGCAACCGAATCAGCTATTGGTACCGAGGAAACACGGTTGAGAGCCTTGGCGGAAAGTGAGCAAGCCACTTTCATCTTTTTATTTCGCATTCTTAAGGTCTAATATCTTGATAGGTGGTTATGGAGAGGAAGACATGCCTCTACAAACCTTTTTTGTGAAGGTGGCAATTCGGGCTATTGATGGTGATGCGAATGACCGAGATGGCAATCAAAGTGTCTCTCGGCTCCACCGAACGGCGTTAAAAGTGCTTCACCGCTTACTTCTTAGCGTTTATGCAAAACCACTTGCAGAATTGGAGCTGGAGAACATCCTCACTGCTCGATTGATATCTGCAATAGAAACCAAGGATACCTTTGTACAGGTTTCTTTACTTGATGTTCTATTTGCAGCTTTGAAACTATCTCTTATGCGACCAACGAGTCAATTAGGCCAACTGAAGATGCACTCTGGAAGTATTAAGGGTAGTCGTTCAGCCGCATCTATACAGGACCCAGAGAAAGCAAATCCCCCACCACCTCAGGCCAAACCCCCACAACAACTAGTTAGGTGTCTCGTGGGTGGATTTTCAAGCCTAAGTGGTAGACCGGTGCTGGATAGCTGGATTAATTTCTTGACCGAGTGTTTACCGTTGCTGGAGAATGTAATATTCCAGATTCTAATTCCACTGGTGGAATGCTTGTGTGAGCAAATCAGGCAAACATTTGAGGCGCTAAAACAAGTGTTCAAGGAAGCGGAGCATCGTGGTGTAGCTCCCAAGACAAGGAGCCCTGAAGGAACTTTAGTGGCGCTACTCAATGGCCTAGAACAGATTCTGGCCGCGGCCCATGATAAACTTCTTACAGAAGAAATCAAAGTTGCGGGTCCAAAAAGCCCTGATGCACAGACAACGGGTGGGTTCTTCGGAAACATGGTTAGTGGTGTTTTTGCTGTGGAAAGCCCGCAAAACAGGAGCGCGGCCGCAAATAATCGCCTTACTGTGCTCTTATGCTTTCAGGACACTGTAAAGAGCTGTTATGCCATTTGGAGCTGGGGCGATGCCAACTCTGGTGCTGGGGAGAGCGAGGCAATACTTGACTCTGGGAGCAGAGAAAGTTGGTTATACACCAGTGTCCGAATGAGGGGCCGTGCCAGAAGGATTTTGGAGCATCTTTTTGCGGCGGAAACACTGGAATGTCTAGAAACCTTGATTGAGCTGTGGCCTGCAAAGGATTCCGTGGGAATTGATACGGGAAATAAGAAGATGGCAAGCATCTTCAAGCTCATTAATGTTCTTGATGGCTCGAGGCCTAAACATACGATTCCGGCAATATTCAACGCAATTTACTCGAGGACGAATCCAGGAGCTTTGGATCCGAATAGGAAGTCTACACTAACTGCCGAACTTAGCGATTTAGAGGTGGTTGTGTTTTTAGTAGAGTACGCTCGAAGTTTAGAGGATGATGCGATGGATGAGATCTGGGCGGATTGCATGGTCTTTTTGAGGGACGTCTTGACAAACCCGTTCCCCACAGGCAGACCTTGCCAAGTCTGCTAAGCTTCACCGCGATATTGGGAGAGAAGGTTGACAACACGAATTTCGGAGAACAGAAAAGAATGAGAAAAGAATTAGGAGTATGTGGTCTCCCATCTGCTTTCCCCGTCTCCTGTATAAAAGCTCTTCTGATTTCTGTGATTTAGGACTTGTTCCTGCGACTCTTGGCTGCTGCATTTACTGCACGACCAATGGGGCAGAATCTCTTAGAAGCCCCAGCACCTGTTGTAGGTTCTGCTGGAGAGAAACATGTCGACAATGAGGGTAGCAGCGAAAAGATTGGTCGAGGGAGAGCTTCCCCTGATGATATCGTGGCAATCCTAGCAACGATCGTTCCGGAACTTCGCAAGGTATTGGTTGAGCATGACCGGGTTGTCGCCGCGTCTGTCACAATATCAACCAGCGTGATCGGGCCCACCTTCAGGTCAAAGGCGTTTCCCCAGAATATATCCCCTGGGATACTGGATCTTTTATATCAACTTACACGACTACAAAACAACCAAAAGGCCTGGAAGAAAGAGCTTTCTGATGCCCTACTAGATCCAAAATTCTTCTCCTCGTCGATACCACTAGTGAAGGAAGGATGGGTGCCTCTTGTGAGGCAATATCTCCTCAGTGACCGTGAACGCATGGTCGATCTACTTGGGCGAATCACCCCACCCACAACCGCAGGCGTACTATTCGGAGTAGGAGCAACATCAGCCCGCCAAGAGGCCGACAAAAAGACGCAGCTGAACCTCCGGCGCATCGCATTCCTCATCCTCGCCGCCGAAACAGACACATTCGTTGTCAACCTCAAAGAGCTCGAAGAGAAGCTCGTCGAGCTTCTCTCCGCCACCGCCGTCACCTCGCCGTCATCTGTAACACGGGGCGAAGTATACATGGTATTTCGCGCGCTCGTGCTCCGAACCTCCCCCGTGCACCTTGCCTCCTTCTGGCCGCTCATCAACACCGAACTGCAGTCCGCCATCCCCGCCATCCTCCCCGACGATGAGAATAACGGCACCTACACGGACGCCACAATCCTGCAGGCCTGTAAACTCCTCGACACACTGCTCGTCATCGCGCCTGACGAGTTTCAGCTCCACGAATGGCTCTTTATCACCGATACCATCGAGGCCGTGTACCGTCCCGACGGCTGGGCGCCGGCCGCGCTCGCGGACCAGGTGACGCTCGAGCTGCCATCGCCAGCGCTCCAGAGCGACACGATGGTGGTGGGAAATAGGAGGAGGCCATGGCTGGTAGGCGAGAGAGTCAGGGACTTGGAAAAGAAGGATATAAAGACGGAGATCTTGAGGCCGTTCCTTAGTGCCTTGAGTATCTTTGTGTATGAGGGGACGTATGGGATGAAGCCGCCAGATCTGGATAGCTGTGAGGATGCACTGATGAGAGATATGTTTGTGGAGGAGGCGGTGTAGTGTATTTGGTGATTGGCGGGGAGGGGGAGGGGGGAGGGGGGACTTTGCAGTTTGTGGTTGAGTAGACCTTCTTGGCTGGCTGTGATTATGATGTGGGGTGGTGTGGGATGATTATCGTTTTAACTACTTGTAGCTTGTAGAGCGCAGCGAATGCTTGTAATGTCGTCTTTATAATCTCTTGTTCTTTTTAGAATAGCTATACATTGATCGATCATCAAAATCCAATTGCACTTAGCTAGCGAGTGATTACCTGTGATGCAGACACACACAGAACCACAACCACAACAATGACCACACACATTGCTATAATTTCCTCGATCGCGATATGAAAATGGGAAGGTTGGGTTCTACGATCAATTGTAAATCAAGGCAATTCCTACTCTACACACCCATCCATCAATGGGACAAGACGGGTGTGGGCATAGGATGGCCCATATGCTGGAATTACGCTGGATTGGCCAGCAAATACAAAGGGCTACATGTATGTACTGTTAATGTTAATGGTATCTTTATTTGAACAGTTAACAAGCCCCCCCTACAGTAATCATGGGCCTATCTCTCCCAGAAGAAAAAAAGAAGAAAAAAGAAAAGAAAAAACAAAGAATGTGATCCGGACCGAGATTCGGACTCATACTTCTCCGAGTTCTAATGGTTTTAATGTTATGTATTACTCAGAGCGTGCACCATTACACTACCAGGACTTGTATTGCTTTGTATTTGAGCGGAATATTATATAACCAAACTGTGAACACATGCTTAATCATTACCTACATGTAATTAGAACATGTCCGACAAGCAAGTACATGTAATTATTCTACAAACTGTCGGTCCCATTGGTATGAGATATGAGCAAGCAACCCAGTTAAAGGCTCCCATTGACCGGCGCGCGACCAGCACTTCTAGAACCTTTCACGTGCGATCGACGGCTGGCATGCGGGCCAAGCATTGCAAACACAACCGCATGACGCTTAAACCAACAGACGCTAGAGACGTCTGGAGATTGACGACAACACAGCATCTCCCCGCACCTCAGACACAGACAATCGATACTCACAGACACAGACACAGACACAGACACAGACACTGGCAGTTCATATCCCTCAAGCAGGAAGAAGAAGAAGAAGAAGAAGAGAATTGACACTTATTCACAGATACAGACAATCACCTCCTCTTCACCTTCCCTCGGACACACTGGGAGAGATACTCACCTCCACGGCCACAGGCTGCAGGCACTTCAACCACATAGCCACTCGCAGCCAGACAATTCCTATCCTCTCAATTTAGAGAGGGAAAGAGGCAATCCCCCAAGGAGAGAGTGCCCACTCACCTCCACATCCCCCCACAATGTCCATAGACCTCAACTGGGAAACCCTCACCTCCGGCCCCGACGGCGCCCGCTACGCCGAACGAGTCCGCGACTTCGTGCACACAAAGTTCCAGACCATCCCCTTCCCTAAATTCATCAAGTCCGTCCAAGTGCACTCCTTCACCTTCGGCACAATCCCGCCCGACATCGAGATCAAGGAGATCTGCGACCCCTACCCCGAGTTCTACGAGGAGGACGAGGACGACTACGCCGAGTCGGACTCGGATCCTGAGGACGACGCCGCCTACTCCCTCAAGCTCGAACGCGAGCGCCGCCGCCGGGAGCGCCGCAACGACTCCGGCAGCGTCCCCAGCACACCGAGCATCCAGCCGCCGCCATACTCGCTCGACGGCGGCCGCGCCAGCGGGCCCGGCGCAATCGCGGGCTTCCGCGGCGCATTCTCCCCCGGCATCCCAGATACCTTCCCTGGGCGCGTGGGTGTGACGGGCGTATCGACGCCGCTATTCAACCGCGCGGGCAGCAGCTCAAACCTCCACTACTTCCACTCTGCACTGTCGACGGGCTTCACTACCGCGGGCGGCACCACTACCCCTACCCTCTCCGCGTTCGTCTCGCCACCGCCTTCAGTCATCCCCGCGCGCGCTTCAACAGCAGCATCGACGGGCTCTGTCCCCTCCCCGCCGTCTACCGCCGACTCGGCCGACCACGAGCGCGACCCGACCACGCCGCCACCGCCGCCGCAGGCTGCTGCGTCTGACTCGCCGCTACGAAGGTCTTCGGCGGCATCGATGATGCCGAGGCTGCGTGAGCCGCGCGACGAGGATACGCAGATTGTGTCGCGCGTACGATATGCGGGCGATGTGAGGCTGGAGCTGACGGCAGAGCTGCTGCTGGAGTATCCTGTGAGTGCGTTTGCGGCGCTGCCGGTACGGCTTGTTGTGACGGGGTGTCGGTTCGACGGGTTGGCGTGTCTGGCGTATATCAGACGGCGGGCGCATTTCTGTTTTCTGGACGAGGAGCGAGGCGGCGGCGACGGAGAGGGGAGCGCGGGAGGGAGCTTGTTGAAGGAGATCAAGGTGGAGAGCGAGATTGGCGAGAAGGGGAGGGGGAAGCAGGTGTTGAAGAATGTGGGCAAGGTGGAGAGATTTGTGCTCGAGCAGGTGCGCAGGATCTTTGAGGAGGAGTTTGTGTTTCCGAGTAGTTGGACGTTTTTGGTGTAGGTGATGGATGACTTTTAATGCATATATGGATTTGGAGTATGGGCTTGCTTCTGAGATGTAGAGCAGGTGAATTAATGTGGATATCAGCTTTTATGCTTAATCGTAATCTTTGACCTTAGGATAACCAGCTGCCGTTAAATTCCCCTCCCCCAAAAAGAGCACTTTAGCTTTCATTCCAGAACTTGCTATCTGTGGAGCTCTCTCATATTATGTTCAATGCCACAAGCTACTGAGCATAGGGCTACACGTAGCTGCCACCCCGCCTTTGTGAGCAATCAACCCCCAGTTCGGCACCAGACAAAGGCTACAGTCTCTACAGGGCATGGAATTCGAAGTGTATCATATCACAACGCCGTTGATAAATCTACAAAACCGAAGTGTTAGGGGTCCCCTTTCATCTTGGCACACCGCCAAGGTCAACTATCACTTGCAGCACAGCATCCACCATGGGCGAGTGGTCTAGTGGTTAGACTGCTCGTCGGGTTAGACACCGCGTGTTTACCCAGGATACCAAAGGTCCTGGGTTCAAACCAGGGTTGGGGATAGTAACGCTCACTCATCAAGTGGTTGCAGTATCTTTTGTTCTTTTTGGGAGTGAGATAAATAAATTAGCAGGCTATTTTGATTTCTTTTTCTTTTTTCTTTTGGTTTCTCTAGAAGAGGAGTTGAGTGGTGGGACTGGGGGTTGGCCTTTGTGATTACTGGCTTTGATTTGCCTGATGTCTTTTGGGCCGTAGAGTAGGATTTCTATTTTGGATAGACAAACTACACCATGTGTTATTTAATATTGCAAGCACGTATGCTGAGGGCTGTGTCATTATAGACCTTTCCAAATTCGAACTACCATCAACTACGGAAGTCTTCATTTTTTTCCTAACCAACCATAGGTCACGAGTTGCATATACATAGCCATTTATTCCCCAGATCCTATAAGCCCATATATCCATTGGTGTATTGACGGCTCTGCCCACAGTAGACACTCTGTTTAACCATGGGTGCTCGGTCTTGGGGTAAAAGCTTCACCGGAAAAGGAATGTTGTATGTCCGAGCTGATCTAGGGAGGGGGGGGGGGGGTGCGTTGTCGGGAAAACAGTTTTAACACGAGGCCGGTCCGGTAAGATGTCATTTTCTAATATGTATTGAAACTCGACTTTAATGACAGAAGGGGATGGGAGCCGAAGCCCCCACCACCACCCCCGCCCCCCTATGCAAGGCCTCCCACAACTACTAAACGCTTGATTGATACCCATATAATCCAAAATACCACTCACGGTTGCGATATAGGCCACTGCTGGTACAAAATACAAGAAATAAAAAAACCGATCAATCCCCCAAACTCCAGCACAAAAACAAAATACCAAGTGACCCAAGTCGATTTTATAAACTCAATTTTATGAACTCGCTTGCGGAGGTGGTGGCTAGACCGGGGCCTCCCGATTAAACTACCTGGGATCCGTCGCAAATGCCGCTAGGCCATTGGGAGGTTCGATGTTTCTAGTGTTACATGTATGTATTATCGGGTGACAAAAATAACCGATCACTGGCACCCATAGCAACCAAAACTGTCCTGCGAAGAAACCTCACATCGAGACCTTCGAGGTCAGAAGGATAAGTCCGTTCTTTTCAAGCACCTAATTCCTTTTCGGAGACTTAAAGTTATTTAATTGCTCTCCTGGTTGTTGAATTATTCTGACCTGAAGTGGATTTCGATGTTGTCGTGAGGTGATCGGTTATTTTTGTCAACCCATAATACCTCTTAATGTGTCTGTGTTGCGTTTCATCATAGATAATCACTCGTCGCAATGGACAGGCATGCTTAGGCCAATCAATGACTTTGGGGAATACCACTTGTGCAGCTAAAATAACTGTTTCAATACATGTATCCTCCGGCTTATAATCTCTCACTCTTGCTCTCTTCTTTCTCTTGGGCTCATCTAAGCCGTTAACGGTTGGTGTTTGGTTGACCTAGATATTCGTCTAGGTTGGATCTACTAGTAGACTAGAATGCTAGACAGGGAAGCCTTATCGTTATCGGGCCCCTGTCACATGCAAATGGGTTACCCTGCCCACTGAACATTTTGCAGACTCGGCGTTTCAGTTCTTTCTCTCTGCGTCACAGGAAACCTCAAAGGTCCGAGTCACCCCTCCACCGCCCCGCAAAAGCCTCTCCACTCATTCCTTACTTCCAAAAATCACAACCGCAGCAATGGCCACCCAAGTCCCCCAGAGTACTATCGATACGCTCGCCGCCTCCGTCTACGAACAATGTCTCCAAGCGCCCACCGGCTTTCTCTTCTCCATCTCACAACTCCAGGAGATGGTCCCGGGAAAGAGCAATCTCGAGGTGACGCAGCACGTGCTCAATGAGCTCCTGCGTACCCGCTCCCTCAGCGCCATGACGCAGGGCAACCAGACGCTGTTCAAGGCGGCGGCGAGGGACTATGCGGACAAGTGAGTCCCTTCCCCGTGGATCTGCTGAAGTACTCCGTCGCTGACGGCGGTGGTGGTGGTGCGGTGTAGGGTCAAGAACATGTCGGGCGACGAGGAGATTCTGTACGGATACATCCAGGAAGCGGCCAGAGAGGGCATCTGGACCAAGACACTCAAGGCAAAGACGAACATGCACACGACCACCATGAATAAAGCTCTTAAGGGCCTTGAGGGGAAGCGCTTTGTGAAGGCGATCAAGTCTGTAAAGGTAAGCTTCTGAGTGCGCGCTCTAATAACCTTTGACTCTTGAGCAAGCACCCATCCACCCACACTGCCACCACCCACTACCATTATACTATGAGCTGCCATTGAAACGCAAGACTACGTGTCTTGGAACTCGAAACGAGTTTCTCTTTCAATTTTTCCACTTAAGTACGTTGCATAGACAGATAGCATATTCCCCAATCCACCCATAAAACCCTGCGCCCCGCCCCAGCTATAGTCACACAGGCTGACACCCGCACCCCCCCCCCCCACATTAGTACCCCGCCCGTAAAATCTACATGCTCTACGAGCTCACCCCGTCCATCGACGTGACCGGTGGGCCCTGGTTCACCGATGCTGAGCTCGATAACGAGTTTATCAACGAGCTCCTGACGGCAATCACAAAATTCATCACCTCCAAGTCTTTCCCGCGGATTGTGCGCGGCAGCAGTGTCGCCTCTTTCCCGCCGGGTTATACTGGTTATCCCTCACAGAATGAGATCTACCGCTGGGTCAAGAGCAGCAACCTCACAGAGGTGGATCTGGCAGAGGCCGATATCAGGAATCTGCTCGATGTGTTGGTGTACGATGGCAAGATTGAGAGGGTTGTGGGCGGGACGGCGTATAGAGCTGTCAGGAAGCCTGAGAGTGTTAATGGCTTCACGGAGAGCCCTTGTGGGAGGTGCCCGGTTTTCTCGCTTTGCAGAGAGGGCGGGCCGGTCAGTGCAAGTAATTGCGTGTATTTCGAGGACTGGCTCAACTTTTGAGGCGGGTCTACTAATGTCTAGCATCATGTACCATTATTATACCCATATATACTCTGTGGGAAAAGTTTCTAGCTCGCTGTTTGGATGGCAGTTCTTTTTTCTTTTTACTACTTTCTTCAGGGTTCGATTGAGCTAATTTGCTGTGTATGTATATATACCTTTCTTTTTCTTTTGTGGGTGTTTTATGGGATTCAAATATTGCGAGGAAGGGATTAATAAAAGTTAAATACTCGCGGTAAAAAGAAAAAGACTTTATTCAAGAAAGCGGCCAAGTATAGCATTTACTATCTAATACTATCTATGCTTAACGATCTCAGCGGAAAAGGAAACAGATTGACAGTTCAATCCTCATGCATACATGTTAGGTTAGTATTGCTATTGCCGCTATGTTTTTTTGGGGGGGTATCTCTTCTTTCTTATTGTTGTTGGTTGGTGGTTGTTGGTTTGTAGCACTGTCAATGGTCCGACAACTGGCCTGCACAACTATCGACAGGTCAGCAACGACAGTTATTCGGAGATTCTCAACCCAACTCAGCACATACCTCCAGTCAATCCTCCCGTTACTTCTTCACGGAAGCTTACTGCTCCTGAGTAGAGCCAACGCCCAGACCCGAAAAGTCTTCCCAAATATTCGGAAAGATCCCGGTCCCGCGAAACTTGTCATCAAACCAATTATCCTTCCCCACCCAGCAGCCCCTATGATCCATCTCCACAACCTCCTCCCCCTCCCCATCATCCTCACATCCACAGTCCGCAAGTCCAACACCAAACAACAAGCGCTGCGCAGCGGTCACCTCCATCCCAATCGCCATCTTGGTCAGCACCGCCCTGACATAGATTAACCCTGAATCAGGCAGCGGATCATCATCACTACTCGCCGTCAGAGTGATAATCTTCCCCTCCTTCATCCGCTCATAGATCAGCCCTCCGCCGAGGTCGATATCAATCTGCGGCTTACTCTTGTAGTCCCTGAGGTTGCGCCTGGATCCGGGGCCGTTCCAGTGGAAGCTCACCTTGAGCTTATTGTGCGTGCCTGAGAGCGGGAGAAGGTAGAACTCCATAGCGTCCCAGGCACGGCGGCAGTCAGCGGACATAACGATGCTGTTACCCAGCGTGGCCTCATCGGCGCAGTGCGCTTGGATGGTGTCCACGACGCTGGGCGGCCAGATGAGCGCAAGGAAGCTCCAGAAAGCCTTGCTGCCGGCACTGGCTGAGAGCATGGGCAGGATGGGCACGGGCTGCGGGTCCTGGAACCGGCCCTGGCCGTGGGTGATCTCGCAGGTGGGGTGTGGGCTGAGCATGGTTGGGTGGACGGCCGAGACTGGGATAGGGCATGACTGTTAGCAGAGGGAAGCAGAGGGAAGCAGGGGAAGGTCTGGTACGTACCGACGGCAGTGTCGTCCTTCAGCGAACCCAGATAAGCCATCGCCTCTATATACGTATCGACGAACATGGCCACCAGCCGCTCCTTCTTCTCGAACGTCAGAGGGACCCTCGTCGCTCCACCCGGCTGAACGCCCTGGAAGACGATGCTCTCGGCGATGTAGGGGACGTTGGGGACAATGATGCGGCCAAGGATCACCTCGAGGATAGCTGCCTTAGTGCATGGGTCAACGTACGATGACTTCATGAACATGTCCCGAACGACGGCGACGAGGAATTCGTCGTCCTCCTCGATTGGCTTTGTATGGGAAAAGATGGTGGGGATGAGGGTTTTGAAACGACGACGCACTCGGGGTGGAGGGGAGGCAGGAATGGGGAGTGGGGGAGAGAGTTGTTGAAGAACGGAGGATGAGGCCATTGTTGCTAGGTATGTGCGCTTGTAGGATTTGGGAATTGTCTTGATGGTTCTTGGATAGATGGAGGATAGATGTTACGGAGGAGTGATTGGTAGATGGATGGATGGGAATTGTGGGTTGGGGAGAGAGAAGGTGAGTGGGAAGCACGGCTCAGTTGGGCGGGAGTGATATCGTACTTCTACAAGGGGAGCTGCTCGAAAGCCCTAACCGCTTAAACACCCTCCCTTCGCAGTGAAATGGGGCCCCCGTAATAAAAATGCCCACCTTTTATACAGCGAGTGATGGCTTATGACGAGGGTTCTCTACGTGTGGTTGGGAGTACATGCGTAGGCAGCCTATCCGTACTTAGTTCTGGGTAGAGAACTGAAATGAGAACTAAGAAAGCAGACTAAACAGTACTGGAAAGTGTCCCCTTTTCCGGGGAAATAGGCTGTTGACGAGAGTACCTTCCTAGTTTCTTATATCTACTATTTCTTGTGGGTAGGTATGAAAAATAGAAGCCAATAATGGCTACTGACAGAGTAGAGTCTTAGAAAATCATTTGAGTATCTGGTTTAGCTAGACTAGGATATTTGTTTCACAAGTAAGTATGGTTGGAAGAGGCAATGAGTGATTCGTTGTGATGCAGAGCTATGAGAGTGATCCTCGATGATTCTGAAAGACCTGTAAATCGAATCATTTCTATTCTGCCTCTGTAACGGGTAACCTATTGTTGATATATGCACGGGGTTAGCGTGGTAACAGGATCAATTGGAGTATTCTACATGTATTGAGCACACTTCAAAAAAAAAAAAAAAGAGAGAAAAAGAAAACAAGAACTGCTGCAGATACTTATGTATGTTCTCTGAATTTGAATGGATTGCTTTCTTTTTTGCTTTCACAGGTCTAGGTGACTGGTCAACTGGGCTATTGTACTGGCTACAGTACGGCGCGAAAGAAAGAGTCTCTAAAGCTTCCAGGTATAATACATAAGTCCACTCATCTGTATAGCCCAGCACATCGGAAGGTCCCAAAGTCATGAAGGCTCGTAACTACACCATAAATCCATTAACCTAGAAGCCAATCCGGACCCTTTCTCACCGATATCCTCTGCTTGACCTGGTCGGCTATGTATGTGGTTCTGGTTTAAAGATTTGACTGGGCATACATACTCCCCGCGGACGGTTGTGCAATTCACAGATCGGCTTCCGCATATATGAGGCTGTAAGCTAGATGGGTATCAAGTTTACGATCATATTGCGGAGATGAGTATGTAGTGCTACTTAGGATAATTACAATCTGGAATATCTACATATACGCTAGGAAATCTAATTATTAGACTTTGGATGCGCCGAAGCTCACTTTTAGGTCTGAATTGGGCTCGCTATTGCAAGAAGCAGGAGAAAAGTTGGCTTAACCTTACCCCCCGCATAACCACGCAACTCATCACGGTATCTTTTACAAAGCGCTATGGCAATACCATTGATATTCGAGGCTCACTCTCGCTCACGTCCCGATCATACAAATATCCCACCCACACATCTAAGGAATTTATCGCCAGGATAAAAAGTAAAAAGTTGACGGGAACCAGTTAGGATCCGTTGATTCTGAATCAGCCGGGAATCGAACCCGGGTCGGGCGCAAACATCATGAGATGGCAAGCGCCCGTGATACCACTACACCACTGAATCATGTTTGCTGCAGGGTTTATGGCAGCTTTAATTGTTTTTTTCTTTTGGTTGCTAGAGGCTGCGGCTCCACTGCATATTTGGTTAGATCACGGAACTAGCTTCGATATCGAAAGCAACACCAAGCAGAAGGAAACAAAAGCACTATCTGTGATTTCAAACTCTTTTTTTTTCTATTAGCTTTAGAATACTCGATCTGTTTGTGAATGGATAGTATGGGGTCACCTTCAGGGACCGTCTTTATGTGCGCTTTTGTAGCGGGAATCGGGGTTCGGGGTACCAACCTCCACTGATACTTATCTTGAATAGGTACTATAGTTTGGATTTTAACTAAGTCTCTAATATAGTACCCCGTAATTATTATGATACTTGTTTTCAGGAGATAAAGTCGAATATTTGAATCGCCGTCACATCATACAATATCACTCGGTCTTGGCATGGCTCGGGACCTCATGCATCAACCAAAATCAACAATGAAAGTCTACTTGTAGTTCCAGGTATTAATTATTTTAGTAAAGAAGAAAAAAGCTATGAATTACCTTACCGCAGCCAGGTCAGCGAAATTAGGCCATAGACTAGGTTAACGAGTAGCAACTTGTGCATGAGAATGTGCCAAAGTCCTACTAAGTGGATTGAAAACACCATGCGGGTAGCACAATCCCCCAAACATGAAAGAATGAAGATGGGCTGAATACGTGTACACTAAGTAAAATCCCCCGTCTTCTATACCCCCAGTTCGTACTCAGACTGCCTCTATTCTTTCGGGAATCGAGGGCATAACTATGTCATGTATATACATGTAGTTCAGTGCCCATTCAACCTACCAGTATAATTCCATACATGTACCACTAATACCCATGCATGCTTGAAACACATTCAAGTTGTTACATTTAAATTACTGATATACAGGAGACTGATTTATATCAGATGTATTTTCTTCCAACAGTCAATTCTCACGCAAAAAAATTCTCGCTTTTATGTTCATTATTTAATTTACAGTAGAAAGAAAAAGAAAAAAAAAGGAAAGCGAACAATACAAAAAGCTCCGGATCCATGTGACTGACTGATAAGAATGCTTGCCCACCCACGCGCTGTAACTTTTAGGTTGAAATCTGATATTGGAGGTTTTAGGTTTAGAGGGCCAGTTCGCGTTCTTGGGGGAGCGTGTCCTCGTATTCGATTTCGATATGAGCTCCGCCTTTTTATATGTTAGCTCGACCAGAGTAGGAGTAGGGAAGGTAATAAAGTGGAGCTTACGTTTCCTTGGGTTTTGAGGAGTTGGTCCTCTTTTCCTCTTGATGGGCGCGGGTTCTTTCTTTGTAGTTGGTAGAGGAGCTTTCTTCTTGTCTTCTGGCTCCTCATCCTCACTATCATCGTCCTCACTATCGGTCTCGTCGTCCTCGTCGTCTTCTTCAAAGTCACTGGCACCGCTCCCGTCGAGCCAGTCCTCTAGATCACCGAGCTCCTCTTCTTCCAGGTCCTCATCACCCGAAACATACTCGACCTCGTCAAGGTCCTCCTCCTCCTCCTCCTCGAGCTCTTCCTCATCCTCATCCTCGTCCTCATCATCATGATCCACATCTCTCTCTGCTGCTCCTTCCCTCTCAAGTCCTCGGAGGACCTTCTTCCAGATGTTCTCCTCGACATTGAGGGGTTTGTCACCATATGCACCACTTCTGAGCCTCTCCACCAGCTCCTTCTCAATGGCCTTTTCAAGCTTCGCCGCTGCGAGCGCCTTCCTCTCTCTGGTGGCCTCACGTCTGACGATCTTTGGTTTTACACCAACAAGCTTCTCGCCCATGCGCTCTTCTTCCTTCGCCAGGCGCCGAGAGGTGATTGCCACTTGGGTCAATCGAGTGAGGCGCTGCTTGCATTTATGTAGTAGAAATTTGGGCCAGTAGATTAGACGCTCGTCGATCTGTGTGAGGGCAGTGGCGTAGTTCTGGGAGAGTTTGATCCGCTCCCACAGTTTTGACGGCATGTGCGCTCGCTCGATGGTCTTCATGTAGAGGTAGAGAACGCCATTGTCGCTGCGGATTGTGGCGTATCGCGAGTTGGCGAGGGGGCAGGATTGACGATTGCAGAGCCCAGTTACCTGCGAAGATTAGTTAGAAGGAAGCGGGACATGAGTGGTGGGGGTACAAACATTGTACTCGTTTCTGCAGAAGTTCTGACCTTTCGTAGTTCTGCAGTGATGTCAGTATACAGAGGATTCAAATGTCTCAGAATTGAAAAGGAAGCTTACTTCAGCTTGAAGGCGCAGAACTGCTGGTTGATAACCTGCCAGACAATCTCGTCAGAAGCCATCTTCGGTGATTGATATGTAAGTTGTTAAGGTTGCGTGCGGTTGGCTGAACAGAATTAGTTTTGGTCGAAGAGAAAATTTGGTGTGCGTTGCCAAGATTTCGCTGCAGGGTAATTAACGGAAGCCAAGACATGAGGCTGAGAATGTTAAATGCCCCCCACATGCACATGCGATAACAAGGAAGGCAGCTCTTGATACAGAATACAGCAATAACATGGCGCATATACCTCGGAAATCGCTGATAGGAGGTCGTTGGAGTGAGGATGGTGAAGGGGAGGAAGAAGACTACCAATTAGAGGAATTTGAGGAGGACGGGGGTGAATTGTATGTTCCCTCTTTAATTTCTGTAGGCGCCGCTACTCGTATAAGCTGTACTAACCCTACGTCTAGCGACGGTTTCTTCGGTGAAGACGATGAAGACGATCCCGACTACTCCGGCAGCGAACGGGGCGGCCAAGATGATATCCCCATCGACCCAGCCCTCTCAGACGGCGAAGAAGATGAGCCTACCGAAGATGAGTCGGAAGAGGACCTCTCTATGGACCTCTTCAATAACGAGATGGAAGACTTCCATCAGGACCTGAAAGCCGCCCATGGCTTCCGACGTCGACGTCCCAATGGAGGTCGCCGCGCAGTCGGCGACGAAAACTACTCCTTCGAAGTTCGCTCCCTTCTTGGCCAGGCTAACCAAGCTTATGCCTTCGGCAAACTCGACGAAGCGCTCAAGGCCGTGAAGCAAATCATCCAGATCGAGCCCGGCGTATATGCGGCGTGGAAGATCCTTGGTGAAATCTTCAGCGAGAAGGGCGATAAGAATAAATGTCTTCTGGCCTGGCTGACTGCGGCGCATGCTCGGCCTAAGGACTGGGAGCTCTGGCTCATGTGTGCTAAGATGAGTTTAGACCAATACGGACCTGATAAACAGAGCTACAGGGACCAGGCTATCTACTGCTATAATAGGGCAATCAGAGCGAACCCGGATAATATTGATGCGATCTACGATCGTTCATTGCTGTTGAAAGATTCGGGACAGCTTACAAAGGCAGCGGAAGGGTTTGTTATGCTGAACAGGCTCTTACCAAATGATATGGGAATTTTAAAGGAGCTAGCCGGATTGTATATCGAACTCGGAAGAATTCCGGAGGCGATTGATTTTTACAACAGGAGTGTAGAGTTTTTTAAGAGTACAGGGAACGCGGATATGGCGTTTGGATGGAGTGAACTCAATATATTTGCCGAGCTTTACTGCATGGAAAAAGAATGGGCCGTTGCTATTCAGACAATCAAGAGCTTGGGAAGATGGTTGTATGGGCGAGCAGAAGAAAAATACTGGGATCAAATTAACGGAGATGATAGGGAATGGGATGAGGAAGATAGACCCCGGAGATGTTTGGTGAGAGAATTTGAAGTGGACAGGTTCCCGAAGGAAAGCTATTCGCTCCCACTGGAATTGCGAGTTAAACTAGGGCTGTGCAGGTTACGGATGGGTAATAAAGACGAAGCTATTGTACGTGAATTTCGAGATGAATTCACATTGCACCATTTTTCATTCTCGAGTATAGTAAATGTGACTTTCTAACAAGGGTACTCAAAATATAGTCCCACTTCCAATACCTACAAAAGACCGCCAATTCAAACTACAATGATTTATTCCAAGAGGTTGGCGATGCCCTCTATGAATGCCGAGCATACGAGGATGCAATAAGCTACTACAGCGTAGTCGTCGAGGCCGCTGAGTATCTCGACCGCAAATTATGGTTTAATATGGCTGAGTGTTACCGGGGCATCGACAACATTGAAGATTCGGAAGACGCCTACATGACAATTCTCGAGGCCTACCCTACTGACGAGGCCGCCATGATGCAGCTAGCTGGAATTTATGAAGTAACCAATCGCAAAGCCGAAGCCCTTGAGCTTGTCAACGAAATCATCCGAATCCGGCGAGAAAGAGACGCCGCAGAAAAAGCCCGCAAGGAGGCTTTAGCTAGTGGTGTGGTACTTTCTGGAGCGGAGGGAAGTGAGGCGGCCAATGAAAATAACACTGCCATGGCTTTCTTTCCAAACCAGCCGGTCAGGGAGAGAGCGAAAAGAAAGAAGGCTGGAATGCTAACAGAAGTGGAGAGGGCGGAGATGGACGCAAAAAAGACAGAGCAGACGACGGTGAAGTTTAAAAAATTAGAATTTCTGAGACCGGCCGCTGAGGCCGAGGATCAACTTGCCATCAAGGACTGGCTTGATACGGCAGGTGATTTAGTAGATGACTTTAGGAATACGAGAGCGTTATACCCGCAAGATCGGAATCTTAAATTCAAGGGCTTTATGACAACAGCACAACGAAGAGCGATGGCGCAGGGTCAAGCTAAACGGATTGAAAAGATGCAGAGTCGTTTGCAGGAGACATTGAGTACGCATAACGCTCTCTATATTTTCAAAGACGAACTATGATACTAATCCTAATAATAATAAAGCTTTCCAGGACGATGAAATCACTACTGAGCACTTAACAAAATTCCGAGGACTAGATTTTGACACATGGCTATATATCTTCATGCAATACGCAATCTACCTTGCCAAATACGATAATTTCCAGGACGCATACGACGTCTGCAACGCTGCAAAAGAAGCGAATGTCTTCTTCCAAGACAAGCGTCGGACTTTCACAATATGGATAACCTGGCTGTCCTGTGCCATCTTGGTTGGCGACTCAGAATCCTGTTCCACCATTTGCCGTTGGTTCATGACAAGCTTTCAGTTCACGACAGAAACCTACTCTCTCTTTACTGCCTCTATCACTGCCTCCAAGAATGGCCTCGAAGTTTTCCACAATAATGCCAACCAAAAATACCTCCTCCGTCAAATAAAAGCCATGGACCAGGCAATCACGGGGAAGGTTAGGGTTGGCGCGGCAACGTTGACGGCCGTAGATGACGATGGAAATAAGTATGTCCCTGGGGATGTAGATGTGGGATTGCTCATGCTTTACGGTCATATCCTTGCCTCAGGGAGGAGTTATATATCGGCACTGAATTACTATACGAGGGCGTACGCGGTGCTACCTGATAATCCGATGATTACATTCTGTATCGGGCTTGCATATCTACACAGGAGTATGCAGAGGCAGAGTGAAAATCGACATATGCAAGCATTACAGGGCATGACTTTTCTCTTTGAGTACTATGATATGAGGACTGATGGGAAGAGAAAAAGCGAAGAAAAGGCGAAGGGACCAGAACACGCCGAAGGAGAATCGGCAGGGGATGTGGATGCAATGGAGATTGATTCAGAACCCACACAGCAGGGAAAGACAAGAGAGGATAATACAAATTGGGAGGAGCGACAAGAAGCCGAATACAATATTGGTAGAGCCTTCCACCATATCGGTAAGCTAGTTTTTTCTACCAATTCATTACTTATTTGCTTACGCTATATATCTAGGGCTTACCCACCTGGCGATTCCGTATTATCAACGAGTACTAGAAATTTCAGACGAGCAGGCACAAGCAGGAAAGCCCCTGATGGGGGACATGAAATGGGAGGCAGCTTACAACTTGCAGATGATCTATGTCACCAGCGGAAGTCCTGGCTTGGCAAAAAGCGTCACAGTAAAATACCTGGTGTTATAGTTTTGAGTTGCAATTCAGTGGCTAAAGTTTAATTAAACTCTGAAATCCTTATTCGGATAACTTTGGTTTTTCATACATCTCTTATGTATTTTACATAGATTCATATTCTTAGGGTTTTAGGGTTTGCTCATGAACGGTATCTCAATAAACTCCTGTACTGTCACGAGTAAGGGGATACGCATAGCCTGACAGGCGTACTTGTTATATTCAGGGAGCAGTTAGAGAATAACTGCTCTTTGTATTAATAAGAGCACTCGTGGTGCATTTGATTTTAGAACAGTGTAATTTCTTTCCTCTTGGCCGTTGCGAAGACAGGTTGTTCATTCGCGGCTATAGTTAGCGTGCAGCTACAGCACAATACCGACACGGAACACAACATACTTTGTTTCTTTGATATATTTTTCTTTAACCCAAACAATCACTGTTTGTACGCATTGGATCTTGTTATTTACATCCCTTAATAGACCATATATGTAGCTAACAACAATTACATAATCAATAGCTAACAAGCATGAAGTATCACTCGATATCCAAACATACATGTATGTCATCCTACTACATGGAACTATCTGTACAGCCACTCAAAGGAGGAATTGAGAAACTATGTTTTGTTCTAGATGTAAGTATAGGTAGGTATGTATAACCTACATGTACTCAAGCGATAAGCTAAGGGATTGTAATGTTTTCTTCCATAGAAAGCCCTAACATAGCTCCATTCTACGCTAAACCATGGAGCTGCCTCTGGGATACATTCATGCGGTATTTCCCGTCCGTCCCGTCCACCCCGTCCACCCCGCCAAAGAATTCGTCTCCTTCTTCCTTCTTCTTTTTATATTTCAAAAAAGACAAATTACCCCTAAAATCCATCAAAATCTATCAAAATCCATTAAGATACGCATAAATATCTTCCCCATAACCATTCCAGAAATGCCTCCACCTCATCCTCCATTACATCTTTTACCTCTTTCTCCACCTCGTCCCCCTCCTCCACCACCACCACCAAACAAAGTCCTCTACGTTGGCAGCCTCCTTTCAGATACCAATTCTGCCGGTTTAAACAAGTATTTCTCTGAAGTTTATAACCTTCTCGACTCACAGCCAGGCTTGATACGTGTGAAGATTCTTCTCAACCACAACCAAACAGAAGCCTACGCCCTTGCCTACTACGAGACCGTAGAGAACGCTACCGCTGCAATGGAAGGTCTCAAGAATGCAAAGACTCCGGGAACCCAGAGGCCTCTTCAAGTGACATATGCAACATCTCCCAAGACTGGTCTTACCACTGAGCTCCCTGATGTGGCTCAAACCCTCGCAGGGAATAAATCTTCCAACACAGGATCTCGGACTTCCAGGAGAGGTAGGCCTCAATCCGATACTTCCCTACCAGAATGGACTCCGAATACTAGAGGTCAGGGATTGCTTGGTGATAGACCACTGTCCATTATCGCCCCACCAGAGCAGACTAAAAGTCCTATGTTATTTGGCGATAAGTCTTTGGATAGCGTTACTCTGCCAGAGTGGACTTCGAATGTTAGAGGTCCCGGATTACTTGGTGATAAGGAGTTTGTCCCCGGTAACCATAACATCACCGCCGATAGGCCGCTCGCTCATTTTAACACCATGCTTGGAGGTAGCAAATATGCTCCTGCCATGCGCGAAACGCCAGGGTTGTCTTCTGGTCCCGTGGGCGACAAGAAGGTGATCGAGTTCGAAAGAAAGAAACTCGAACAGGAAGAGAAGCTCAAGAAGAACGAGCTCAGGCAGGAGGAGCTCAGGCAGAAGGAGCTCAAGCGGAAGGAGCAGGAGCTCAAGCAAGAGGAGCTCAGGCAAAGGGAGCTTAAAGAGAAAGAGCTCAGGGTGAAGAGAAATGGGTCTAAGAAACTTCAGGAACTTATCAAGGAGAAGGAAAACGACGCATTACTCAATAAACAAACAATGAAAAACCTTAGGAAAAGCGAATCAAAGAAAGAGCTCGGGGAGGCCACACAGAAGGAGGAGGAACCGCTTAGGAAAGAACCCACGACAAATAGTACCCAAGGGCTCAGAGAAAAGGAACTTAAGCAGAATAATCTCCAAGAAGAGCTGAAAAAAATGCACCAAGAACTCATTGATAAGAAGGGTGCAGCGCTAGTAACTGCAGGGGAGAAGGCCGCTAATGAGGTTGATGCTGGGAGAAAGACGCGCGAGGAAATCAACAAAATGGTACTAAGAGAACAGCCTGCATATGAGGAACGTGATCAGAAACCTAAAGCAAAGTACCAGGCCGAGGGTCCCATCCTTGAACAGGGGGGTCTTGTGAAGGGAGACTTCAGTGATATCGAACGTATACAAGGAAATATTCGACATGAGCTGAGAGGAAACATCAGTCTCACGGATAGATTGATGCTACTTAGTGCGAGAGGGCCCAAGCAGATGACGGTTGAAAAGAATCCGCACGTTCAAAAAGAAATCCAAGTCAAAGAAACAATCAACACAACAACTATCCCCAATACTAGCACCTCAAGTTTTATGCGCCCCGCAACAACCCCGACAGATGGAGGAATGGGAGAAATGCTTGAGGCATCGATAGGTATGGAGGGGTTTGGTATAACTGAGGAGGAGTGGGATGATGCGTTCTAGTCGGTTCTTTGATTTCCTAAATCGATACACAAGTAGTCTATAAGTTGAGAAGATTACTGCTTGGCGCCTTGGAGCAAAATAAAATATACCTCTTTCTCTTCTTCGACTTCTCTACAACTACGGTATTAGTGTGTATGTAGACAGTATTGAGTAGGATGGAATCGCCACAATAGCAGTACGCCAAAAACAGCACTCGAAATGAAAGATTTAATTCGATATCCTTAGTGCATGAATAGTTCAACTAAATAATTGAAGTAGCAAGTCCACTCTCGTCTTTGGCCTTTCTACTTTAGGAGTAAGGGGAGTGCGAGGAGTAACTTGTGTATTAAGTGGTTCTATATGTGTACAGCTACATGTATATTTATAGTGCACGTGCCGGTGCTTCTAATTCTAGCGTAATCAGCGTCTTTAAACACATTGGACTCGTGAAATATCGTTTGGCGAAGAATAAAAGTGTGGAATACGCCGGAAAACATATCCTTCATATTAGTAGGCCGTTACTTTTTTTTTTTTTTTTTTTAGTCGTATTCAATTTAATTCTAGGTACAAGTGATCGCATGCAGTATAAATTACATATGGCGTATTATGTAGTAGGCCGTTATTTTCCGACCCAATGTTATACATACTTTTCATTTCCACTTTTAATTAATAAAGCAGCTCCTGAGCGACCCCTAACTACAAGCCATAATGCCTCATGCGCATATTTCCATATTATACCATGCCATTATCTTACGAGAATAACATCTGAAAACTTCATCCTGCAAACATCCTGCTGGGCTTGGCTCACAGTTACTCACTCGACGTCTTAAGTCTTCTCGAGATGAGCGAAACAACACAAGATCAAGCCCTGTATTCGCAGAGAGCACTACTGATACATAGTAGTAACAAGCCTGGCCATGCATGATTCCTTGAGATTCTTTGCCTATAAAGCCACCATGGGTGGTCCCCCCCTCAACATTTCACCTCCGTTCTTTGGGTCTAGAAGTCTAACCTAATAACTGGGTATCGCCACGCCGTTGTGAATCTGATACGTTATCGAATCTAAACTATGTAGTCGAGAGAGGTGTTTACTGCATCTACTCTACTAGCACTACAGGCATCTCACGGGAACTCTAGGTGGGCGCAATAATAAAAAAAACTCACTATCAAATGTAGTATTCACCACTCAGCACGTAGGTGCAAGATCCAACCTCACGCCGCCAATTTCTCGACAGAGATATGTATGTCTCTCAATTGAAGCTCGGGGTATCGGTTTCACCAATTGCGGAAGCCAGATTACCCCGCTAAATTGATTGAGGTGAACTGTCATGGTTGTGATCCAAGGCTGAAACGAGCGGGAAGTCCCGTTCAAGCAAACTGCACTTTAGAGTTGTAGCCGTTGAGCTGATCTAATACATGTTGTGGCGTTCTCTAATAAGCCAACTGGCGATGGACTGTGAGTGAGGTTGAAATGATTATCTAGAACTCTTAGAAATTGATAGGGCATGGGGTACATACTACATGAAGTACCTGATAGAAGTTTTATTACGTGGATAATCCTCAAATGTCTGATACTCACTTCCATCCTATCGTGGACCTTTTCTCGGCCGGCCCCGACCATATCCAGGTGTTTTGGAAAACATAACGTTTATGATGGGTGTAATGCTGGATAGGGTGCCCGACAACACCATTTAAATCCAATAGAACTAAAAGCCTTATACGAAATGAGGAGAACATTAGTTTATTTCCTTTCAAGATATCAGATTCTCCACTATTAAACGCTCGGCGTAGACCGCATGCGGCATGGTAACAGTAACAACTCCAAATTTGGTAGGTCCCTAACATTCAATCCAACCAATGGGCAGGATTCCTCAACTTCACATGGCCATTATCGGCGCCGATGCCGAGCAGGGAGAAAAGCTTATCGACCATGTTCCTGCGTTTCTTCACGATGATCATCATCCTTCGAGGAAATTTCCCCGCCGAAACAAGAGGAGGTTGAGATCAGTTGCCACCCTAGGAAGCATCCGAATGATAGGGCAACCTAGTGTGCCTTCCCGTTTCGTAATAAATTATTCAATACAATCTTTTTATCGTTCGTAGCCAATGGTGTGAACACTCCTACCATCTCCATGTTGGGTTGGTAGGGCGTATTGAACCTCATCCTAGTCCCACGGCCAATGGAGTAATAATGTGGAGATGAGCTACGCAGCTGCACCTCCGGGCTCTCAATTGCAAGTGCAATAATTTTACTACAAAATGCGCTTGCCCGCACCGCCCATTACTCTAGTGACAATTCCATACTCGCTCCAAATGTCTTTCTCACGATTCGCAAAAGTTGCTCTTGGCTCGGTGTTGGTCACTCTTGGTGTCAATGCAGGAACTCCATTGAGTTGCACAAACACCCAAATAAGCTGCAAAAATACCACCGCAGTTGCAGATTCATGTTGTTTTAATTCTCCAGGTGGACAGCTACTACTGACGCAGTTTTGGGACACGGATCCTGTGACTGGTTAGTGATTTCTCCTCCCCTACTTGACTGCCCTTTTGCGCAGTTAATAGCTAAAATAATAAGCTAGGTCCGGTTGACTCTTGGACTATTCACGGCCTTTGGTAAGTCAATGATATATCGACTATTTATTCCTGCATACCGTTAACTAACCAACTGATCAACCAGGCCCGACAAATGCGATGGAACATATGACGCAAACTGTGACAGTAGCCGTGCCTACACCGGCATAGCTGGCATCCTTACTGCGGCAGGCCAGACTTCACTGCTGAGCTATATGCAGACCTACTGGAAAGACTACAACGGCGACGACGAGTCTTTCTGGGAACATGAATGGAGCAAACACGGGACTTGCATCAACACGCTCAATCCAAGCTGTTATACAGGGTACACAGCTAAGGAAGAACTTGTCAACTTCTTCGAGGTTACGGTACAGCTCTTTAAAGGGTTAGATACTTACAAGGTTTGTTTTTCCTAATTTTGGCGAAGGGAGTTGGATCAAGAGATATAACTAACATATAGGATCTCTAGACGCTTACAGCAGCCGGGATTACTCCTTCTACATCGAAGACCTACACCTCCGCTGAAATTCAGGCCGCCCTCAAGGCCGCAACAGGCCACACAGTGACACTAGGCTGCTCCAACGGCGCTCTCAACGAGGTCTGGTACCACTTCAACGTTAAAGGCAGTGTCTCCACTGGCGAGTTCATTGCCACAGAGCCAGGTATGTATACTAACTATCCCAATTCTTCCAATCACAAAATATACTAAAAGTCCCTTACAGATGGCACAAAATCCACCTGTGCCGCTTCAGGCGTGAAATATCTCCCCAAGAGCGGCGCTACAACCTCCCCAACAACCTCTCCAACAAAAACATCATCCGCCGCAGTGCCAACAGGCACAGGTATCTTCTCTGGCAGCGGGTATCTCAATGCCATAATTGGCGGGGCTATAAAGGGATGTATCATCGGTGCCGGTACATGGTACACGACTGGTACTTGTGCGTCCTTTACAGCAGCAGCTTCAGGATCAGGATTTACTCTATCGTCAAGTAAGGGTGCCTGCGCCATTGTGAATGGAGCGTTGAGCTGTGCCTCGGGAAATACTGCTACTGTATTTACCGTATGTTAACATTCATCCCGAGCTTCTTTGATTGTGGACTTTCTAACGTTTGTATTGAAGGCGAGCGGCGGTCTACTGGTTTCAAGCGGGAGCACGGCGTTCTATGCGGCCAGTGTTCCGAGCGGGTCGACACAGGCAACAGTTTATACGTCAAGTACGAGTGCACATTCGACGGCATTGACGATATCGTGGAAATCGGTTTAGATTGCGGTTTGTTCAACCCTGTGCATATAGGATCCTTGAACAAAGGTCTTTTTGTCATGTAGATCGTATCTAATACATTGGATGAAATATGTCTGTCAATTTATCCTGTACATGTATGTTCGCTATTTTTACAAGGGCCTGCGTGATGAAAATGAATGAAACGAGCGACTCTCAATGCATATTTCCTTCCATGCACACCATCAAAATCGCAGAATTTCTCGCGAGTGATATCTTGTGATGTAACTGCAAGGACAGTCGGCAACGCAAGATGCCTTAACATGTGCAATTGGCCCGAAACCCGTGATTGCAGATCCATTAATACATGTAAAACGATATACATGTATGAATACTATAGTCCTCTTCGCCGTCATCAGAAGACCTTAAACTTGAGGATTTCGTTCGTAACTACGCTTTGTTCTTGGATGGTTTGTATCACCTGTGGTATAATTGAAGCATGCCAAAAAAAGAAATTCGAGCTTTACCTTTAATAAAGATTTCTTAAATTGAAATTGTAAACGGAGTCCATATTTCATTTATATATGAAGGAGAGAAACCAAAATGAAAGTGCCAAAAGAATGAAAATCGCGAAATTTTACAACAAATCATAAACTAGATAGAAGTGGTATACTGCTCAACTGCAAAAGATACACATCTTCATTCTGGCCCGATCCTTTCCGGCCTAACAGCCTATATGCCTTCCTACCTTTCTCTCCCTGGATATCTAGGCTGGCACCAGAGTTTTTCAGGAGAGTGGAGATTCCATCATACCCAAGCATTACTGAGTAATGGAAAGCTGTCAGTCCTTCGTTGTCCACAACTGAGATATCGACCCCTCCTTGAATCAACTCATCGACCACAGCGTAATTACAGTTGTATACTGCTCGGTGCAATGCCGTCCATCCGTTCTTGTCCCTGGCATTTATATCAACCCCACAGCCCATCACTAGTCTTAGCTGTTCACGAGAAACACCGCCAATTATTGCCCAGTGCAATACTGTATTTCCGTCATTGTCTACAGCCAATACTTCAGCACCATTGTTGATTAGAACCATCATTTCGCCCCCACTTTTTACGCAGTCGCAGTGCAGAGCTGTAAATCCATCGTTACTTATAGACGCAACACTAGCCCCTCTGCTCAGTAACATATCCACTATTGAAGTGTTTCCGTTATTGGCTGCTATGTGAAGTGCTGTCCACCCATATACGTCTTTGGCTGATACATCACTGCCACTGTCAAGTAACATCTCAACAATTGAATCGGGTCCTTTCTTGGCAGCCTGGTGAAGGGCTGTCCGACCCTTTTTGTCTTGAGCCAACGTGTCGGCGCCCAGATCAAGCAACAACTCGACAGCATCCTCTCTTTCACCATACGAGGCGTAATGCAGTGGTGTTCTCAATTTACTATCCCGAGCATTGATATTCGCACAGTAGCTTGTATTATCCAACAAAGCTAGGAGTAAAGGGAAATGATTCCAGGAAATTGCTACGTGCAGAGGGGTCTCCGGAAATAATAGCCCGGGTTGATACTCCCAGCGTGAGGCCTGGAGATATGAGGATAGATTTCCCGGATTGCTTACTAATGTAAGTAATGCCGGAATAGTCGAGAGATGATCACCATGGTCAAGGTGAAGACTCAAACACCTTCCAGCATATCTTAGAAAAGGATATGAAACATGCCTGAAATTGAACGAAATGGATGATGTTGCAAAACCCCGGGAGAAAACATCGAGAGAGAGGTAAGTGGCGCAGACAATGGCGAGTTGAGTACGAAGGTTTATGGGGAGGGCGTTGGTCCTTAAAAGGTACTCGGCTACGGTTCGATGAACGAATCTGATGGTATCGTCCTCCTCATTGATCGTAACCAAGCTAGCACAAACATCGAGTAATGTCTTTCGATCAGGTATGTTTGTATCATCAAAAATTGTACAACCTTCTTCTATAGATACTGCATGTTGTAGCTCCCGAACCTTGAGTGGTCTCATGCCTCCAAAAAGCCACGAAAATATTTTAAATGCCAGCCTTGTGCAGCTCGGGGCTTGCTGCTGAACAATCTCCATTGCTCTGTCATAAGTAGGATCCATAGGGTAGAGTTGACTTGAAGAGCTTTCAAAGGTTTCAAGCTCCTTAATGATCTCTTTGACGGTAGTCTGTTGGCACAGGTGTTCGATCTGGAAGTGTACAAGTAAAAACCTAGGCTCTTCTTATTAGAATTTTGATTATACTAGTGCCTTTCTCTAGGATGAGGAGGTTGCCTTACATTTTATTAGCGTTTCTTTTGATACTAGAGATGATCAGGTCTTTGCATTTGCCCTCGTTTACAAGGCGTTTAGCTCGGGGGTTTTCCTCAATCTTCTGCTCGATGTAACTAGTAATATCATCGTCCCTTGCCGATAGCCTCACTTTGTCTGAGTTTTCAAAGAAACATTGTATGTCTTCCGGATAATCCCGACTTGTCAGGAAAAGGTTGATTTTCTGCAGACCGATCCGGAGAAAGAAAGGTAGGAGCTCCCTTCGTTGACTTTGTGGACACTCGTCGAGGGCGTCACAAACAATGTAAGTTTGGGGAAATAACTTGGAAATGGCAACCAAAATACTCTCAAGGTCGCGAAATAAAGGGCGTCGCTTAAGTGGCGCCAGCCTTCCGTACAGTTCTTGAACTACTTTCGGTAAGTGCAATAGTTGGGATGAAAGTTGTTTAATTATACTGGCAAGTATAACTGCGGGCTTTTGTTCCAATTGTTCTTTATAGTTGAAGTAGATGTATGCTAATCCAGACCCTGTTTCTAATGAATATTCTTGAAGATAATCTATCATCATAGAACTTATGTGAAGTTAGCTCTCAAGGGTCATATAAGATTTCTAAGGGGCTGTTTGGCAACAAGGCAAAAGGTAATCTCCAAGAGTGAAATCCTAGAAAAAAGGCTACTCAAACAGAATTTTCACCCTGTAAACTCCGTTTTGGCCTGTTGCAGAACGGGCCTTAATTCTGAAATCAATGTACGGGGTCGTATCATACCTCAGGAAGGTTTTTCCCGCACCAGCTAGAAATAATACACGTTTAGTTTATTATTATAAAGATAATAGCACCCAAAAAAAAGCCGGAACTTACGAATACCATAGCCCCAAAGCAGTCTTGAACCCGAGAGATTATTCATCCAAGCTGTAACCTCAGGAGATACTATGATCCACTGGGCAGTGTTCTTCTGTCTTCTATTACTAATCTCTCTATGCTTTGTGTCAAAAGCTCCCTCATATAACCACTCCAGTATCCTGTCACGCTCCTCTTCTAAGTACACCATTACATGCATTAGCAGATAATTACGGAATTATCAAATACTAGAAAGCATTTGCCATGATTCTTACCACTCTGACGAGTAATTATCTCTTTTACACCCCCGTCAACTTCATTTACACGCCTCTCTATAGCCTTTGAACGAGACCTTCCCTTGAGTTAGTATATAGTAAAACGAAGTCAATTTCTTAACTAGAGTACGTCTACTCACAGCTGATAGACTTCCAACGTGATCATGAATCCAGATTTGCGTCTCTCTATAAGTGATATATATTCTAGATTATCCTGCTCCTTCAAAGGCCAACTATATCTAAACAGTCTCTTTCGCCACTTGAACCGTGTTGTGCTAGGAGGAGTTTTCAGACTCTGTTGGAATCTTTCCAAGACCGTAGTGCAATCTCGAATCTGGTTCCTCAGACCCCGTAGCACAACTGATTCCGGATCCTCTTTTGCAATATTATGCAAGTCAAGAAGAACCTGATTAAGCGATTCAAGTTCATGACTGAGCTTCACTATGTCTTCCGAGGCCTTGCTGACTTTGCCGACATATTCGTGGGTCCATGCGGACACCTGGGCTGCAATTTGAATAAGCGCGAAGATGCCGGATACTAGGCCCACAAGCTCAGCCATTTATTTAGCTGAATTTCGCCCGTTAGGCGAGATTTTCGAATGAGTTTTCGTGGTTTCTGTATATAGTGGCGTCCTAGCTAACTTATGTTGATGCAGATGAGGGGTTGAGGGTTGCTCGTGTAACATCACAAGATCCGCGCTTGCCGATGTAAGCGCATATTCGTGGGATTTATTTATTTATTTATTTATTTATTTTTGTTTAATTCATTAATTGCGTACATATTCATGGGTATCGAGTAAGCAAAAAGACAAACTGGCAATTGGATTGATATCGCCACTGCCACGATATCTGGCCCCTCATCATCACCCCTAGCCTTCGGACTGCACGAACCAGTGACAGGATCTGGAATTTACCAATATACATACATTGGTTTTGAGCTAAGGCCGCTTCACCCAGTAAGAACAATAATTCTCATACTAAGCCAAAATATAACCCGCGCTTTAATTAAGGGTCAAAACGGAGTTATAATCCTCAGCATACACATGGTTGTATTCGGACTTTTTCACACATATAAGGGGGATGTAGATTTCTCCAGCAACCACTAGAGAAGCCACATGGTGGGGAGTACCGAACATGTCTACACACACATTTATCCTCTCCCATAAATAAAATAACCGGCAGTTTTGTATGTACCACTCTCCCATTCACATTCCCCTCCATCCATGGTCCCCTGTGGGGAATGGACCTTACGCTTCGCCCCACTATATGGCCAGCACCGCCAGCAAGTGAGCGCATAATCCGCTGCCACAAAACCTCATTGGAGATTATCCCTTAAACACCAGAAACCAATGCAAACGATTATATCTATAGCACCCAAATACCAGCCCATCTGTCTAATCCCGCAGGTATATACGGGGAGGCTATGTACGTGGTCCATGGACCAACGCCCAAACCCAAGTAACACCCCTACAGCAAAGGGCTCCCCATCAAGCCCTCCCTTACGCTAAGACTCGTTGCGCCTAGAAACTCCACAAAAGAAAGGAGGCGCAGCTCCACTCAAAAAGCACAGCCATAACGAGTGATATCTGATGATTATCTCATCATGGTTTGTCACTCGGTGGTCTGGGAGGTTCAGTGGGGGGAAGACGTGGGGCCTGTTCTATCTACCACACTGCTTCCCCGTCAACAATATAAACTACTGCCCTGCATAAATACACAATCTTTTTATCTATAGCAATATATATGCCTGGGTAGAGCGGTGGTCCTGAAAGCTATACAAATACTGGTCAGCCATTTCAGACTGGTTAAAGATACATGTAGTTCTCCAGGCCGTTATGCATGTGGTAGACCAGTTTACTTCACCTATAAGGACTAAATACAGGAAGCTTATAATATATCACCAGCCCCATGGCTACCCCCCCCAAGCGAGAGGTCCACAAGAACGATCAAAACAAAGTCAAAAGTCAATGTCTACCCACTGTTTGAATTGTACTAATGTGAGGATATATTTAATGTACAGTGGTGTCAGGTAAGCAAGAAAGCCCGTACTTCTCACCTTATCAAGTGCTCCAAACCATACGCCCATTAATAGATGCTAATTTACTAACTACTATACAAAAGCCCCGCCTCTCCTAACGTCTCCCAAAGACTCCCCAGCCAGCCAAGGCCACCCCGTCTCCACCATCTTCACCATCCTCACCGGCCCGCCCCTACAAAACCTCGACAGCACCCTCACCGCACCCCCACACCACTCCTCACACTCCCCCCCACACACATGGTCCCCCCCGCCGCCCCCACCCCTCCCCAACACCCTCTCCACCGCCCTCCCAAACAGCTCCTCATCCGACCACGCGCCCATCCCCTCCCACGCAAACACCGCGCCCCCGCCCAGCGCCTTTGCGGCCCTCACCCTCTGCCCCCTCACCGCCGGGTCCAGCTCCACCACAAACAAATGATACATGCGCGACCTCCTCTCCGCCGCACCAAACGCAACCGTACACACCCTCCCCATCCTCTGTCGCTCTCCCGCCGCAAACCTCACCGGCCGCCGCACCCCCAGAAACGCACTGTGGTAGCGCGAGAACTCAGGCGTCCCCCCCTTCAGCACCGCCTTCAAGTGTCGCGCCGCAATGTCGGCCAGCGACACGACCGTCACCCGCGGCTGATACAGCTGCCGGTACGCCGGGTTGTTCGGCGGCGGCGGCGTCTCAGGCGCCGTACTCCACGACGGGGTCGCGGCCGCGGCGGGCAGCGTCGACGTGCCGCCGAACGGCTCGTAGAAGAAGAGGGTCTGTGGGAAGAGGGCGCGCACGGCGACACCCTGCTGGTCGCCAGGGAGCCCCGCGAAGCAGACTTGTGGGTCACGGCTGCTGCTGCTGCGACCGCAGAGGTGATCGATGAAGCATGTCTGGGCGCCATAGCGGAACTCGAGCTTCTGGTAGGTGGTTGTGTCGTCGGGGGAGGAGGGGTCGGCGACGGAGTATTCCCAGACGAGGAGCTGGGTAATGAGGTCGCGGTCAATGTCCCATGCTGTGTAGGTGGAGCTGATGTAGTAGTCTGAGAGGTGGGCGGCGGTGGACTGGGTGTAGTCGACGGAGTGCGCGGGCGTGATGGTGCTCGCCGCTGCGTCGAGCGCCCAGTATGTTAGTGAGCCCGGGGCGGGGTCTTCGGGCTCGTCTTCGTCTTGGGCGGAGGCGGAGGTGCGGGAGGTGAGGATGTTGCTGCTCTCGGGGGTGCGGCGGATGGTCACGAGGTGGTGCGGGAAGGTTGGCTTCTCGCCGAGGATCTACGGGCGGTGTAAATAAGAATATATCAGAGCTATATTTCCAATAACATAATAACAAGCTACATGTAACTACGCTAGAGATACTACATGTACTACTGGTGGCATAGATATAGATATAGATATAGGTTCCCCTTACAATATATTTCCGCAGCTTCCTCTGTCCTACCAGCGACGCAATCCGCACCAGCTTCAGCGCCTTCCCCGGGCCCGCCCAGTACACAAGCTCGCTCCTACCGGGCGCTGCAGCACCACTGCGGTCGCCGCCGCCATTGCTGTTGCTAGTGCTGCGCGCGGTGGTCGGGTCGGCGAAAAGGTCACCGCGGCCCAGCTCGCGGTAGAGCCGGCGCACGGCCTTCCCGTCGGCGAAGGCGCGGCGTGGCGGTGGTCGGAGACTGCATTCCTCTTCCTCTTCCTCCTCTTCCTCTACTTCTTGTTCTCCGTCGTCCACGACTTCCTGTTCTTGTTCTTCTTGTTGATGGTGGTCAGAGACATTGGTGGCGTCTTCATCATCGCCGTCCATGGGATCAGGGGGGTGGTTTGTGGTTGGTTGGTTGTTTCGTGTGGTTCGTTCGTCGTTGATTGATATCCTTGCTCGTCAGTCCGGCAGTCAGGCAGACTACAAGGTCGCGTTTCGTTGTCGTGGCGGTGCTGATCTTCTCTGGCCTTGTGAGTTGAGTTGAGTGGCGCCTGGGGGAACTTTGGGGGAAGCCAATGATCGCTTTGCGGCAAGCTACTCGATCCACGCGCCATCACTGCAGCCAGCAGCCAGTTGGGTGAGTGAGTGAGTGAAGAGAGACAGACAGCAACCCCCCCCCCCCCCCAATGATAAAAATAAAATTAATAAATAGTAAACTGCCAACTGGCCGTGCTACTCTACTCTGCCACCCCAGCTAGCTAGCGGAGCGTGTAATAGTATGTTGTAGAAAGAAACCCCGCAGAAGATCTAAGCAGGAGGGAGGGATGGGCGCTGCTGTGAGAACAGCGGGGTGAACTTCGGGCCATGAGATATCACTCGAAGCACGGCTACAGCTACAGGCTACAGCCTGCTCTACTCTGCACAGACACCACCCCCCTCCCTCTCTCCACACCCCCGTTACATGCAGCCCTTCTAGTTTGTTTCTCCTCCAAATCTGAGAAACATCTCTCTCCCCCATTGCCTGGCATCTACCCCTCCACCACTCACTCACTTCCTCACCCCGCGCCGTATCGGGCTACCGCACGCGTTATCGTGCCTCTGCTTAACCGAAGCCTCATTTTCCTCTTTTCTGCCGTTTGCAACTTTGCGGGGTCGCGAATTGTGGTTGAAATTATTAATTTATTGCGATCTGGTAATGCATATTGTAGGCATGTATCAAGCAGAGCACCCAAAAAGGGGGGGGGGGGGGTATATGTGTATGTGTATGTAGGCATCCGTCCCGGCTGCAGCAATAAATACATGTAACTTGCAAGATCTAGCGCCGCACCAAATCGAGCACGCAAGCACGAAACAGCGGAACCCCTCTCGATGACATCTTCCATGATCATGGAGAGTATCTGATCAGATACTCCTCTGCTTGCCTGCCTACATACCTACCACCCACTCTACGATACATACATGCAGCCTCTGCTCTACTTGGAAACCGGGCGGGCGGCCCCTTCACTTCACTTCACACACACACACCACCATTGCGACGCGCGAGCAAACGGAAAGGAAAAAAGGAAAGAAAAAAAACAAAACGAAAGGAGACGAAACAGAGTCGATGACGTTTGGTGTAGATATGCCAAAGGAGGAATTGAAATAACGACGAACGCGTAGGACCGAGTAAAAGTAAAGATAAAAAAAAAGGTATATAGTATAGTTATAGTATGGCAGTAGTAGTTTTTAAATAACGTACTGGTGAAATAATCCAACTTTCCAGACTCCCACTCCCATGTTCCCAAACCAAAACAAAAGAAAATAAACGAGATGGCAAACAAAAAAAAAGGACAAAAAAAAAAAAAAAAAAAAAACAAGGAGAAAGAAAAAAAACGCCTGCCCCCAAATGAACAAAAGAAACCCCCAAATTATGTTAGTATGCTTTATATGTAACTTCCCATTCCAAAAAAAACTCAGATCATGGCTACACAAAAATGAACCAATCAGAGCCATCGGCATCATAGGTCCGCTACATCGAGAGCATCTGTTGCACCTCTCCCAGGCTATCTCTCAACAAATCCTCATCCACGTATCCTGTCAACACACTTGGCTTGCTAACGACGGTCTTGCCACCAATGCGGACGCTCCCACCAGAACTCGTAAGCCCAGAGTCGGAGCTAGCAGATGTTGTCGCAGCCTCATTTGCGGCAGCCGTAACTGTATCTTTCTGCGCTGCATCCATTGCTGGGGTCGGGGCTACAGCAGCCCCACCACCGCCTCCCCAGCGCCAGAACCAACTTGCTCCCACGCTGGTTTTCGCAGAGTTCTTTCGCGAAAGAGCAGCTTTTGGATTTATAGGCGCGCTAGATCCAGCGATAGTGCCTTCTTGTAGTCCGAGGAGACGGCTATATGCCGAGGAAGTGTTTCCGGTACTGGGTGTACGAGTCACCATTCCTCGTGTGACAAACGCTTGCGCCGGGTTTGGAGTAACAGATGCCGCGAACGAAGGGGTGCGCTTTCCTTGGGAGGTTTCCGAGTTTCCTGATGAAATTGCTGGCGAGACAGCGAATGATGTCGTGGTTAGGTTGAGATCCATGATAGATAGCATCGACTCGTGAGAAGCCGCACGTCGTAGTTTCGTCGCGGGGATGATCGGAGATGAAGGTGCAGAGTAGTCATGGTCCGACGGGACTTCCTCGGTAGTATGGAGGATTGAAAACGGCGGTATTCCAAATGAACTGTCGCTTCTGCGGGCGTATTTCGAGGACGACGACGAGGCTTGCTTCTTGTGTCCCGGAATAAGAGCTGCTTGGTAATTGGAGTCTGCGCTTGAAGGACGCGACGACTCAGGACCGTTGAAGTTGTGGTCGAAGATTGAGGACTCGCGGAATTCCGATGCTGGGGATGTTAATACCGACGAAGTAGTAGCCCGCGACCCCAATGACCATCTCTTCGATCCTCTTTGGCTAAATGTTGAGGGTGGGCTGGCTCCGTTAACATCGAGAGGAAGGAAGTGCTCCCCGCTGGCATGACTTCTCCGCTTCTTCGCGCGCCGGACCGTGGGTTTGGAGACGCCCTTGCCTCCAGTTGACGGGGGTGGGTGGTAATGGTGGTGGTGAACGATCGTCTGCATGGTGCTGGAAGGGCTTCTCCCTAGCTCCTGGCTCAGTGGGGATGGGCCCATCTCTACCTTGTGCATGTTTATCTCTTGTAGCTGTTCCCTTAGTCTGTTCACCTCCTCCTGTGATGCTAGCAACATATCCCTCAACTCCGTGATCCCAACCTGGAGGTGTCCATTCTCCGCCAGGATCTCCTTCATGAATCGACTGAGTTGTGTTCGATCCGCGAGTGCTGTCAATGTAGAAACCCCGGTCTTTGGATCCACGATTCTCTTCTGATCCAACCTTTCGAGCAGGTTCTTGGACCTAACCTTCTCCATCCTATTCTCCATCTCTATCCTTTCCACCTGCTGCTCCAGTTCCTCCAATGTGCGCTGTGCCTTCTTCCACCGCGCCACAGCGGCCCGTTCCTCGGCTCTCGTGGTGGTGACTGTATTCCTGAGTTCCTCCTGTTCGCTCTCCAGAACAGCCAACTGTGCCTCCAAAACCTCGGTTCGCGCAGCCGTAGCAGAAATTCGTGTGAGTTCCTCCTGTTTAACATGTGAGCAACGATTACCCAACCTCCCATACTCAACAATTTACGAAAACGTGCAAAAGTACTTGTACATAGTCACTCACATGCATAGCGTCGAGTTCTTCCTGGAGCTCCTGGACCCGGCTCTCGCTCAGGCACATGCTAATGTTAACATCCTCCAAATTGCTGAGCAGAAACTTGTTTTCGTCCGTAGTGCGTGCGTTCTCGTCCTCAAGATCATTGACCTTTATCTCCATGCTGCGTATCTCCTGGTTCATCTTTTCGCGCTCCCGTTGAGCCTCTGCCATGGAGCTCTCATGTCGTCGCAACAGAGCCTATTCCGCACCCCGTCGATTAGGTTCGCGCCCAAGAGGTAAGGGGGGTCTACCTGTTAAAATAACACATACCTGACCTAATGTAGCGGCAGTCTGAACATCTTGCTCCAGCGAGGCAAGCATGGCTTGAGCACGCCTGGTGAAAGAGCAATCCTCACGGCCGCAACAGCACTTTGTAGCCTCCGGGTCGTTTAGGGCGGCGGACTGGTACTTTTGGTGGGCGAGGTTCTGGGTGAGGGACTCGAGAGACGGTTCATCTTCAGAGTCGGAGTATGACATCTCTAATGTAGGCTGTAGACAAAGTGGAAGATCGCGTTCTTCCAAGGATGCAGGAGACGTGTACGTGTGTGGGTGGCTAGATGGTAAAGACCGGTTTTCTTTTGTCAATTAAAGCAGTTGGAAATGTGACGTCCCGGGTGCAGTACTAGTAGTATGTAGAAACAGAAGATTGATTAACCGCTGTACCGGGCAAGGAATAGATAGAATGTAAAGTGGTGGATTTTCTTCTTTGCCTTCAAGAACAGTACATTAGGGATTATGTAGGGGACGGGAAGGAGGAAGATAAGGTAAACAGGAGACGGGGGGTGGGAAGAAGCCGTTCAATCGAAAGTCTCTCAAGATTGACGAAAGAGGTTTAGATACACCTATCCTAAGGTTGATCTCTTTGATAGGTTGAAGACACATGCAAGAAGGAATTTAGAGTGTAGTGTTTATCTACTACATATGCTTGAGTGGAGTGGTGTGTGTAGCAGAGCAGAAATCATGCAGTGCAATCAGAGCAAGATACTGCCTGCATCTGAGGGGGGGGTCTTCTTTTCATTTCACTGAAAGAGAACCATACCACCGGAACAGAAGATCAGTTTTTTTCGTCCCCCGTATGGATGTGTGACACTGCACACTGCACACGGTACAGGTACAGGTGGGTGGGTGTTTCTGTTCCTTGATTCGTGAACTGTGATAGGTTGAAGCTGACTGGTGAACCGGGGGCTGTCTCCTGCCAGCCACACCAACCCCAAGGCCCGCAAACAAACTTCGGCTCTACAAACGTGGACGGAGATCTAAAAGGGGTAAGGTGTGTCGACAACAGGACTGCCAGCCCTGTCAATTCCAAAATGGTTCCTGAATTCGCATAAAGGTGTGTGGGTTGCCAGAAAGCCCAGGCGGAGTGTGCCTGAAGCCCGTTCCCATGTCTTAGCAGCAAAAATGTGCGGGAAGCTGTTTGTTCCTGGGCTAAGAAAAAAAACGGCTTCTAAAGCATTTCGACCTTCGGCCCTGGATCGCTTCGACTCCGAGTGTCCGAGAAGAGGCAGAAACCCCACACGCTCGTCAATCGCGCCTTGACTCTCCGGTACTAGCCTTCACTGCTATCACGAGACAAGGTGCCTAAGTAGGCATCAATAACAGCTCGTGTATTTTCTTTGGGTTAGGCGGAAGGGATTCAAGCACTCAAGTGGAGCAGAACCAGGCAAATCTAGACTGTAAAGGTACGAAACAGTACATGACATCCCCCTGCTAACCAACGAAGAGATTCTCCGACTTGCTTTGCTTCGTTGTCAAAATATCGACGGGCCTTCGCGCATGAACAAGCAGTCCTAGGCGAATTTTTTCCGAGTTGCTAGGCCGTGGTTCTTCCTTCTACTCTACCGTGGATAACCTGATATGTGCGTGGAGGAACTCCGGCGTCTGGTTTTACTATCGAGTGGACGATAGATGTCACTCTAGAGGTTCCTTCCCCTTTTTGCTGAGTTGCTGGTTAAGAGGGGCCTCCAAGTTCGGGTTAAGGGGGTTAGGATCCTGAGATGATCATCGGATCTAGCGCAGCATGGGCGATCACGGGGAGGGAGGGTCTTCGGGATGCACAGACCGCCTCATGTCGTCATGAAAAAGCACTCGCAAGTCTGTCTCGGCCTAGGTGGTTGGGAAAGAAATATCGCGAGAAACAGCACAGCAAAGATCATTCGATGGCTCAGACGTCAAAGTCGTCATTCTTAACTCCAACTAAATCCTGGATCTCTGGGATTCTGGGGTGCATAAAGACTTGTCTTCACGTAATACTTTCGGCTAACATGAGGCTTATGCATTATAATAGCACGGCCTTGCGACTGCGGTATAACGCCGGAGAAACTTAATTGTATGGGAGCCTTTAGGGCTCATGACGCTATATACGATCTGCAGATACCCCATGGGCTAGCAAACGTTGATACGAATGTACCTTTCTCTATAATAATGTCCATGAATGCCTATGTTATTGCAATAATAGAACCAAATCATGCTCTAGAAAGTACTAAGTCAGATTCTATGAAGTACCGAACCAGAATCGATGAAGCAGCGGCAGTGAAGTTCTGGATGGGGGTGTATGAAGCAATAAGGTTGTCACTAGGCCTACTGAAATTACGCTGACTACGCGTATCTACCACTTCTTGTAGAGAGTGTGCTGAAAGCTCGCACGCTTGATCATTGATCTAGTAGCTTCAGGCCTTTCTTTGTGAGGGTTCACTAGAGTATACTTTCCATTGATTCTTTCAACAGGCCCCTAGCTGCAGCCGGCCACGCACATCCCTTCATGAGCAGGCTCTCGGGCGTACGTACGTACACGTAGGGAAATGTGCATTTGTGTTTCCCCTTCCATGGCAGGGCCCGGGTTAAGTTTCGCCAGCTAGCTCACTTTACCATCACTCTCCTTAAGTATTACTCCTGAGCTACTAAAATTTTAAAGGCGATTATGATCTATGAGTAGACGCTCACCATGGAGGAACACCAAGTAGGCTGAATCTCTATGATTATCTATAAGTAATGGGTTCATGTCTAAACCAGGGAGTTATAATAAATCAGAGATGAACGCCGTCAAAAATATACACCTCAGCATGACTTTTATAAAATTATCGCCATTTTAGAGCTTATTGGGCCCTCTCTCCTCATGCGTTAGCTGTAATATTAAGCAGATTTCTAGCCTCGTAATCGCAGCTTGAAATTGGCTCCTCGCTATTATTTGATCCTTAGATTATGTTTTTTTATAGTATAGTAGATAGTAGATTCTTTTTAAGTTCTGCCCTATTCGATCTTGTTCTAACAAATTGCAACGCAAAATCCCATTGATTTATGAAACTGTTCACCTTGAAGCTAGTCTGTCTTCCAGGCTATTAAGGTAGAACCAACCACAGGCTCGATTGTTTCTATGACAGAGACGAACCCAAGACATTTCAAAATATCAAATGGTCTATCTAGCAATATGAAAATTTTTATTACAATAAATTCCGACGCATTTCTCTCGATCTATAACTCACAAAACCACTCCCAATAACTTAACTTTACCAACACTACCCAATTCAAATAACCATAAGCCGGCATGTCATCCTTAACTAACACCGCCCTGAATGATATAATCATTCAACTACAGTCATTCTTGAAGACTTCACCCCGGATCGCAACGAGTTCATGACTCACCTTCAAGGACTATACTCAGGTATTCTCGCGCAAAAGATCCGCTTCGAAGCGCTAATGGGGACCGGACATGTAGTTGAGCCCAATGATATTATGAGGTACCAGAGTATATGTTTCATGCTTCTTGATATGGAGGCCTGTATTGAGGAAATGCCGGACCGCCTTGAGGGTTATGAGATGCAATTCGATGGTCTCTGGAGACAGCTGCATACAGCAGTTTTGGCGGAACAATGAGGAATTTGGGTTCGGCCTCGTGGTGGTCCGGTAGGTACATTTATTTAGAGACTTTTACTGGAGTTTGAGGTTAAATGTAGGTGCTAATATGTGATCATTCTTTTTGATATTTGCTAATCTTATAGTTCTTGATAAGTAATGCTATAATCCGATCAATATCAATATTAAGGCCTAAGCAGGAACAAATGATCCAATTTTCTATGAGGTCCATGAGCCAAGATCACATCAATTTTGAGTGGGCAGCATTTTTTTTGATAGATGAATCTGGGATAACTATATGTAGTGTGGAAAGATGGGCTATGGAAAAACCTATAATCATAAGCAGTCACTCGGTTACGGTGGTGGTTAGGGTTATTTATGGCCATCCGAGGTGCGTAGTAGCACTAGCGTCAGAGCACTAGCGTCAGAGCACCTCGCTCACTTTCCACACCCTCCACCCACACACATTCTCCTCTAGTGCTTCTCCAATCGGAGCTTGAACGGTCAAAAGGATCATATTGATGTAGCCGCACCTTCCTCATAGTTTAGTGATTGGAGCAAGAGGTTTCTAGTCACTCCTGAGTTGGAAATATTGATGTAATTAAAGCTACGAGCCATCGCGATCCAGTATCTTGAAAGTCAGGTCTAGCATACAAAGACCCAATAATTCTTCTAAGGCGTTTCATTTATGACCATTCCCGGCCCCCATCAAAATCCCGATAAACATATCTTTTTTAAACAGGCCTGGCATTTCTGGTTCCGAGGGTTCCCATTTACCGGAACAGTAGCCTCAGTTCCCATTTATAAAAGATACAAGAACAAAAACAAAAACTCCTTAAAACTTCATTAATAAGCCCGTTACTCTGCACAGTACATCTGGCCAGCCTATGTATGTTTTAAAAGAGTTTAGAAAACCGCAATCCTCGAAGGAAAGTTTACTATTCTGGTCCTATTCAGCTCATTCTAGCTTGTCGTTTTACATCATTTCCAAAGTTCGTTGTTTGTTTATTCGCATTTGTCCCTGCAGCATCACCAAGTGTAGGTCTAAGGTCGTTGCTACACATATTAGAAACCAAATAAAACTCCCAAGAGATACTGGGTCACTAACCCTGTATTTGTCACGTCTGCGGGCCTTTTTACTCCTGCTGAGGGGCCTGGCTGCCGAAAAGACCCTGACCCTCGAGCTTGTGGGGGCATTCCGATCTGTCTGTTCGTATTGAGACTCGGATTCTCAAAATTCGGACGAACATACGCTCCTCCTGCAGGTCCCTGTGGCCCCGTCAATCCCTTTCTAGCAATAGGCGATGACTTGGAATGGTCAATGCCAAGCGAACGAGGGATTGATGTTTGATGGTGGGGGTTGAACGCCAATGCTTGATCGGGAATCAGTTTATTTTCTCCACCAGCGTCTATGACAGCTCTTCCACTGAAGAATCCAACCGGTTGATTCTGGGGGGACGGATTCTTTGGGGTCTCTGGTCCACCATTTAACTGAGGAGCTGCGAGAGTTGGTACCGGTGGACTATGCTGTTGTGGCTGCTGTTGCTGTGGTGGTTGGGGTGGTTGGCCTCTCTGGTTAATGCCTTGCTGGATATTCTTAAAGTTTGAATTGTTGTTTGATTGTGGCTGCGCTCGTACTGGTGTTGGCGACACATTAAGACCACTTTGGGGAGTGGGCGCGCGAGGTACTTGAGGCGCATTGGATTGAGGCCGCTGCATGGGCTGGTGCTGGTTAGCTGGGGGATGCATTTGACGCTGTTGTTGGAATTGAGGTTGTCGAAGCGCTTGAGGTTGTTGTGGTTGGTTCGAAGTGCTATTACTTACCTGCTGGGCACGCTGCGGTTGTGGTGTTTGTATATTTTGGCGATTGGTTTGTGGGATTGTATTTCTATAATTGGTGGCAGATTTTTGGCCGTCAGTTATAGCGTTGATGGGGCTTTGATCCTTAATGCTGCCGCCGTCACTAAATCGTAATTAATAGAGTGAGACCAAAACGGTATTCGAAACCACTAACTCAGGGTCAAAGGCTACATCATCAGCCATGAAATCGTCAAGATCGCCGCCGCTCCCAAATATTCCCAATTCTTCAAATTCATCCCCTAAAATTTAAATATGATTGTTATAACCAACTATCACTTTCCATTATCGAATAAGGGTGCAAACCTCCATATTCATCATATGCTTCTGCTTCTGGTGATCCTAAATGGAATAAGCTAATATATCAGGTTTCGGAAATAAATTTACGGACCTTGTCTTTCCTCACTTGGGGGTGAGATCATTGGGTCGTTATTTGAATTTCCTAAATCCACTAGTGATTCTTTTTTGGCCTGAGGCATGAATTCACTGTGTCTATGTAATTTTCTCTCATCAAAGCGTGGCTAAACCCAGGATTAGTAGATTCAACAACTGATAAGCGTTTACAAGTCCGACATACGGCTGGTACTTTCATCCTGTTAACCTTCGCCAGATAATCCTTATCATGCAAGCAGTTTCCGAGAACATTCCCAAAACTGCGGAGTGTTCGTTTGAGAGCATCTGTGGCCCCCTCCTTTTTAGCCTTATCAAATATTTGTGCCTTTTTGCCATTTTCCATTTGACCGTATCCAATATCCTATTAAGTATTAGTTTAATCTCTTCGTGACCTATCTACAGCCGCTGTCTGGTCGAGTAGTATAGTAGTAGTACCTCATGGTAAGTCCCATCCTTCAATGTCACCCGTACGACAACAGATACTCCAACACTCCATTTCCCGTCCTTGCCTTCGTCCAGCTATGTAACAGATATTAGCAAATCTTCTCCTATCGTGTAAGAAATATCATAGGGAGGTGTACAAAGTCAACTTCAACACTTCTAACTGAAGAGGACCATCCGTTAAAGCCAAAGACTTGGTTTGCAAGACTGATACATTTATCTGCCTGGAGATAATAAAGTTTTCTCCCGCCTGGGCCTGGCCTTGAAGACACAAACTCTGGCCCAAGCTGCTGGTCAAGCTTCGCCTGAAGCGTAGCAATTTCCATAGCTGTATATGGTGATATTTTGGGCTCTTCAGAGGGAAGACCGAGATTTTTATGCTGTTCGCCTAGCTTCATCGTTGGTCGGTGGCGGGGAGGTTAAAAGTATGTATTTCGAAATCGAATGCCCTTATTTGATAGTTGGGATAGAAACTAGGTTTGATGCAGTGAAGGAACGGCGTGGGTTAATCTGGCGAGAACTCAAAGTTTTTAATTAAAACAAACTTGGGAATAAAGTCACTTAAAGCTACAGCTGGAGTGAATGGGGCGACGTGATGGAGAAACGCGCTCTACGCGCCAAGATGTCTTGGCTAATTTAGCGCGTTTTTGCAGCTATGACGCACACTGGAAATGATTGATAACCGTATGGTTACACAGGACTGCAGTTGCTGCATGTATTCTCTTGAGTGACTCTGGTTGTGCCAGTTGATTGATTGATAACGAGTACATATACTCTAGGAGAATTCTAGTATGTAAATACAAAAAGAAAAATGTCCAATCGTACAAGTAGAGTGCATCTTTACGGAAAACTAAAGACTGTAACTGTACCGCTCTTAACTCATCACATCCATAGTCTTTTAGCTCATGGGTAATCATTCAGACTCAGAACGCTGACGCTTTACTCGGGTTGGACTCATTCCCATTTTTTCCCAAGTCCCGTTCAATTTTGGGCAGACTCTCGTATTTGTACCTATAAGAGTGTGTAAGCCAAAAATACATCTGAGAATTAAGGATAAAAATCTTTACGTATATGCCCTGCTTGCCCGCAATTAGCGCATTTTCTGTTGGTTGTTGCCTTTCCTGAGGTTGATTTCGGTGTTCCATCCCCAGATTCCTGGCGGGATTTAGGAGTCGCGCTACGCCCCCCGCGCAGGGCCTGACGCTCTCGAAGTTCACGGCGCTCTTTATTTAACTGGAGGCGAGCTAGTTCTTCACGCAATCTACAACGATTGTTTGTGAGTACGTTCTAGAGTAAAGGAATATGTATAAATTTGGGACAAACCTTCTTTTGTTGATCTCATCGTGTTCCTTGATGCCAGTGCGGACGATTTCTGCAATACTGCATATTGTTAGTAAGCCTGGTATCTTTGATTTTTTGGTTCTGCGTACTTCGTTTTCTCTGCATCAAGCTCTCTCCGTCTTCGAACGTATTGTTTGATAACCTGAGGGTCCGTGATGGTCACTACGGTAGCTTCCTTTTCACCCTTTTTGTTAATGGCAATTCTCTTAATCCTCAAAATCTTGTTGCCCTGGTTGATAGTGCTGGCTCTAGTAAACTGGCTAGCAGTTTCATCTCCTGCAAATATTTTACCTTCGTCAGGCGTAGGCATGTCATACTCGTCGTCTCTTTGTGCATCTTCACTCTCCAATTCTGGTGGTTCAGTGCAGCTGAGACTACGCTTTTGGGCTTGCCAAATTCGATGTATGGCGTCTGCGTACTCTCTCTCCTGGCGGGCCACATTGTACTTATGACCTCCCAACTCTTTAAGACGCTGGTCCATGTTCTCCTCGATACTTTTCCCAACTGCTTTAAAACCACCTTTCATGCTTGTCTTAACAAAACTAAATGCTTCACCACGACCTGTCGGATCACCTTCCCCGTAAAGCTCCAACATGGCTTTTCCTTGAGTCGCTTCGAGAAAGTTTTTTGATAGATCCCATGGCTCCAGTTGTTGTTTGGCTCTCCCGTCTTCCACAACTTCATCGTCGAAGATTTTTGAGTATCCCGTATCTGCTATATTTCTCATCCCAACTTGCATCGCCTCCAATAAGCATAAATCTTCTGGTTTGATCAAGCTCCTAATTGATTCCTCGGTTGGAAAGTGTTCATCAGGCTTCATAGCCCAAAAACCTCCACCAATCCGTTCCAATACATCCTTCAACTTTTGACGGTTCTGCATTTCGTTGCCTTCAGGATAATGCTTGGCAAGGTCCTTTGGGCCCATATATTTAGAGTCTTTGCGCTTGTGCTTTAGGATGCGATAGCATATCATCCGAAGCCTATTCTTTATGGTTGTGGTGACTTTCCTGGAATGAGGGCTTGGGATTTCCGTGACAGGTAGGAGCTGGCCAACAGCAAAAATACGTGGAATAGTCCTCAGAAAATGATGGACTCGGTTTTCGCTTGTATTTCTGACAACCAAAAAATCTGTCGGTTTCACGGATTGTTGGAAGATAGGTGCACGGAACATTCCGTTATAAAGTGTAGGAACCACCTCCCCTGGATCTACAGTGCCAAAGTTCCAAAATGGCGATTTATCTTCAGAAAGTAAGACTTGAGTTTCTCCAATGTCACGCTTGGGGCGTGCAGCATCTTGAGTACTAACTCGGCGGTAGTAATTTATAATCCTACTACCCATGCCGAAGTTTGATAGAACAGTGGGGTGCTCCTCTGAATATTCCAACAAGACAAAGGGAAGATCGTCTTGAAGAGAAATATCCTTGGCAGTTGAGAGGGAAACCGTTGCTGGAAGCCTATGATAAGTCTTCCGTTTACGGTGTTCAAGCCGCTCAAACCGATACTCTTGGTTGATGTCAAAAGCAAACGTAGGACGATGATATGACCTTTGCTCCGCTAATGAAAGTTTCTCTTTGTACTAAATTTTATGTTCAGTGGTAGAAATAATTGAGATAGGAAGATATAACTCACAAATGGGGTCTGAAACTTCAAGGCTGGCAGACTATGTTCAATCTCCAGCTGCCCTAAAGTACTTCGAACCCGTCTCTGGGTAATTTTGTTCAGTAGATCGTAGGCTTCGTCGTTACTGATGTTGTATCTTTGTGTGAAATCTTTTTTGACACGACGCCTAAATTCACCCCCAATACGACGAGCATGAGAAGTGTCATTAGGTTGGTGAATATCAATTAAAAGGCGAGGGTCATTGAGATCAAGAGTAACTTTGGCACAAATTGAGGTAAGATTCCCCTCAAAAATGGCCTTCTCGTCGAGCCATGAGTCCGGGAGATTATCGATAAAATTATTTTTTAAACTTTTCATCAAGCGCTGCAAAAATTGGCATCTTAGTTGAGGCAGCTTATTATAAGTGGCTTTACCAATTGACAAACCTTAGGCTGATGAGAGTCACAATTTCCGGATTCGTTATCTTCCACTTCATCATTGCTGGGCCTCTTCAAATTTGGAGGCGGCGGGGGCGTGGTCATCATGGTATCCAATTTGCTTTCCCAGTCATCGCAGGCAAGTATAAGATCCCTATCAAATACTGGATTCTGCGGTCCATCCTCTGTGTTTTCTCCCTCTACATCCGCCACTTCAGGTTCTTGATGGATAGTGACAATTCTTTTACTCCCTCTCAACCCAGAGTCCACCAGAGCTATCGATTTTATAAAATGTGCCTGCCCATCTGGAGCCATCTCTAAATTTACCTTTGTTGGCACGCATACCTTTGGCGGATTGAAAGAGGGGACCGACAAAGTAGTATATTTGGGCCTGAATAGTGAGTTAAAAGACAGAATTTTATGAGGCTCAAAGTCCGGGAAGTATTGTTTAACAAGGTCCTTTTGACGGGGCTGGATTGATATTTCCATTTCGGAACCCTCGCCTGAAGAATTACCGTCAGAAAAAAATCCAAGCATTTCTTCATCCATATCTGCGTCTGCCATGATGAAATCTTCGCGATCATGAAGCCCATCCGCGGGTGGATTGATGTCAAGAGTCTCAGTATTGGATAGTACTGATTCATCTACAGGATCTGAATCTCCGAATAGGTCGTCGAAGTCAATCTCCGCTTGACAATCTTCAACGCCTTCCTTGTCTTCGCCCACCATATCCTTCTCGTCCACAAAGCCCTCCTCTACCATGCCGAACAAATCATTGTCACTTGACGGGGTAGAGTCCAAAGTAGTATTAAATGCGTTTGAAGGTTCTTCTTCTGGAAGGAGGTCATCGTCTGATATGTCTTCGTAGTCTACAGCGTCGTCCACCTTGCCGACAGTGTCGCCGAAACTGAAATCTTCTGGGACCTCGCCTTCTCCATTCAGGAGCTTGTTGATTAGAGCATCGTCCTCGCCGTCATCAGGCTCAATTGAGCCCGAGTTTTTGTGTGACATGTTCTTGGTGGTTATTTTGGCCCTTTTTGGTTGAGAGTTGCCGTTTCTTTTTTTTTTTTTTTTGGGGGGTGGGGGGATTGGTTTTATAGTTTGACAAGCTGCCTTGTTCGGTGCCAAGAGCCACGCTAAGGAAAGCTAAGGTCGGGTCACAGAAGAACAATTGCAATTCGCAAGACGACACCGCTCCTTGATTAAACGCTTCTAGAGCTATCCGGGAGGCCCAAACTTAAAAGTCTTCCAATATGCCTAAGGTAAGAGCATGTGGCAACAAAGATCTCAGATTTGGTCTAAACCTAAATAAACAAGTTCATAGTCTGTCACTCGATTTAGCTAAATAAAGGTGGGTACATGCACTATCGATGGCCAATCGCTATATCAAATCTGCAATTGAAGAAGTTTAAGGTATTTATTTTCCAATGGAAGTATTTCAGCAAGAAATTACCGTATCCTAAGCAAAAGCCTCTACTCTTCTTTGCAACACAGTTCTCGCATCATTGGCCGATAGATTCGCCAACCCTAACCTCCCTAAGGTATCTCTGGCTTTGTCATTGCCTTCGAAAACGGACCTGGCTACCTCCTTGAGCCCAAGGCTTCCTTCAGCCGGAGAAGTTGAAAGTGTGAGTAAAACACAGGAATCTTTCAACTTCCTCATTGATGCCGTCGGCTCCTCTACATATCTCGAGCAAGTTTTCCATATTTCGTTAATGTCGCTGGAGAACTGGCTTCCCCCCGCAGAAGAGAATTGATTTCTCGTGATAACATAGTCCCACATCCAGTCCTGAATTCCAGCACCGAGCTTGCGAAAAACTCTCCTGAAGACTGCAGCAGCAACGGTTTTTGAAAGGAAGTCAAGGAAGGAGTTGAGTGTTGCTACGGCAGGAACGATTTCAGGGGAAATTGTAGAGTCGCCCCGATCCATATCAATAGATGACCAAAGTGTTCTATATCAGAAGGATGAGCAAATATCGTGTAGAAATATGAGACAGGGAGCGTGAACTAACATTCTTGAATAAGATTTCAATTCTTCTTTAATACTTCCCAACAATAATTCCACAATCATCTCTTCTGCTCTAGTCCTAAGGCTCTTGTATGCTTCGGCAATATTATCAAATAACGCACCATCGTCATCTCCAGAAACGACTGCATTACTAGTAACGTTTGCAACCTCTTCTACATTCATAGTACCTGTCAAAGATTTATTCGAATTGCTTTGTTGCGATTTCTGGGCGCGGGTCTGCAACTCCTCCCAGAGTTCCAGGAAAAACTAAAAGAATATTAGCTGTTAATTCTATGAGGTAATGCAGAGATATTCGAGCATACAGGGTCCTCATCCCAATCTCGTGTACAATCCTCAAGGAATGTGGCACTCCCGTAAACTTTGCATAACCTTTCCAGACCACCAAGGCCGGAGAGGGATTGCACCTCCTCTTTACTTGTTCCTTGAACAGCCCTTGCGATTGATGACGAAAGTATACTAAAGGCATCGATACTTGACTGGAGACGGTTGAGATATTGGTCTAGGATAGATATTTGGATATTCATTAAGAAACTAAGACGCTGGCTGAAAGATGTCAAAGGGCGGTATCGATCTGAGTATGATGCATTAGATTATACGCGATATATATAAGATCAGGTATCGATGAAATCAAATACCTGTGATTGTCTCTAAAAGATCTTTCAATCGGAGTGCGGATTTTGTTGGTTTTGCGTCATTCGGGCCTGCACTATCGTAATCAATAACCCATGCATCCTCGGCATTGAGGATATTATGATATCTCGATAAAGCAACTATACACTGAGTAAGCACATTACACCAATCCATCCCTAGGACATTATTAGAACTTACACTCTTTCTCCACTTTTATCCACCCAGCAAACCCATTCTCTACCGTCAGTACCTCGTGTGTCACGCCTTTCCATCCATTTTCTCCATAAGGCACGTACGAGAATTCGTCCCTAAGTACGGCATCGAATTTAATCATTTCATGGATAAAATGACTCAAGAGCTGTGCTTGGTCCAGAATTTGAGGAAGTAGATTGTGAATTTTGCGTCGAAGTACTGGTAGGAGCGCGGTAATGAATTCATTTACAGCGTCGCGAGAGGAAACGTGTGGGTTTTCAGAAGACGACAAAATCGGTTGTATGGATGAGCAAAGAAACGGATTATAAGTTGTAATTAGGGTAATCAATTGCGAAAGGAACCATTCCGGCTATAAATGAATCCTCAATGTTTGCTAAAATTCCAAGAGATATTGGCTGAAGGAGATAAAACTAACCTTATCCACACGGTTTGTTTGTTTGTCTCCCTCAAAGTGATATCTAAACCTAAGCTCCAATGGTTTCACCAGAACTTCAAGAGGTAGCAATGGCTTATCTTTCAATCCCGATTTAATCTCACTGTAAACCGGTTAGTTTAGGCAGATGTTATAGAGCAGGTTAGTAACGTACGGTTCCTGTAAAACCAACAGCTTGTCAAAGCCCTTTTGAAACTCCGGGAATTTATTTAGGTCTACTTTCGGTGCTGGCCAGCCCATTTTCCCGAGTACGTTTTGAAACTCCCCAGCAAGCTTGTCCTTCATCTCATCCCAAAGAGTGCTGGTGGTTTTTTCAACAAAATCAACTAAGTGAACTGCGGCGCTCTCTGATGCCTCATGACGAATCTTTAGTGATTTTGCTAAATGCTGCAACTTATTGTACGGGACCAGAGCAGATTTAGGGTCTTTTTGAATAAGCTTTCGCGCCTCCTCGGATAGTTTATTAACCTCAATGATCAATGCAATATATCCCTTTGCGACATCTAATCTTCGGAGTTTCTCCATGCTAGTTTCAAATTCGCGTGCGGCATCCTGTGCAGTTTCTGATGAAGTAGTGGCTCTTAAACGGCGGTCAATGTCTTCCTGCTCTTGTCGGAATAGCTGCGCCTGTATCAGGACGTTTTGTGAATGTTCTTTAGCAGCATTCCGGGCTTTGTCAGCTCTTGTTTCTGCTTCTTGAAGCTGTGCAAATTCTTTATTAGTCGAGTAATGGCCTTTGATCGCGATGGCGTACCTGATCACGGAGCTGCGACTGCTGTGTCTGAACTATTGTGAGCAGGGCGTCGAGGTTTTCCAAATCGCTCAATGTCTGAAATTTATCATTTAGATAGTCCTCAACAGGACTATCCTTTCCCCGGGAATCCACTGGTGTTCCGTCGAGATTGCCGGACATTTTTGCTATGTTTGCAGGCTTGAAGTGTTGTAGCTGTTGTCGGTGTCCTTAAGTTTATATGCAGCAGATTATTAGTCATACTTGAGTCATCATGCTTCACAGCTGTGTAACTAATTCTTGGAGTAGGGCATACACTTTAAGTACCTACATGTATATATATTGAATATTATCAAGATCTAAGAGGCTTCAATGATAATCTCAGGGCATGAGCAAATGAGGTGAGGCTGGTCTGAGTGTTGTATGTACCACATGCATACAAGTACCTACATGGTATCGTATGTATCACTTCGCGATCGGGGGTCTTAGTCTTTGTTTGCGAAGTACCTACAATTCCATGTTATCTGACAACAAGTGTTGAGATACAAACCTATTATGTAGCAGCTCCGGTAAACTAAGTCCATTCTTATCCTGTCTATATATATACTGTAAGTAAACAGTTTAACAAAGTACTCTACAGTACATTGGCATACTCTAGCTGAGCTTGAACTACGAGGCATTGATGTCAGTACATGTATTCAACGCATATCCTTCGGAGTGATAGGTGAAATGACCCACAGAACTGCCGACATCACCATATTCGGCACCTCATTGACTTAGATTGCACTTTATAGAGTCTAGATCTGACTTGATACTTTCTAGCATATTAGAAATTAGAAGTGCTTATGTAATGATAGGAGGACATTCGGGGCCTGGCCAGCTCACTGGCTGCTCTAGCTCAGAGAGGTTACATGTAGACGCAATCCTGGGGGTATGGTTAAACTGAGGGCATGGAGAATTCCTGAATGCTCTATTTTTTTACAAGAATATGGAAAACCGTTTTTAATTGTCAGGAACCACCAAAAGTGCCGTTTTACTGGAAGCCCTTTTCGATTTTGTGAGGAGTTGGTTATGGCGCCAGGCCCGGGTCGCAGGTGCCAAGGCAGGATGGCCAAGTTGTTCGTACCCCCACTTTAACCATACCGATTGCGTCTAGAACTTATCCTAGATTGGTAAGTGTCTGAGATTAGATAAGATATTTCTCACGTAACCTACATGTCCTGGTCCTGGACAACCTCCCCGGCGTTGTCAACAACGACGGACTACTCGCGATAATGGTTCCCACCTCTGGCACTGTCGATACAAGTCACATCAAAGCTGCAGCTCAGAAGGATCTTTTAGACCTTCTTTTGGGCGTAAGTTAATGACTTGTCTCTCGCCTCCCGCCGCTAACAGTCGCCCTAGGTGCGTGGGAAAAAGGTTCTGGTTCTCGACAAGTCGCTCAGCGGCCCTCTTGGTCTCTTTCTAAAGTTTTCGGCCCTTCAAGTGCGCTTAATCAATCTTTTTTATAGCCTGTAGAAGGTATTTATGATAGTAATGGAATATCGTTTTAGGAACATGGCGTCGACAAAATATTCTGGATTGATGACGGCGTGATCGAAGCTACACAAAAGAACATAGTGTTTCTAGTACGGTGCACAGTTAAGAATGCATATGCGATAGCAGGTGTGTAGGCTTCTTACCAATTTCATTACGGAGTCCCATAGACTTTTTCCACGGGCCAAAAGTAGGCTGTGCGGGGCTTTATGTCTACTCCACACAGTCAGTCTTGCGCCCAATATAGACATAACTCCAGCTTTCTCAATAGCATAAAATGTTGCAGTTGGGAAATTTCATTACCATCAGTAGCAGAAGGCTAGATAAGCTGACATTTCTACTTCATAGCTCACGTCAAAAAAAATGCCAAAATCCCTGGTCAAGAATTCGAGTATAATGTCCTATTCGTTCCCCGACGGACACTTGTATGCGAAAAGATTCTTGAGGATGAGGGTGTGCTAGGCGATGTAACACTTGGCGAATTCCCTCTTCATTTCCTCGCATTGGAGCCCGATCTCCTTTCATTGGAGCTTGAGGATTCTTTTGAAGAGCTGTACCTTGTATGTTCTCATAATTCCGTGCCATCGCAAGTGGTGCAATGCTTTCCCTATCAGCTATTCTTACGATTTTATAGCGCAAGGATTATACGTCTATATTTTACTCAGCCCGTGCACTGATGGGCATTCAACGTCGGTACGGACTATTCCCACGCATAATAGGGAAAGGTGACTGCGCAAAACGCCTGGCAGATGCCTTAATTCGTATGCGAGGCGAAGAGGATGCGTCCGATACCAATCTTTTTGCCCTAACCCCAAGCAGCATACTTGGAGAATTGATAGTGGTGGACAGGGAATCAGACATGGTGACCCCGCTATTAACACAGCTCACTTATGAAGGGTTAATTGACGAGACAATCGGGATCCACAATTGTAAACTGGCCCCCTCGTCCTTGAAAGACAAGGTTAATTATTAACGGAATAAACAGCAAAGATAGAGTTGGATGCCGCCCTTGTAGGCCCTCCGCAGCAGCAGCAAGGTGCTGCCACATCTTCATCATCGTCATCTGCTGCAGCTCCTGCATCGTCTTCCAAACAGAAGAGACCAGTTCTTTTAAGCTCGGAGGATAAACTGTTTGAGAATTTACGGGACACTAATTTTGCAATTGTGGGGAATTTGCTTAATAAGGTAGCTAGAAGGCTCAACGACGACTATGAGGGTCGTCATCAAGCAAAAACAGTCTCAGAGATTCGTGATTTTGTGAGCAAACTTGGTGGCCTACAACAAGAGCACCAATCACTAAGGCTGCATACGGGTCTAGCCGAGGAAATAATGAAACATACTCGCTCCGACATCTTTAATAAGATTCTCGAAGTTCAGCAAAGTAAGCTCTCTCGATTATTTATGTCTCTGATCCAACCAGTTCTAGGACATTGGGGGTGATTACATTAAAGATGCTTTATAATAAAGCTCTAACCTTAATTGATTATAGATCTTGCAGCGGGCGTCGATCCGTCCAGTCAACATGACGCTATAGAAGAATTAATTTCACGGAATGCCCCAGTAGAAGCCATTTTGCGCCTTCTGTGTATCGAATCCCTTATTAGTCAAGGGCTGAAGCCAAAGGATCTTGAAAATTTCAAAAGAGAGATTCTTCATGCCTACGGATATAACCATGTATTGACTCTTGATGCACTCGAGAAGCTCCAACTTCTCCAGTCTCGTACAACACTTGCCGCATCAGGCGTTGTAAGAACGAACTACACAAACCTTCGAAAGACGTTGAAGTTGATTGTGGACGAAGTGAACGAGCATAACCCCGACGACATATCATACGTCTACTCTGGTTATGCACCATTGAGCATCCGATTAATCCAATGTATCATCCAAAAGCCGCTCATGACCGCCACTGCAAAAGGGGCAAATGCGGGTGTAAATACTGGCGCGGCAGGTTGGAAAGGGTTCGAAGATGTTCTCAAGAGCATAAAGGGAAAAACATTTGACGAGTTTCAGAGAGGAGAAGATAAAGCTGTTAGGGCGAGGAATATATTAAACGGACAGGCCGAGAAGAAGGTTACCGTCGTCTTCTTCGTTGGAGGCTGCACTTTTACGGAGATTGCAGCGTTGAGATTTATTGCCAAGCGTGAAGAAGGTGCGTTTCTCACTTACGCTACATACCCAAACTTTGTATTTATGCTGACTATTTATATAGCTCGACGACAAATCCTCATCGGCACAACTGCTATTATTAATGGTAATAAGATGATGCGGGCGGCAATCGCATAATTGGGGGAATTCATAGTTTCATTTTCTACTTTGTTTTTAGCAGCGTTTCTTTTGAGTCTCACCATTTTATGAACTTTATGAAGCATCAGCGTTTTTTTATAGGGCAATAATCGGAAGAATCTATCGATTCATACTAGAACTGAACGAATCCCCCAATTTTCCCTAAAGCATGTAGACTTTTCAGTGAACCAAGCCGGAGTTTTAAATCCGGCCCGGACTATTTGATCTCCCGTAAGATCATGTAGGTTCGGGGGTACTACTTGTGGTATCATGGCGTATCACTCGATTTCCCAGGGTAATAAATGACAGAACGACCTGAGATACAGTCGTATGTGCAAATACCGCATATCAGTAGAAGTTCAACCCAGAATAGGCGCCATTGTATTTCAGGCCGCTCAAATCAGATATCTCACACTCTTTGCAAGGATGAGCGTGGTTTGTGTTAGTCCCAGTGTGGTCCATGGTGCACTCTGCAAATCTAAACACTATAATCTTCCTCCTTATAGTCAGGAAGAATTATCATTAGTTAATCCTCTTCTACCATGACTACTATGTTAGATGGGCAAAGAGCTACTCCCAAGTTCAGAAGGGATGCGACATATGAAAGCCCAAATCACACCACCCCTCGATAATCGTGCCAGGACAATACACAACATCTACCGCCGTAGCCTAGTTACTATGGTATCGCCCAGAGGGGCTGAGGTTGTTGGTTCGAACCACCTACCTCCTAGACTTAGTGGAAACACTATGTGACTGGGTCGGAAAGAGCAGTGCGCGATGCCTCTCTTTTGTTCTTTGTGGTTAAAACCTTTGGGGGGTTCCTTTTTTTTTTAACTCCATTTTTCTTCTTATAACCTTATCTTGTATATTAGTAGTCTATAGCGGATACAAGCACATGCGTCCCAGCCGATCTGTGTTGATACTACGTTGCTTTCGATTTCCATTTCGATACCCTCTTTAATTTAGGTCGAGTGATAATCCGTGAACGCACATCAGCTATCCAATGGTAGGCCAGTGATTCCGCCGCAAATCAAGCTGACCATGCAACTATAATAACATTCTCAAATTCATCATTCTCTCTTACTAACCAGAGAATTTATTAAAGTTATTATAATTAGGATATCTATGTATAATGGATTAAACAACAGTGTGTGATATCAGTCTATCATTGGTCTTGACAGCTCTTGCGTCAACCATCCGATTCCGATGTCAAGCCATGGCCAGGTCAACTAGACCTCCTTCGCCCTCCTTACTCCTCATTCTCGACCTGTTTTAAAATCAGCGCGCCCTCCCAACTCTTCATCACCTCATATATCTCCCGCAAAGTCGGCCTATCCGCCTTTGTCTGCAGCGCCTTCCCCACAATCTTCAGCACCGCCACGGGCACACTCTGCCTCGCCTTCTTCCACAACATATTCCCCACGGGGAACCAATAATTCCCCATACCTGACAGGCATGGCACATCCTCAAAGATGCACCACAGGCAGCAGCCCAGCATCCAGGTCATTGCCGCACCACACTCCGCGTCCGAAGCGTCGCCCCAGAACGGGATCTTCTTGTGGCCTGGCGGCCCTGTGTACTGGGCACCTGAGTTGGGTTTTGACGGGCTGATTATGCTTGTCTGCGAGAGCTTGTAGTCGAGCACCTTTTCGTGAGCGGCTTGCCTCTCTTGCCCTGTCATGTCTTTGGGGACAGAGCACGGGTGCGGGCTACACACTTTGCACTTCTCGCCCAGCCCTGGGGTTGTCCCAGTGTCGCTCGAACCGCTCATGAAGCGTGAAATCCGCCCTTTGGCCCGGACAGCCGTCATGACCTCGATGGGCGTGTATTGGACCCATGTTCCTGCCGACTCAAAGTCAATCAGTCTCAGATTCCCCGCGGCGTCCAGAACAATGTTGTCCATTTTGAGGGCACTGTATCTGCCACATTTACCGTCGCTGCCACCGCTATACTCATATATATGCAGCAGGGCAGACGTTAGCTGCAGCGCCCACCTAGCTTTCTGCTTCAGCGTGATCTCATAATTATTGACATAATTCTTCAGGCTGCCCCCTGAGTAATACGGCGTTAGAAAGCCAACTACAGGCTCTGTTGGCTCGAGGCAGTACAATGACGCCGGATCCAGCGGATGCTGGATTGAGTGTGCTGTCTGCTTAGTGATGAGGTAACAGGGGCGCTCAAGGATATTTGGGTGCGGCGGCATACTAAGCAGTGTATGCAGCTCCTGATACAAAACCTGCGGGGACTGGTTCGTCTTAAATGCATACAACGTATTATCGTCACGCCCACTTATCGACACCAGAACCACGGTATCGTGAAGCCACGCCCTGAGCTGGAGCTTCGTCAACGGTATCACAGCCGGCATGCCAATCCCCGTCTCGAGCTCCTTCCTACAGTCCTCCCTGCCAAACCCCCACAGGTTCCTTAACACTATCACAGAGCGGGTGCCGTCCTCGAATTTGGACCCCCAGTATATATCCGACTCAACGCCCTTACCAATCCCCCCCGCCCCCTTCTCCCACGACCACCGGACGCTGATGTGGGAGTCGTTGAAGGGGATGGTTTTGTATTCCTGTTCAAACGGGTAGCCCTTGTCCTGTGAGATATTGGTGAGCAGCTTGAGAAGCCGTTGGTAGTATCTGGATTTTGTGTGCAGCGAGTTGCGGATGAAGCCGTTGGGAATGGCGTCGATTCCAATGTGGACGAGGATGTCGCCTTGGACGAAGATGGTCACGAAGAGCGGGTATGAGATGAAGTGGGGCTGGGCGTAGATGTTGGGCCCGTTGCGGCCGTAGATGGTCCATTGGCCGTTTGTGGGGTATTCGACCTCCATGGGAGGGAGATTGGTGGGGATTATGGTGCCCATGGTTTCATGAGATACTAGCTATGTAGGTTCTGATTTTGGATCGAGGAGGTCGTACAGGCGGTGGTATGAATTTGAAAGAAAAAGCTTAAAGGGTGCTGAGGAAGTGTAAGTAGGAATTAGTTGTGGGATGTGGCTAAGAATTGAATTCTGGTAGTGTGATTTTGAAGTAAGTAATTGTATGGGCGGGCATATATCTGAAGGAGGTTGAAACAAATTGCTCATGAAACATGAGATGCATTAAACCAATGTGCAAATATTGGAAATATCAGTTAACCAGGGCGGTGGGTAGCACGTGCAACTTATATACGTGTTTATCAATAGCAAACAGCCAATGACAGATATTATAACGCTTAATACCAGTGGAGTTGGTGGTAATGGAATGGTGGCATGTAGGTGCACCCACCTGGTTTCCGATACATGTACTACAGTGTTCAACAGCAGGCTGATAAACAAAATAATACAAAGTAAACACCCACCATGATTCCAATGGCCTCAGCTGACTATCAGCTGTTTACTGATTGATATCAACATTGCTGTCAGAAAGCTCTGGAACGACGTAGTGGAGTATTGCAACGTTTAGTACACATATTCACGCATCTGATGAGTGGACCCGGGAAGGCAAAACAAAGAGGGTGGTGAAAAACGCTAATGCACAGAGTTTGCATCCAGCTTTCTTTCTATTCTTCGGCTGATCACCAGCTACCTACCAATTGTTGTTTCAATGAAAGTAGTATTTACTGTATGCAACATGAGCCGCTCCACGAAAGACAGATATTCCCCACCGTTCTCTAAGCATTTCCCAATCTCAGCACAACCTCGGCCATTTCGTCGTCCGTGTAGATTCTGAAACCCTTCTCCTTGGTGACGGAGGCCAGCTGGACATTCTTGGAGTCGAGCTTCTCCTCCATTACCTGCTTCAGGGTCTTGAGAACCATTGTCTCGGCTTCCTCAAGTGTCAATGACTACAAACGCTTGTCAGCTAACACAATTTCGACAAGCTTGGCAAAGTTTAATGATTACCTTGTGGTATTCGTTCTGAAGCTCAGCTTGGGCACCCTCGCTACCCGATCCAATGGCCTTTGCGTCATACCTATAAAAGGTACCTGACGGCTCGGCGTGATACCTTATCTCCCCCATACCCCATTAGTCCTACCCCACAACCTCACAAAATCCAAACAAGCGAAACTTACAGCTGTGGGCCATCTTCATCGTATCCCGCGATCAACAACGCAACACCGAAGGGTCTTGACATGATACTCTCCTCGCCGTCCGCGCCCTCTCCAAACCTGAGCGCCAGGTCACAGATGGCCTGCGTACAGCTCTCGACACGTAGGGGCTCGTTGTAGTGGAAAAAGTGGTTCTGTGACTCGACACGGGCATGCTCGATCATGGATCGGGCGTCGGCTTGTAGCCCGGACATGGCGCAGCCGATGTGTCGGTCGATCTCGACAATCTTCTCGACGGACGAGGCCTCGAGCAGCGGCGATGTTACTCGCTTCTCTACACCGATTATTACACCATACCCAGTGGCTACCTATGATTCCGGGGGCGCTGGTGGTTAGTATAGGTGTAGTTACAGGTAGTGATTGGGGGGGGGGGGGGTTATGTACCCCGATAGCGGTAGAGCCAAGCTTGATTGCTTCAAGGGAGTATTCGACCTGGAAAAGACGTCCTTCTGGGGAGAAGGTGCTGTGTATCCGTTAGTTAAATTGCAGTGTAAGATGGAGATATGCTCGGTTGATTACGAACTTGATACCGCGATCTAGTAGTGATGGTTAGTTAGCATCGTTTCATTGCCGGACATGATTCAAGCAGAGCACTGGGGTGGGTGAAACAAACCGTATTCTGACCGTGCAATAAACATTTTGGCAGTATTGATGCAGATGGAGATGGATAGGGTGGGGCGTCGATGGGGGGGAGAATATCAAATGGAGGGGGTGAAGAGCTGTTGGTGGAGCTGTTTGTGGTTCACGAGTAAGGGCGACGCGGGCATCAACGAGGCGGGCTGCCCAGACAAGTCAATAGGAGGGGCAGAATTGCCTAATTTGGTGAGGATTATCCGCAACAGGTTGTAAATCTTGGCATTAACATTATCTGTGCTGAGTCATCAAGATAGGTATCTGAATTGACCCCTCCATTTGCTGTGGGGCCTGTTCAGAACTCTTCTCTGTATATTACCTAGCGGGAATCAATACAAGTAAATGAGAGATTGAGTGTGTTAAACTCTTCATCATTCTCAGGTATCACTTCCTGTTTTAAGGATTCTGGCCACACTGTTTTTAGCGTCAAACTAAACTGGTAAAGCTGCCGAGTGACAGTCTGTGATTACGTGTAGGTACACAATCGTTCCTTATCCTGAGACTGAGATTGACACCGCATTGCATAACTTCACCCCATCAGATTGGATCTCGAATTGGTTCTCGCTTTGATATTCAGACTCATGATCTTTACGAATTCTTTATTTGCCCTGCAAACCAAAAAAAACCTGACAGGCTGAGAACAAACAAGTGGACAACAAATAGCGGCATTCTCCTTATCTACACTTAAAACCAACAACCCTCAAGTCCTACAGCACGTACACTCCAGCTCCTCACCTGCTTCACCATTCAAACACCAATAGTTTCCATACTCACAAACATTTCTCTCTCATCTCCAGCCCTGTCGTCCCTGAGGCTCAAACACTAGCACCACGCGGGGCAGCTAATCGTTGTCACCGGCACGCAGGGGCACCCACCCACCCACTAAATTCGCGTCTCCGTCACTCACCCCATCCCCCCCACCAACCCCCTCCACACCACCGCCCACAACCACAACCACAATGACGTCCCGCAGCTTCACCGCGCCCGACCCCAACCGCCGCACCAGCCGCGACCCCACCTCCCGCGTCCGCGCAGTAGCAGGAGGAGGGCGCGACCCAAACTCGCCGCCGCCCGCACGGCGGCCAGCAACGAGGGGCGTGGATAAGCGCACGACGGAGAGGATCCATATCACGGAGACGACGACGACGGGGCGGCGCGCAAAGTCGCCAGGGAGGGATACGTCGAGGACGAGCACGGGGATCTCGGCGGGGAGTGTGGGGAGTGGGAGGGGGACGCCGAATGGTAGGAGTGCTTCTTTTGATTGTTGTGGGAGGGGTGGAGGTCTTGGGGGAAGGGGAGGTGGGGTGTGATTGAGGTTTTTTTTTTGGGCTGAGGGCAGTTTTGGATCACGGCACTTGCTGTGGGAGCTACATGTCTACACTTTGCTCAAAGAAACCTATGAGAGCCTCTGCAATCTCACCTCCGACGAACCTCCAACACTTTAATCATTGGCCTAGTTTGCTAACAACTTCTTGACCTCAGTCCCATGGAACCCCGAAGCAAGCCTGATACCCCCCACCACCGCCCCTCTGGCCTCACGAATATCAATACCCCCTCTAGCCTCCTCAATGCCAGCTACAAAGCGCCCCCCACCCCTCGAATCAATGACCCTCGAGCTCCAAGAAGCCTCAATCCTCGAGGACCTCCTCTTCGTCTTCATGGCACGTTTTACACCCCCGCCCCTACAATACATCACATACTAACCCACCTCCCAGGGCTACGAAGGCCAATACATCCGCTTCCGCGAAGACTACAACCCCCACCTCGAAAGCGCACGCCTCGACGGCCCCCAATTCCGCATCCTCCCCGGCCTCGACCCCTCGCTCCGCGACCTCTCCACAACAATGCTCAAGATGGCAACACACTACGGCGCCGTCGAGGCCTTCGTCGAGGTGCAAAGCCGCGAAGAGTTCGGCGCCGTCAACCACGCCCTCTGCGCGGCCATCCGCAAGCTCCTCCGCGACTACCTCGTCCTCGTGGCCCAGCTCGAGCACCAGTTCCAGACGAGCCCCAGCTTTACGCTCCATATCCTGCACCTGCACACGCTGCCGACCTGCCACATGATGTACCAGCTGTACTCGCTGGCGCGGGAGATGCTGCGGCGCAACTCAATGCTGGAGGACGACATGGACTCGGTCGACGACTACGACGACGTCGAGAACATCCTCGAGAGCCTTCGCGAGGGCGGTGACATCGTCGGCGCTAGCGGCGTCCCCGGCGTAAAGATCTGTAAGGGCGGCTCGGTTTTGGGGCTACTGACGCACCGGCTGGCCAGCATGGCGGGCGACCCCGCGGCGCGGTCCCTCCTCAGCATGCTGCTGCGCGAGGCGTCGAGGCCGTACATGGCTATGCTGAACGAGTGGCTGCACCACGGCATGATCCGCGACCCGCACTCGGAGTTCCTGGTCAAGGAGCAGAAGAGCATCCGGCGGGAGCGCCTCGAGGAGGACTACACGGACGAGTACTGGGAGAAGCGGTACACGGTGCGCGACGGCGACGTGCCGCCGCAGCTGGAGGCCGTCAAGGAGAAGGTGCTCCTGGCGGGCAAGTATCTGAACGTTGTGCGCGAGTGCGGCGGCGTGGACGTCAGCAAGCAGGTGGCAGACGTGCCAAAGAGCTTTGACGACATCCGCTTCCTCGACAACGTCAACAGCGCATACGCGCACGCCAATGAGTCGCTGCTGAACCTGCTGCTCACCACGCACGCCCTCCCTGCGAGACTCAGAAGTCTGAAGCACTACTTCTTCCTCGACCGTTCGGACTTCTTCTCGTACTTCCTCGAGCTCGGCGCAACAGAGCTGCAGAAGCCCGCAAAGAAGGTCAATGTCGGCAAGCTGCAATCCCTCCTCGACCTCGCGCTGCGACAGCCGGGCTCCATCGCCGCCTCAGACCCCTTCAAAGAGGACGTCAAAGTCCAGATGAACGAAGTGGGGCTCACAAAATGGCTGATGCGCGTCGTCTCCGTGAGCGGCATCGACGAGGGCGTCACCACCTTTGAAGAAAGCCACAAGGCGCCCGCCGCCGCCTCCGCCGTCGATCAGATCATTGGCTTCAACGCGCTCGAGCTCGACTATAGCGTGCCGTTCCCGCTATCGCTCGTCATCTCGCGCAAGACGGTGCTGCGCTACCAGCTGCTGTTCCGCTATCTGCTGAGCCTGCGCCACCTCGAGACGCTGTTGGGGCAGGCGTGGCAGGACCATACTACGCAGTACACGTGGAAGCAGAGGTCGCGCTTTCCGCAGATTGAGATGTGGAAGCGGCGGGCGTGGACGCTGAGGGCGAGGATGCTGGTGTTTGTGCAGCAGCTCATGTATTTTTGTACGAGTGAGGTGGTGGAGCCGAATTGGAATGGGCTTATGAGGAGGTTGGGCGAGGTGCGGACGGTGGATGAGCTTATGCAGGATCATGTGGATTTTTTGGATACGTGCTTGAAGGAGTGCATGTTGACGAATTCGAAGCTGCTGAAGGTATGTTTCCCCTCTTCTCTGTTTCCCACAGCTCTCTCTCTCTCTCTGCACTCCAAAAAACTAACCAAGGTTACAGATCCACGCAAAACTAATGATGACATGCACCATGTTTGCCTCCTACACCTCGAGTCTCTCCAAGGCGCTCGTCGGCGCCGACCCATCCCTCGCCGGCCCGTCGGCACGGCGGGGCAGCCTCGACGACGTCAAGCTGGACCCCGCGCGCCTCGACAAGCTCAGCGACAACCTGGCCAAGTATGAGGAGAACTTTTCGCGGCATCTGAAGATCCTGCTGGATGCGCTGAACTACTATGCGGCCACGGAGACGGTCGTGCTGCTGGGGTTGTGTGCGAGGTTGAGTACGGCGAGTAATGAGAAGGATGAGGGGAGTGGGCTGGTTATGGCGGGGTGAAGGGTGAAGGGAGTGGGGAGGGTGTAATATTATTGCTATCTTTTTTTTTTAGCTTTTTTCTTCTAGCCTTTTTTTTCTTTTCTTTTTTGTTTTTAAGAGTATGGCTTAACTAGGTGAGTGGGGGAATGAGGAATGGAACGGACGAATAAATGAATGAATTGCGAGTGTTTTCTTTTTTTCTTCTTGTTTGGCACGGGATGATGTTTCGAGGATCAATGATCGAGATGGTGGGTTTTTTTTCTTTCGGTAATTAGCAGCAGGGAGCGTTATTGCTAGAGTTTTGACTAGATACATACAATATCAGTAACTAATATCCATTCTACCCCTATTACTTGTACTCCTACTACTTCTATTGCTTCATCTCTATCTCTCTCCTCTCTCCCACTGTGCAGGTCGGTGTATCTAGACATAAGCATGTCATGCATGTCTCCCCACGGCGCACCTTCAAGGCAAGTCTCGATCCTTACCTAATCCACGTCTATTCTAGGGAGCTCAGCCGCGACGCCACGCACAGCAGTGTTCCTAGCTCTGCAGCGAGCAACCGTTTCAGCTCCCGTCTCAGCCCCTCCTGAACATCACAGCTGTTCCCTTTAATTACAGACATCCCCACTCACTCACTCCATCTCTTCTTCTCCTCTACATCTACATCTACTTTACATCTACATCTACAGCATCTACATCTACAGCATCTACATCTACAGCATCTACATCTCCAGAACCCCCCAAACCCACATCTACACCACAGACACAATCACAATGGGCTTCTTCTCCAAAAAATCCAAAGACACCTCCGCCGACGACGCCAACCGTGCCGCCCTCTTTGGCAACCGCGGCACCTCCCCCGCCCCCTCCACGGCCCCCTCCACAAACAGCGGTAAACAAAACCCCTACGGCGCCCCCTCGCCCGCCCCCTCCTCCTCCTCCGGGGGCTACGGCGGCTACGGCGCCCCCCCACAGCAGCAACAGCAACAGTCAGGAGGCTACGGGGGCTATGGCCGCTCCGACTCCACCAGCACCTTCGACTCCAACCGCGACCAGCTCTTCGGCGGTGCCCAGCAGCGCCAACAGCAGCACCAGCCCCCCCCCTACGGCTCCGCCCCCGCCAACGGCCCCTCTCCAAACGAGAAGGGCGCCTACGGCAGCAGTGGCTACGGCGGCAGCTCTAGCAGCGGTGGTGGCTACGGCAGCAGCACCTACGGCCAGACCACAGGCGGCGACAGCTACAACTCCAGCCGCCAGCTGACGGCCGAGGAAGAGGAAGAAGAGGACGTCAACGCCGTCAAGCAGCAGATCCGCTTCACCAAGCAGGAGTCTGTTGCCTCGACCCGCAACGCCCTCCGCGTGGCCGCCCAGGCCGAAGAGACGGGCCGAACCACCCTCGGCCGTCTCGGTGCGCAGGGCGAGCGCCTGCACAACACGGAAAAGAACCTCGACATTGCGGCGTCGCACAACCGCGTGGCCGAGCAGAAGGCGCGCGAGCTGAAGACGCTCAATGGCAGCATGTTTGCTGTGCATGTGTCGAACCCGTTTAACTCGGCGAAGCGCGCGCAGGAGGAGGAGCGCCGCATTCTGGAGCGCCACCAGAGCGACCGTGAGGAGCGGGATAAGACGAGGCAGTTTGGGTTTGAGAGTAAGAACCATGTGGGCAAGGCGCTGGGGGGTAGTGGCGCGGGCGCGGGTGGGAGGATGCCGGGGAAGATGAGTCTGGCAGAGAGAAGCAAGTATCAGTTTGAGGCTGACGAGAGCGACGACGAGAAGGAGAGGGAGATTGATAACAATTTGGACGCGCTGGGCGCGGTTACGGGGCGATTGAGAAATCTGGCGATGGCCACGAGCGAGGAGGTGGATAGGCAGAATGCGCAGATTGATAAGATCATGAAGAAGGTACACATAGCTCCTTACTCCCTAATCTTTTCCCTTATAGATAGCTAACACACTACACAGAGCGACCGCGTCGATGACCAGATCGCCGTTACCCACAACAGGATCAAGAACATCCACTAGACGGTAGACGGACGCAATAGACCTGTAACCTCCCTGTGTTTTTGTCTTAGCATATGGTCTTTGTAGACAACCTTCTAATTTCCTTGGCTGGTGTTCTTTTATCCATTTTTTCTTTCTTTCCTCTTCTGTGGGTATTGTTATTTTTTTTCCTTTCGTGGGTTGGAACCGGTACCTTGGGGGGTCTTGGGGGTCGTTAGTAGTAAATTCATAAAATATCACTCGGTTGGTGAAACACCGCTTTTTGTGCAGTGAGTTTGCGTGAGTTTTGTGTGAGTGAGTTTTGGGTGAGTGAGTGGCCATGATGAGTGACTCAATCATAAATGTAGTTTCCTGTCAAAGATGCACTAAAGAAGGTAGAGTATATAGGAGTAGAATAGGTATGAATCTAGCCCAACAAACTCGTACAATTTGTCCTCTCTTGGTGCGTTCATTATTCTTTATATAAACCCTAGCCTAGTCGTAGTCGTCCCTGTAACTGAAGAAAGAAAGAAAAGAAAAGAAAGAAAAACATTGCATCAATCATGATCAATCACAATCACGCCCGCCCACCCACCCCGCTTGCCATTGCCATCAAGATCTAATTCAAAAAAGAGAAGTAGGAAAAAGAAGAAAAAAAGAAGAAAAGGTAGGAAGAGATATATAAATCTTTTTTGGCTTTTAGATTCTTGGCTACCCCCCTAAACCGCGATTGTCTCGAACTGCTACCGCAAATTATTATAATAATTTTACATCCTCGCACGTGATTTTTGCGAATGCATGAACATAGTTTTGAAACCCTATGGTTACGGTTAGTAAGCAACGAGCAGCAAAGGTAGATAGGAAGGAGGAATAACATACATTGCACAAAGTCATCATATCCGGGAACGGTGTATCTCTCAGCTGGAAAGCGGACGGGATGATCTTCACTGGCCAACTCCCCACCGGCGATGCAGCGCCGGCCTTGAACATGAGGAGGAAGTAACCGGGGTGCTTTGTGTCAAAGCAGAAGCCATATGTTGACCGCTTCGGGTTGGCTTCACAGTACTTCTCGAGCCATTTCTCTGCGGGATTGTTAGAATCAAGGAAGCACTAGATAGCGGAGAATGGGCGTCAACATACCACAGTCAGCCTTGGTTCCTGATCGGAACTTGCTATTGTGTGTCAACTCGTCGACCTTTCGGGCCATGGCCTTAATGTGGTTGACGATCAGCTCGTCCAAATCACTGTACGAGAACCTTCCGCCGACCCTCAATGTTCTTCCGACAGTGAACTCATTCTCCTTGTCAAGCTCCAGTACATCAATATGTTGGTAGATGTTATCACTGACTTTCCACGTAACAGCAATGTGATCAGGGCCGTTAGAGGAAGGTCGGATGACAGCGTCTCCTCGGCTCTGACCTGCAAGGAACTCCTCTGCTTGTCTGCTGTTGAATGGCTTGAAAAGTGGATGTTTGATGACCCTTGCGGTGCGAGTCTGTTCTTGGTTGGTAACGGCTAGGCGGGCCTTGTCTCGTTCCTCTCGGGCGTCGTCCCATTCCTCTTGCGGCACGTCCGGATTCTTGCGTTTTGGGTTCCGCACTTTGTCCTCCCGCAGTGAAAGCTCGGCGTAGAATGTCCTTGTGTTGATGTTTTCAATTCTAGCTTGGACTGTTTGTCCGATGGAGTACATGCTGCTGGGGGTGAAGTGTGATGTCCCATTGTGCATTTCATCGATAGAGACGTTCCCCTCAATCCCGCAGTCAAGGCGAGCAGCAATAAATCTGTCTGTGACACGCCTAATATTGACGGGCACGACCATCCCTTCATCCAGAGTCTCGCGGGTTTCACCTGTAAGCATAGTAAAGATTTCTTCGGTGCTAAGCTTGTTAAACCTATTACGGAGTTCCTCATATGCGTGCTGAAGTTCGGCACGGATAGTTTCAAGCGTGGCACGCTTTTTCTGGTTAAAGTTACGCTCTAGCTCCTCAGCATAGTCCTCCAAACTCAACTCATTGACCTTATCTTCCTGGCCGTTGATAAGTTCGTTGATAACAGCACCAGGACCACCGTCAACTACCATAGCAGCGACATCCTCTTCATCAATGTCAAGAGCATCTGCGGCCATCTTTCGCCCTAGATCATAATCCTCAGGGTGGACTCTAGTGTTGTCAAGGTAATCCGAGTTTCGGTCTGAGGGATCGTGAGGAATTATGAGGAAACTAGCACAATTCACAAACACCCTTGGACCAACGACCGTGCCCAGCCCTTTCTCGTTGTCACCCAAAAGCTCAATACGGCTTGAAACTCTCCCTCCCTAAATATAATTAGCAACGCTAGTTCAATGATATTAGCATAAAGGAAGCTTACATTGGCTTGAATTGTCTTCAAGACACTGGTGGCTTTCCTAGGACCAAGACCACAGACATAGGGAACTAATGTTGCAACGTAAGGCTTACTTGCAGCCTCATTAATATCAACTCCCACAAGGTTCACCATATCAACAATGGCAGAGTCTAATGATCTCTGCAATTTATCCTCGGGTAGAAGCTGCTGGGCAGGGTGAAACACAATTGACACAATATCTTTTCCCAATCCAGCATATTCCAACAAAGGATTTTGCACATATCTAGCCAACGCAACACAATAGCGGGCAAGCGGGGGAAGATCGGGATGGTCCACCATAGCCCTCTCGCTATTATGATATAAACGCGCAACCTCATCATTGACGTAGACCACCTCGATCGGGATTTTTTCGTCCTCTTCTCCAGTAACCACGATGTCATTCTGCTCAACAAGCTGCCGGAGGTCCTCGACGAGCTTATGTGTTTGAACGCTGAAGCCGCTTACACCAATGACATCTGGCTTCCTCCGCTGAAGAGCGTCGACTAGCTCTTGTCGAGATTTCTCATCTTTAAGGTCCGAGTATTTAACGCTTTCGAGAACTCGGCCGTCTTCGTCTCTGAATATACCAACAAGAGCATCCCTACCACGCTCTCCCTGACCGTTTGAAAGGGCGAAAACTCGCGGGATCTCGCCCAACTTCAAAGCTTTAGGTTTGTAGGGTGCTTGGTCGAGTTTCTGATATCAAATGGTAAGCAAAGACTCTAAATGCAAAGAAAGGAAGAAGTTTACCTTTGAATAATTCCTTCGACACTCGGATGCCACAGCGTCCTCGCAGGCAGTTCTCAATTCATCCTTCACGTTCTTTTGGAACATGACTCTGAACTTTGCCATCGCGAGATCAACGACGTCTTTGCGCTCTTTGTTCCAGGCATCAGCAATATCACTGACATTTTCAGACGTGATATAATCGTAAAGCCTGCGAGTGTAACCCTCCTCATTCTGCAGCTCGATGTTTATCTCCACCAACCCATCACTTTCAGCCTTCATCATACGGAGGTACATTCCTGGCTGCGCCGCGATGGCCTGCATTGTCTGATTTCGAAGGTATTTGAATTCCTATTCTGTATCAGTTTCAAGCTCATACTAGTAACGATATAATAACCACAGGGAGATTGCATACGTAGTATTGGTGTTGCTCGTCAATCTTCTTTACACCCTTTTCTGTAACGTTGACATGTATCAAACTCCTTGTGAACCACCTCTCCCTCAATGCCTTTCTTAAGCTTGGATTGGTGAACATCTCCTCCGCAAGCATAAACTTTGCGGCCTGTAGTGCCGACTCGCCAGATGCGAACTCCGGAATTTCGATGTACTCGTCTGACATGGTATGCGGATAGTCCAATGGATCCTCTGCAAACTCGCGCTTCTGGTCCAATTGCACATTGACTGAAAACTGCGATGCGGATATACCAAAGGCCCGGACTAGTCCGTAGACCTTACCATTGCGAATTCGTTCAAACATCGTCTTGGCATTTCCGGGTCTACGGAAATGATTTCCACGACCTTCTACACCGTTTAAAGCGATGTCTTTGAGCTGTGAATGATAGCGAAAATGTATATAATCGTGCATGTCCTGGAGTTGATCGCTTGTTTCGGCGTATCTTATACCTTCCTCAGCCTCTCTGTCTTCGACGTTGGCGTGGTGCTTAAGCTGGTCATAGGTGCGCATGAAAGCGTGACGTTTGTCAAAATAGGCCCGGAACTTAAGATCGAGCTCAAGGATCTCCCAAAGATCATCCTGAGATATAAGCCTTTCAGCTACAATCTCATACTGTGCTTCATTATCATTATACTGGCGTTTGGGTACTTTCTCTGCGTGGATTAAGTAGTCTTTCCGATGCTGAAAGACAAAAGGAACCTCCATATCTTCAAGAATAAAGAACTCTAGGATTTTCTTAATAGCCTTCACCAACGCCTCCACAAGATGTGATGTTAGCCTCTTTTTAGGAATCAAGAACTTTGAAATCCAATCTCCTTCCTCGTCAATTTCATCACGACCAATTCGAAGATGGGCGTATGGCTTGCGGGCGATCTGGTATCTTTCTGGTACATCATTCAAACGTATTTCATTGTCTTCATCCGTAAGCATACGTTCAGCCAATTCGCTAGGCTCAAAGACGTCCTTCAGCTCCAAATCCTTCACTTTATCCTCGCCTTCTTCCTCCTGGTCCTCCTCAGTAATAAGCGCAAAGTCGTACTCGTCTCCTCGTCCGAATATATCCTGCATATCTGATATTGCGCCTTCACGGAGGTTCAGGTGCTCGGGTGCATAGCTGACTCTGCCTCGATCCCCACCCCTACTTCTTTGTCCGGCCATCTGCATATCATCGTCACTTCCTCCTTGACGTCCCTCGTCTCCAGAGTCTTCCTCGATGAAATCCGCAAATTCGTCAACGTCAACGAGTCCACGAGCATCCCCCGATCGCCTCCGTGAGCACGCATGTTACTGAGGCCTTCGTCATCGTCATCGGGTTCCCCAGGGGCATCGGCTTCCTCATCAGAGAAAATATCATCGAGGTCGCGTGATTGCTTCCTACGACGGCCATCGTCGCCTTGTGGACCTCGTTTGAGGCGTTTCAAGCTCTAGGCAATTGATGGGTCAGATAAACTTTAGATTTTTTCTGAGGGTGGTGAACAAACCGCTCTATGGACCTCAAAGCCAGTGTTCTCCCCAATTAGGTCGAAATCATCTTCGTCCAGACCCTCTTCCTCATCATCTTCGCGTTGGGACCTCGACCTTTTCTTCTTCCGCCCTTTGACCATTACTTTGGACCCATCATCTTGCTCTTCTTCATCCTCATCCTCATCGTCAACAATGAAGCCTTGCGCAATCTGCCCAATCACGTCAGTAATTCCAGCATTTCACCTGAACTGTTACAGACATACTTTGGCGGCCTCCTCGTCATCATCGTCATCCTCTTCTTCACTGCTGTCTTCGGGATCTTGTCGCTTCTGCTTCCCATTTAACCCTGATTTCCTGTGCTCGCCAGCGAGATCATCGTCTAGTTCTTCATCCTCCTCCTCATCATCTAGCTGCGCCTCGCGTTCAATGAAATCGCCTAGAGCCATGTTTTTTTCTGTTGCCTAGACTAGTGCGCAAATTGAACTTCTTGTCAAAGGGAGGAATTGAGGCTGGTGCCGATTTTCTCGTGATTCTGTGAATTTTAGCTGTGTAGCCAATCAAATTAAGTATAGAAGCTGGTACACAAGAAATCAAGGTGTTGAGAAAATAAAAAGAGAAAGAAAGGGGGAAAGACAGAGAACCATTCAAGCCGAGAGCTAAATGGTTTTATATGGTTTCTTAATGGAAACGTCAGGGTAACTTGTCGCGCATCTCACACGCGATCTTGGCACAACTTATGTAACACTAAATTAGCGCGAACTGATGGCTCATACTATTTTAACACCTTATCAAGTAACCTGTTAACAGTAATACAAAGTGCCCCGATCTGGACTTACATGGAGCTAACAGAGTTTAGCTTAAATACACGAGTTAACCGATTTGTGGCTTCAGAGTCTACCTTATAAGGCGGTATCTAGAGTGCAAAATCGCAGGGATATTCTACTCTACACCAAAACTTGCATATTGACGTTCAAAGACTGCTAGTTGGCCTATACCCCTGTTGTCTTGCAACGAATATTCTCAGATTTTGCGGTATCTGAGTTCCCTATTATACCCTTCTATAAATGTGTTTCATAAAGCGAATATAATACCTTTAGACGCATAAACAACACGACATGCTGCTTGGCATACGAGTGAGATTGCATGATTGAGCCTTATGCGGTTCAATAATATATGTACATGTACTTAGCTATGCCTTGGGATCTTAAAAACATAGAGTTTTATGTAATAGGTGGATCTTAGTTCCACGCCTAGACTATGAATTTTTGTCTGCTTGGAAACAAGACTACATGTGTACATCTACAGTAGATGGGAGAAGGCTAGGAAATAGAGAGAAGATTACAAGAACCACGTTACGATGGTCCTATCTACATGTACTCATTACATGTATGTACCTACATATAGTGAACAAGGTTTCTGCGCATTTGACTCTACATGCACATGTAAATACGGTATCATAGGCCAAAAGCTCAAAATACTTGCAAGGGACAGCTTTAACACCGCATTTCCCAACTAACCTTGATCTCCTTACTTCCCCCTCTGTAATCATCATAACTACATATATCATTTATTCGTCTTCCCTCTTCGGCCAGCAGCAAAGCGAGCTCATTCTTTCCTCCAACGCCCACCTTTTCCTCTTTCTAGCCCATCCTCATCATGGGGAGATTAGCCCTTATTTCCAAAGAGAATTTTACTCCGTTCTCCATCTCAAATAGGCCTAGGGGTTTATATCATGTATTCGTAGAGCTGTTTTCTTTTTTCCGCTAGACCCAGTGCTATGCCGAGCAGTAGAAAAAAGCAGAGGCATTGTCCCCTACTTATCTCAACCCCTTATATACGTAACATTTGTAGATATGATCAACAAGACCTACCTGACTTCAAGATCCTGTAATATCCTGCCATATAGTATGTAAGTGTTTTCGTTCATGTGCAGTATTCATCTTTGCTTTAGGACCTCGACCTACTTATCAAACAGATATTACTGAGCCCCCATAATTACTAAAAAAAATATGTGTGTAGACATTCCGACTGGGTCCTTTGGCGTACTTTTGTTTAATCTTTTACTAAATGTAGTTCAAGTCCCTGTATTCTCGAAAGTGGCAGCAGTCGGTCAGATCTGCTGAGTTATCCAATCGTACTGGCAGGATGCAATATCGTATCTTTACTTTAATTTCGCAGAGCCCTGACAATATGTTTTTGAGAGAGTTGACAGTACTTATAAGGAACAAAGAGTCGACGAGGGACTCAGAGTAGCTGAGGATAGTAAGGGAGAAATAATGTGTGTATGTGTGGTCGAGTAGGATAGCCAGTGAATGGGCCCCTACCTACATCCTCCAGCTGTAGCTATGTACCAGATTCAAAGGGGACTGGACAGTGGAGTCTCGATTAGGATAGTGCTTGAGTAATTCACGGAATAAATGCTATGTGAATGTAAATGTAGTTAGTAAATCGCAAAACAAGGGAGGCGCAAAACCGCGGGGTTGTATTAGATCTCTGGCTACATGGTGCATGTGGTGATCATCGGGTTAACCATAAACAGTATGTTTAGCGAGGTGCTGGTGGGTGAACCTCGTTGACCTGCAGCAGCCGTTGCGTCACACTTTTGGTGGGATGGCACTTCTCAAGTCACAATTGCAAAATCCTGTCCACCCCACCTCAACTGCCTGCCTATACACTATTTAAAAGGAAACACCTGCCCAGGGCCCGATAACACCATAACAACATATCTACTACACTTAAAATAGATCTTCTTCGTCCTATATGTCTCTGCTACCAGAACTCCTCTTGACGGTGTTATTCGGAACCCAAGCCAGCTTCACTCACCCTGGCGTAATCTTGCCACAAAAGGAATTATTAGGTGACACTGAACTGAAAAACATAGTCAAGAAATCACAGCGAAGTAGGGAGGCCAGGTATGTTTTTTTATATCAATCAACTTGAATCGCCTGTACCAGGCACGTAAACTACGCAAATAGTTCACTAACACATTGCTTTCACAGAGAGACTTTGGGATACAATCCTAGAGTATGGCGAGCATTAACAGAAACTCTGAAATCTGGAAATGACCAACTTATAGCCAACAAGCATCATCTACTGCCTAAGGTATGGGATTTGGCTATACTGGGTAGAAACCTTTTGGCTGCCAAGGAAAAGGCTCAAGATCTCTCAGCGTAATGCCCCGTCTCACAAACCACTGACAAAGTGGACTGTAATGTTAACGCTGAAAACGAATATAGAGAGGAAGGGTTTGAGGCGGAGATTCGAAGGCTGCTGGATATATGCATAGAGAAAGCTGGCAAACCTATCGCATCTGATCTCGAGAAGCCGGCCCATGACAAGGAGATGCAGATTAAATCCGGGTGTACGTGGAGATAACTGCCCCGGTTTCACCGAACGATATTTTAAGATATGCTAACACCGATACCCAATCTATTAGATAAGAAGGTCCTAATAACTGCACTACAATTCCTCAACAACCTCATGACCCAAAATGAAACCCGCAAACTTCACGTTTGGTTACACATGTTTGGCACCCCATCCTCGGCCACTCCAACTGCAAGTTCTACAACTACGAAGAGTACAACGAGTAAAAAAGCAAAGGGCTCTAGCAAGCCTCTGCCTTCATCAGGTTCGGGTGTTGGTTTAGTTGGCAGTACAACTGGAAACTCTGGAGGCAGCCATAATGAAACCGTGGCAAAATGCAATTCTTTGTCAGCTGGCTTTAATGCAAAGTATTATAAGCCTGGTTTTATGACCGAGATACCGAGATTATTACAACCCGATGAGATCGAGCCCTTGCCAATGATTTTGCAAAGTGGCGTGGTTGCGTTTGAGGGTACAGATCAGGCAATGCAGGCAGTCAGATGCAAGTTGATGCTTGCTCAGGGTTACGGGAGGAACCTCTTACGAGAGGTTTTGATCTTCCTAGGAGCGTGGGAAGTTGATGAGGATGACTTTTGTTACAGAATGATGTGAGAGAATTCACAAATCGAAAGTAGACCCCAAATATTAACCAGAATATCCTACAGGTCTCAGGTGATTGAAGCTATTTTGATCAACGGTCTGGTACCTTACGCTTATGAATGCTTTAGGGAGTATGTCCAATGCTATATTCTCAGAGTAGATCATCGTTACTAATCTATGTCTAATAGTGAAAAGGACATAGTCACACCTGCTCAATCCGTATTACTAAAGCTTTTGGTTTCAGTCTATCGCCCTTCGGCTCCAATAGTGGGTACGTCAAGCTCGGACTCGCAGCCTTCCCCTCTAGATCCATTTAGCTTTCACCCCCTCTCGGCCCCCTCAGCTGTCGGTGGGTCGACCGAACAACACGAGGTTGCACCACCGATTGAGAACTCTATACCCGCATTTTTCGTTGGAGTTTTTCGAAAGCAGGTCCTCCCTCCCACGATCAAGATAATAAAGTTACAAGGAGCCATTCGCAAAGGTCAGGAAAAGAAGGAAAGCTTTGAGTACAGCCTTTGGGATTTAGACAGGATATATGAGGGGGTTTATCAATTTCTAGAATTACTCGTCCTATTTTCTGAAGACGAGGAGGCCAAGAAAGTTCTGCTAGCTGGTGACAAGGGACTGGTAGCGGATCTAGTGGAATTTCTGGGAGAACTTGACAGTGCAATTCCACGCTGGGTCGCTTCGAAGGCGCCCCCCCCGACGGCTTCCCCAATTCCCGCTACTGTAAAAGAAATCGTAGAGGATTCCACCACTAAAGTCAGCAAATCTTACATGGTTGAGAGACCATTCGATGTTCACCCAGAAAACGAGGGCGATGGAGAGGAAGACGAAGAGCGGCTCCCGATAGATCTTGACGATGATGAAGATGATGACGGGCGGGATGACGAGAGAGGGCTGGCTGAGCCAGAAGATTTTACGTGGCCACACATAAAACGCTACCTGGTTCTCCTCTTGAGTGGGTTTGCATGGAAAAATAAAGCGGTGCAGAATCTCGTTAGAGAGAAAGAGGGACTGCAGCCCATTCTGAATCAATGCATGATTGACGATGATAATCCTTGTAAGTCATCGAACCTCCGTTTTTGAAGCATTTGCTAATGATCAAAGATATTCGAGAACACGCGATATTATGCATTAAAAATATGCTGGAGGGAAATCCCCAGAACCAGAAGATTGTTGAAGAGCTTGATGCTGTCCAAACAGTGCCTAGCGAAGTTCTTGATAAGAACGGATACGAGCACTTCATAGATGAAAGTGGTAGAGTGCAGCTGAGAAAATTGCCAGAGCGAAAAATGTGAAATAGAATTAATCGCTGTATGTATATAATAGAGAACTCAATTAGGTGCTTCAAAAGGGTGGAATCTTTTGTCTAGTACATGTACGTATAGAATGCCTGATTGGACCTTATCAGCATTTGAGCAACGAGTGAGAATACATGATACATCCTCTTCGTTCATAGGGTTAGGGGACTGGTTTTGGTTCTCGTCTGCTTTTGACTGGCGGCTCTGCTTCGGCAACATCCGCCCCCTAACTCATACGTTCTAAAACATTCATCACATCAACTTAGACAACCGCTCTCCGAACCACTTTCCAAACTCTATCAGTAACGATGACAAACCCATCCGATCCTTCGCAGCCAGCTATCAAAGCCGAAAATACACCTGAAAACACACTCCCAGATGTAGACGTTGATATGGAAAACGCGACAAACGCGACGCAGCAAGATCCCCTGGCGGGTGCGGGTGATAGAATCCCAGCTCCAGCTCCTGTTGCAGCAAGAAAAGATAGGAACCTCCGCGAGTTCTTGGGAATGATGGAGGAATATGCGCCAATCGTGAGAGCCCTATTTAAGATGTCTTTTTGCCTTTTACTTGAAGCTTGACAGTTTGCGATCATATAAAAGGCTTATTACTGCACGTGACAGCTAACACTTTTTGATACTTGTAGATCCCAGACGCGGTAACAGACTACTATTTGTCGCTTTCTGGTCTCTCCACTGCCGACCCACGGCTCAAGCGTCTCCTTGCCCTCGCAACTCAAAAATTTATCGCTGATATCGCCACTGATGCGTACCAGTACTCACGCATACGTCAAAACTCATCAAATGCTAGTGGTGTTCCTGGTATCGGCGCCCTGAATGTAGGCGCTGGGGGAGGTGCTGGAGGCGCGGGTGGTGGTACAGGTGGTGGTGGCTCCTTCAGACCCATTGCAAGACCGGGTTTCGGAGGTGGTGGTGGTAGTGGCGGGAGTGCAGGTAGAACTGTATTGACCATGGAAGACCTTGGTAGTGCAGTCGGCGAATATGGCGTCAATACTAGAAGACCAGAATTCTATCGGTAGAATGTTGGCGATCTACCATGCTTCTTTTTTATTTTATTCGTTAAACGGATTCCCTTTTCCTTCCCGACTTCTTTTCTTCTACAGATGTTGCCTGATCGACTTGCGCATCTTAATAATTTTTCTATAACTTCCTTTACCCCCATTTTACTTGGTGCTGGACATAAATCTCTCCTTTGGGCGTTGGCTGGTTGTATTTTATAAGAATTCTGAATTGAACTTCTGTTTCGTATCCGGATAAATGTCGTAAAAAATTTGCCACCGAAGATGAACTACTAGCTGAAGATGAAAGAAAATGATCCGTATTTATAACCTTCCATGGAAGCTATAGGGAAGAGCGCCTATAAAGAATACAAAATCGATGATGGTCCCAAAAAAATAAAATAAAACTCCTAAACCAATACCCGGCATAAGAAATAGAGAAAAAGGGGAAAGATCGTATTCCATCCATCCATTCATCCATCCATTCATCCATTCGTTCATGCACCCAAAGAACTCAAAAAGTAATACAGACGTTCATTGCTTCGTGGTCCAACCCCGCTTGGAATGATGCCTGAATTTACCCCACAGCTGATTTCTACCCAAACGCAGGCCCCATTATAACACGCAGGAGAAACCTTTGGTGATATGTTCGATTACCGCTTCCGCTCGAAATAAGAGCTACTGCCCATAACAGCGATGCTTTGGTCCATCATCCACTCGCCGATATTAAGGTACTTTTCAAGAGCCGAACGAACGTCCTTGGATTCTATCTTCTCTGTTTGGAGGCTGGGACTAAGGTCAGTTTCAGCTCACTTCCATTCAAATGGGGAACTTTGGCAATAAGGCCAGATAAATTTTTGTGGGTTGATTCTAAGGATGAAAGAAGGGTGTAGTACGTAAGTCCAGTAGAACGCTTGACACCCGCAAGAAATGCAGAGAAGAGAATGGCATCGAAGCCGTAGTGTGCCAACTTTCCGAGCTGTGGAAATTCAGTATTATTACTTTATTTAAACTGCTCGCGCCCGTAGCTTCATTGTATAATTATGTGCGGGGGCGCAAGAAAACGTACCATTTTGAATGGTAAAAATATAAAAGGAATAATTTTTTCGACGGGTGAGATGACTATCGATCTCTGCGAAGCCAAAATAATATATTTGATGGTTTGTAGACTTAAGACTCTGCGATATGGATGGTGGACTTCAGGAGGGTTGGATGTAAGGAGATGAGCGAGCTGCCGGGCCTGTGAAGAGAGAGAGTTCTATTTGGGTTCACGTGCTACTCTATGTATTATGTAGATCTGATATTGCTGTCAATAATACAATAGCTTTGTTGCTGTGTAATGGTTAGATGGCAACAGGCTACAGCTTCAGGTTTGAGAACTCTACAGTCACTCACGGGGTGAAGGCGGATCCTGTCTGATGGCGGTCAGGGATTTGAGGCCAATAAAAGAGTTAGGTTTTAGACGCCAAGGGCAAATTACTGCAAACAGAACCATCAGACAGGATCCGCCGTCAGTAGGTGAGCGACTGTATCCGAATATCATAATCGACTATGCTTATGCACCTCGAATTTGTAACCAATGGCTTGTCCACGTCGTACCGAAACTCCTTACTCTAGGAGAGCTTGTACCTGCTCCAAATATCTCTAAATCGGACAGGTCACTGACCTGACCCCAAGATCGATATATACTTCATATATCCTTCGTAGATCTAAGGTACAGACAGTGGTTAGATCTTTCCTACGCCTCGGGCACCTCTCCCAGCATCTTCAATGCTCTCATCATCCACGACAACCTTCATGCTCCCACTTTCATCCTTCTCCCCTAGCATGTTGGATAGAACCTTTGCTTTGTTCCTGCCTCGTTTCAGTGTCTCGTCGACCTCTTCAACCGACTCTTCGTCGTTCTTGAATGGCGGGTTTGTCAGAATGACAGCCAGTGACTCGGTTTGCTTTTGTACGCGCGAGTTTGTTATATGAATATCATTTGGCTTCCCTGCATAACCCACAGTGGCGGGTGGAGCAGTAGATTGAGGTGGTATCCTAGCTTTCCAGACCGAACAACGGCCTTGAAGTCTTCCTAGCTCCAGGAATTTTTCAAAGCCCTTCTCCAGCCCAAAGGCACGGCCCTCAATTCTCCCCGCCTGTTCTCCATCCTTCACCCCAAGAGCATATCCTTCTTGATAGAAGCTATATAAGTTTTAGTCGTCTGGATGTTTAAAGTGTCTAAACAGAGAGATATGCATACTCCTCCTCTAAACTCAGTAATGAATCGAAAATGTCTGCCATTTTACTCTGTAAGGGACTCGTGGGGTTGGTGTGTCTGCTTAGGCGTGGTACATGTAGCAAAGCCGTTACGTGGTTTGCAGGGCGGTAGCAACTGATGTGCAAGAACCCAAGCAGGCCACCAAATCACCCATGAGTTTGTAGTCAAAACTTCTTGTAGATAAGGTTTTAGAAAAACCTTCTTTTCTAAGGCTGGTTTGACTGCTTAAGTAATAATTTATATTATGGATAAAGAGATGAAGGTTTGCTTGTGTTTGGCAGGGAACCCTTGGTAAACAATCGCAGGTCACGAATCCCCGCCTGATAAGATAAGAATCTCGCAAACCTCACCTTCTTGACTCACCGTCACCCCCACTTAACTGGCTCTCCTTCCGCATACCCTCAACGTTCGTACTGGTGGAATATTTCGTGATAAATAATACCGCAGCATAGACCAAACCATTATCTCTAAACGTAATTATCCTACTGTATTACTTGCCGGCTAGTGGTGACTGGGGATCATGGCTTCTTGCATCATACTTTGTACTTTGTTAACAAATGCGGGGTGAAGCGCGTTAGAAAAGAAGTTACCTATCCGCCAAAATGGCGACACCTACATTGAAAGTCAACATTCCAGTCCCCGCCCCTGGGGGGTCCGCTTCCTTCGTTCAAGCTTTGAAAGTTTGTATTGCGGCTGCAGCTTACGGCGTTCCTGTTCAATACTCCAAGGGTTTGTTATCCCGCATGTAATTCCAATACAAACAATACTGATCTTTCTTGGGATCTAGCTGCAGGTCAAACAAGTGTCAGTGTCGAATCTCCCAAAGATAACAAGGTCTTGATTGAAGTAAATGCTATTGTCCGCTACTTTAGCGCTATTGGATCAAGCCCATGGCCAAAATCTGGCGAAGAAGCGCTAAAGGACTATGCGTTGATTGAATTCGAAGAGTCCAGACAGCAGTTGAATTTGGATGTAGCGGAGAGCATTATTTCAAGCGCCAAGTTTGGCCAGGTAAGAGAGAACTCGGGACATATCACAAATTGATAGCTGATTTTGTTCAAAGGACGTCACTGCTGCGCCCAGTCCAGCTGAAATCATCCTTTTCTCGACACTTTATGACCTGGTGGCAACGGCAACTCTAGCTAAGGATTCAGTTCTTTCAGCCTGGTTTGTCAAAGTAATTGGAAGCTCATGGGCAAAAGCTGGGATTGAACTAGCAGCAGCAAACACCGCCGACAAGCCCATGACCATCAGCAAAGGAGCTCCGGGGATGGAGGAAAAGGCAGAACGGGTATTTATTAAATTGATAAAAGAGGGTGTGCAAATGAAGGTTCCTAATACAGGCGAAGATATGTAAGGTTTTCATTGGGGGTATACTCAATTTGTGGTTCTAATACTTCAGTAGACTTCCGGTACCTGGCCAGAGGAACGTACTTATCACATCAGCGCTGCCATATGTCAATAACGTACCGCATCTTGGAAACATCATTGGGAGTGTTCTCAGTGCGGATGTCTTCTCAAGGTAATAACCAAACGTCATAATTTTGAACAGAGCTAACAAGCTGCAGATATGCCAAGGCTCGCAATTATAATACTCTTTATATTTGCGGAACAGATGAGTATGGAACTGCGACCGAAACCAAGGCTCTCGAGGAGGGCTGCACTCCCAGGGAGTTATGTGACAAATACAATGCACTTCACGCTGATATTTACAAATGGTTTGATATCGGGTTTGACTACTTTGGTCGAACGACTACCAACTCTCAAACTGAGATTGCACAGGAGATCTTTATGGATCTCCACAAGAGCGGCTTTTTGGTTGAGGAATCCATGACTCAGCTCTTTTGTGAAAAGCATCAGGGATTCTTGGCGGACCGTTTCGTGGAGGGTATTTGCCCTAAGTGCGGTTATGAGGACGCTAGAGGAGACCAGTGTGATACATGTGGACAGCTGTTGGATCCTTTCGAACTTATTAAGCCGAGATGTAAGCTTGATGGTACCAGTCCAATCCCCCGAGACTCAACCCATATCTTCATCGACCTTGAGAAACTTCAGCCAGAGATTGAGGCATGGTCAAAAAAGGCAGCCGAAGAGGGGCAGTGGTCCAAGAATGGCCGGATTATTACAGAATCTTGGCTTAAGCAGGGGCTTACAAAACGCTGCATTACCCGCGATCTGAAATGGGGAACTCCGGTGCCTTTGCCAGGCTTTGAGGACAAAGTCATGTACGTGTGGTTTGACGCATGTATCGGATATGTCTCAATTACTGCGGAATACACAAAAGAGTGGAAGAGATGGTGGAAAGATGCGGATAATGTGAAGCTATATCAGTTTATGGGCAAAGACAATGTTCCTTTCCATACTGTTGTTTTCCCCGGGAGTCAACTAGGAACCAAGAATGGCGATTGGACCATGTTGCACCATATCAGTACCACTGAATACCTCCAGTATGAGGGTGGAAAATTCTCCAAGAGTAGAGGTGTGGGTGTGTTTGGTAACAACGCACAAGACACCGGGGTGCCACCAAGTGTATGCTTATTTCTTGAGTTGCGTATATATGGATTGTCTAGCTAATACTTTATAGGTTTGGCGCTACTATCTTCTCTCTTCTCGCCCCGAGACGGGTGATACCCAATTCGTCTGGAAGGATTTTGCCACAAAGAACAATTCCGAATTGCTTGCTAATCTGGGAAACTTTGTCAATCGTTTGATCAAGTTTGTCAACGCAAAATATGCTGGTGTGGTTCCCGATTACACCAAAGGCATTAATGACCCAGCCTTCGATCAATACAAAGAATCTGTCAACGCCCTCCTGAAAGGTTATATTGAAGACCTCGAGGGCGTGCATTTGAGAGCTGGGCTTGAAAAGGCTATGGCAATCTCTGGCGAAGGCAATCGTTTCCTCCAGGACAACAAACTAGACAACAGTCTTTTCGCCAACTTCCCCGAAAAGGCTGCTGCAGTTGTAGGGTTCGGATTAAACCTGATTTATCTCCTTTCAGCAGTTATATACCCTTATATGCCTGCCACTACTTTGTCGATCATCGATCAGCTCAATGCTCCACTCCGTGCTATTCCCGATACATGGGAAGCTAGAGATTTGCTTCCTAGTCATGTCATAGGAAAAGCAGCCTACTTGTTTTCCAGAATCGAGGAGAAACAGGAAGAGGCTTGGAAGTCTAGATATGGGGGTAAGCAGGAGAAGCTAGCTGATGCGGATGCGAAGAAGGAGAAGAAGAAGGGAAAGAAGGCAGCGAAACAACATGAGCAAAAGAAAAAGGAGGAAGGAAAGTCCACAACTGTGGAGGTTAGGGATACACCCAATCCTACTGCCGCTTAGAGGTAGTAACATTGTGGCAATTGATGATCACGAAAATATTTCATATATTGTCTTAGAAGATGGGATGACTCATGTTTGCTCATTTCACTTCCTCTCTCGAAAGTTCGTGAAGATCTCCAGAGTGTATTCTATGATGTAGAAAAGAACAGGGTTGGTCAAATATCATGGTAACAATACATAATTTGGTGTGATCAATGGCAATATAGGCACAGTATGGGGCCCAAGACTTACATCTTATCCTTCCCTTCCCGTACGTACTTGTAGATACATGCCGTGGTAGGTAGTACAGGAGGTATTTCATCTCCTATCTAGGGTTAGGGCTGCCCAATTATATGTAGCACATCTACGATTGCGATTGGTCCAAACAACACCAAACCTCGGGAGATACTACGAGTCGAGGGCATACCTGTCAAGAAGCCAGAATTGCTAGACCCCGAGACCCCTGAGGCTCTCGCTCCGCACTGATAAGCTTAAGGGGCAGGTAGATATTCGGACTACAGTTTTATGCTTTGCTGAGGTACATACATGCTCTACATATCCTCCCATTCTCTCCCCTCCCCTTCCCCACGCGCATCCTATCAACCTGCCAATAGTACTACACAATAGGTCGTACATCTCTGTATGTTCATTCCGTCCTATCGCACGTCTCTTACAAACAAAACCCTCACATTCCTTTCTAGAACTCATTCGCTATAATCCCATCGAATGTCATTTGGACCATCGAAATCGCTGAAGATGGCTTCGTCTGCCCCAGAGAAATCTCGACCATCTTCGACCTCTCCACGTCTACCGTCTCCCCCACCATTCCCTGAGGTTCAAATCCCCGCCACCTCCACCACAAACTCAAAATCTGGTACCGCAGCCGCGACTACAAACTCGCTGATAGCCCCGCGCCGTATTCGCCCCGGCACCAAGTCCAAAAACATTGCGATTGGTCCGCCTCTCGTGCCATTCAATGAACTTGACTCTCCATTCCAACTTCAAGAGCATCTTGCCGCGCTTCTGTCATCAATCACATCACCGCCGGACTCAGACACCACCATCCCGCTGTCACGCGAGGCATGTGAAGCACTCGCTACACCGCCGGAGGGCGCTGAGGAGTCGCTGTGGTGCTATGAGCTTACGCGCCGATTGACCAGGGATCTCAATGTTTTACTTGTTGCGTTACTAAATGACAATTGCACTGCCTCTTCGTGCCCAGAGATGCGCGCAAGCGAATGGCAGTACCTGTGCGCGGTGCACGACCCGCCTAAGTCATGTTGCGCCATTGATTACTCTACGCATACCCTTGACCAAGCGGCCACTATGCTATGCACTCAAAAATATTTCCCTAGCAGGTTGAATTTAGGTGCAGGAAGTATCAAGCATTTGGGCAGCATCTTTAGGAGGCTCTATAGAATATTTGCGCATGCATGGTTTCAGCATAGAAGTGTATTTTGGGACGTGGAGAATGAGTTTGGTTTATATCTCGTGGGTTACACTTACCTAAAAGTTGGTGCTTCCTTTCTAATTGTATGGGCGATTAAATAGTTTTTTAAGACGGTCTCTGATCGTTACCATTTAATCCCTAAAGATAACCTAACTCTTCCACCAGAGGCAGAAGGTTTAAAATCAACTGATGATGAAGCGGATTTTGAGGAAGAAGAGATCGACGAGTTCGACCGCGGGACGGGAGAGCAAGGCCGTCGACAAGAGTTAGGCGGGGAACTCGAGGAAGATGATGGTGATGAAGATTATCCAGATAGTGACGAATCTGAATCTGATGAAGATGAAGAAGGAGAGCTCAGAAACGGGGAAGATGACGAGGATGAATTTGAGCTAGAAATGGATATCCATTTGTTGGAGGATGAGAAAAGCGAACTGGCAGGAATCGAAAATAATATAGACGAGAAAGATGAAGAAGAGCAGGATGCAGAGGAGATTGTTGAGAAATCACTCTTGCTCCTACCTGCCCCCCCGGAAAACGCCACATTGGCTTGTTTGAAGAGCCTATATGCACCTTCTCTTGCCGCCGCTTTCCAGCAGACTCCTTCTGAAGTATATTCGATTCTAGATGTAGCAATCCATGTACCTTTCCTATCCTCTTCCGCCACAATTTCTCGACGGAAAGTATTCGCAAAAACTCAAAGGCTTCTTGCAAGATTATATTCATCAGCATACTCCGCGGCTATCAAAGAAGGAAGGGAGGACCTCGTTGATGTCAGGATCGTGTTCTTGAGCAACACTGGCTTGAGCTTCGAAGATGAGAAGAAGATTCCAACTGGCATTTTCAATGGCCCAATCGTGAGTTTACGCAAACTTGCAGATTCGGGAAGGGAGTGGAAGAATATAGTTATCGCATCACCCCCACCAACGGAAGGCGAAGAGGATGGCGAAGGGGAAGGTGAAGTGATTGCGAATAACTTTTTGGAGTACTATCGTGATCAGGTCGGAACCGATACCGTCGTTCTCCGCTGTGATCTTGGCGAGATTCCGGAGAACCCTGAGGAAGAAGAATCAAGTGAAAAAGAACCAGAAGATGGAGAAGAGCACTCAATTGTAGCAGGTTTGTCCACAGTTGTCCGCTTTCTTGGTGATAATCACTAATGCAGTAGTACAGTTGGCGGAACATTCGACCACCTTCATCCAGGACATAAGCTCCTCTTGACAATGACCGCCTTCATTCTCTCTCCTCACGCACCGTCGCCGCGTCTAATAATCGGTATAACTGGAGCTAATATGCTCAAAAATAAGAAACACAGCAAATATCTTACCCCATGGTCTACCCGAACCCACCAGACACTCCAGTTCCTTCGTGGGATCCTCGATTTCGCCTCTCCTGACGAAATAAAATCCAATACTACCTCTTTGATGACACCCGAGCCAGAGAATGCGCTTCGCGCTTTCACTACACTATTTGCCGGCGCCCTTGTTGTAGAGACAGTCGAGATTGACGATCCTTATGGACCTACCACGACTAATGAGGACATCTCTGCACTTGTAGTGTCTGCTGAGAGTTCTCAAGGAGGAGAAGCTGTAAACGCCAAAAGGCGTGAGACTGGATTCAAGGAGCTAGAGGTTTTCTCTGTAGATGTTATTGACACTGATGCAGAAGGCGTGAAGATGAGTAGTACCGATATCAGAAGACGACTGGAGGAGAAGGATGCAATCGAGAATTAGTTGGTTCGGGTGGGTGTAATATTCAATTTGTAGACTACATAATATGTATGTAAGCCTGCAATTCTATAAAAGCCATGCCCGTTAAGGTTTGAGATCGGGAAGCGATTCGTTCTTGGGTTTCGATTTCGGGCTGGAATTTACATCAGCATACATGAATTATCACTCGTTTGGTCATATGAGATCGACGAAGTCCTCTTGTTTTCACTTTTTGAACAGAGTACATGTAGATACATGTAGGTCAAACTCTTGTGCGTAATGGTCATACACTATCACTCGTGGCTCTAGATTAAAGCCAGCAAGCAATTCTTTATGAGTCAGCTGTGCCAGGAAATAAGTAACTTGAGCAGTTTTTTCTTTCTTTCTGTAACCTACATATATCTATGTTTTACAGGCCGGTACCTTATTAATTTGACCCCCAATAGTAAGCTATACCATCAGTACTCTACGACAATTCGATTATATGGCAAAACCCCTTTCGCGCAGAAACATGGTAGATGAAGTGGCGAGAGCGCTAACTGCTTACGTTCAATGCATGCATCTCACTCGCTTGCTTCATGCTGACTGCCCTGACACAGGTCAAGTTAGTTTCCCTACTACTTGACATGATCTAATCTCTAATGTCGCCATTTCCTTATCTGATCACGTATTCCTTGAGCCTAGAATCCGGTAGATGAATAACATACCTCCCAGGTAGAGCTAGAGAGACCGTAGTGTAGTCACTGTAGTGGGCAATTCTCACTGTAGTGGGCAATATTAATTCTCACCGCAGCAAATCTTCTCGGCCACCACGTTCGCCGAATACGCGCTATCATAGTAACGGCAGCCAGCAGCGCGCCGAGAGAGGCGGCATACATGTATCCTTATAAGTTCGCATGCACTGAGCACTCCACTTATTGCAAAAGATCATCTCTAACACATTGCTAGCCCGTCTCAACTCAGCTGAGATAAAAAGCCTCAATAAACCGGATCTAATGAGTAGTTGACTAATAAAATTCATATATATTACATACATAAAACGGGTATGGACAGGTGCAATACACCGAATCAGTCTAAAAGACACAGTTCGTCCGTTAATTGGGCAGAATAGTAGCTGCAAGGAAACCAAGAAACTCAAAATCATGGATGGCCTGGGGACGCGCCCACTTTCATCCGCAGCTGGGCAAAAGTGAAGAATGCGTAGAGTACTCCATGGTACTCTATGTAGGTACATAGTGCACATGCTCAAATCTTGGTAGCCCAAGTTTCGCCTCAGCGAACTATGGCAGAGTAATGGGCATCCAAAACTTAGGGTTCAAAACGCGCCCACATACCAGATCTTACAAATCGTAACTGAACGGACAAATCAAAACCTTTCAATGGCCCAATCGCCCAGATATAACTGGTACCAGTGGAATTTCAAACTTGGGTCTGGGGTACAGCATCTGGAGATGCCAAAAGAGACTCCATGCATTGATATTCCAGTTTGTGTACTACGAACTTTGTCTCAATCGATCAGAGATACAATTCTGTAAGGGTTAGCGCCTCTCAAGCATTGAGACACATCGTCCGAAAACCCCCACCTTTCTCCCCGCTATTGTACCGAGTTTTTGAAATCTCCTCCAAGTTTTACGTTACAACCACGTTACACAGGCAGAAAAGTCTTTAACCATTAGGCTTCACAGCCCAAAATACCCCCTGCAGTCATGAGCTCCAACCCCGCCCCCCTTCTGGCAGGCCACCCCCCTCCAGAATACCTTCAGGCAAAAGCAGCCTTTGCCGGCCCCCTGCTCCACCAAGCGGACAGGCACAAACTCTTCAACAAAATGGGCCTAGAGGAGAAATCCCCGGCTATGGACGACCTCCTGCAGCTCATCACCTCCACCTTCAGCGCCCAAGATCCCTCCATGGACCCGGCCAAGGCCATCGTTAGCCTCCTCCTCGGCCTCTCAACCCAAGTCGAGAAACTCACTACGGAAGTCCGCACCCTAGCCGCGAGACACACCGCCGACGTCACCCTCCTCAACGCACGCATCAACAACCACACTCCCCACCACTCCCCAACCCCAGGCCCTCCGGCCCGCCCCCTCCACCAAAGGCAACCCGCTCACCAACCCCGCCAACCCCCCCGCCCCGCCATGCCTATCCCCCCCCCTCAAGCCACCCCGATCGAAGGAACAGAGCTCCACCTAAACGACCCCATCGAAACCATCGACCAAAACGGCAATAGACGCCTCCTCACCTATGCCGAGAAACTCAAACAACACCACGACAATTCCCGCCCCACTGTCCCCCCCCCCTCCACCCGGAATGCAGGCCCCCGCAGGCCCACAACACCCCAAACAGCAACAAACCTCCCCACCGCACAACGCCGGTTCTTCGCAACCAGGTCTAACCCCGCCCCCTTCCCGAACCACCAACAACTTGAGGCAAGACTCCCATCCGACCTCGGAAGAGTCCTGGCCAATGCAGGCCTCACCCACCCTCATACCGCCCTCCAAGTCCAGGTCAACCGCAATGGCACCGTTACCTGCACCGCCTCCCCCTCCACCCCTGCCAAAGACATCGCCCCCTACTTCCCCGGCCTCCTCGCAGTCCTGAACCTCGCCTGCAACGCATCTGAGAACCCACTCAACGAATTCCAGCTCGCACCGACTAATGTCGACTACGCTATCCATAACGTCCCCATCTTCGCCCTCGACGTCCCAGAGACGCTCTTCACTCCTCACCTCGCTGAAGCCATCGCCCTCACCACCGGAGCCTCAATCACCAAAGCCAGATACCTCACCAAACCCGAGAACAGAATCGGAAAAACTACCACCACAATTGTCGTCTCCATCCCTGCCGAGGATACGGACAAGATCGGAGACCAAATTCGCCTATTCGGACGCTCCCGCCGGTGTAATAAACTCTGGCCAGCGTCCCCTAATACCCTCTGCCGCAGGTGCGCCCGCCTAGGACACGCCACAGAAGGATGTCAATCGTCCTCACCCACATGCCCGCTCTGCGCAGGCAACCACCTCCGCAAAGACCATCGCTGCCCCAACCAAGCCTGCCCTAATGAAGGCCACCTCAAACCCGTCATCGAATGCTGCGCCACTTGGAAAGCCAAATGCATCAACTGCGCCGGCAACCACATCGCCTCCCTTAGAGAATGCCCTGCAAGGCGCTCCCGTACCCAGCCCGCTGCCACAGCGCCGGCCCCACGGGGCGCCACACCCGCCCCCCAGAACACTACAGGCAACCCCCCACCGGTCACCCTGCCACAACCCACCACCCCCCAGTCCACATCAGTACCCGCACCCCAACAAGAAGGATCTGCGGAAGAGGACTTAACCATGACGCAGTAATGCCGGCACGATCCTCCTCCCTCCCCTCCTCCCCCCCCCCTCATCCACCCATCGATCAGACATATCCAGCGGAGATCCTTCCAGCAATCTCTTTACAATAATCCAACTAAATTGCGCAAAAAGCAACGCAGTCTTCCTCTCGCTCTTCTCTTCCTTTTCCAAGCAACGCCCCCCCAAATCGTCGCAGTACAAGAACCCCTCACCATTCTCAACCGCCCTCTCAACGCACCAGGTTACGAATGCGTATTCCCACCAACAACAGAAGACGAACCCGTGTCAGTCGCCTTCTACATACACCTTGACTTCCTCCAACATACCTCATACTTCCCCATCAACTTCGATAGAGGCGACGTCTTCGGCATAGCCATCTACTGGAGAAATTCCGACACCCCCTCCCTCCCAGCACAACTCGAAATAGTAAATGCCTATAACCGACACATCTCACCTAGCAGAAGATCAATCCTCCCAGAGACGATATTCCGCAATACCCGAAACCCCTCCATCATCTGCGGAGACCTTAATATACACAACATCCGCACCGACCCTGAACGCACCATAAATAGAAGAGAGGAGTCACTCTCCTCCCCCTACTTCTCCACAGCTGCGGCCAATGGCTACTCCCTGCTCAATATCCCCGGCAGGATTACCAGAATCTCCCCCAACCCACTCCAAAGACATGGGGTTATCGACTTAGCCTTCGCAAACCCCCCCGCCCTCAATCTCTTCCACTCCTGGTCCAACAAGCTCCCCAATGCAGGATCCGACCACACCCCAATCAAACTACGATTCACCCTCTCCCCCAACATGACCTCCCCCCCCTCACTCATCCCCGACTGGAAAAAGGCCCCCTGGCCTGCAATCCAAGAAACCCTCCGCAAAACCTCCCTCCCCCCAATCTCATACCCCATCGACCACTGGTTTGGAAGCGCTCTAGCTACCATCACCGAACCAGTCCTCGCCGCCACCCCAACCAAAAGGCCGTCTTCATGGTCAAAGGCATGGTGGTCCCCTCACCTTTCAACACTCCGACGGATCTTCAACTCTGTCGCCAGAGCATACAGAAAGGGGCTGTCACCCCCTTCGAATACAAAGCCGCCCGCAACGCATACTTCTCGGCCATCCAAGAAGCCAAGAAGAGGCACTGGAACGACCACATAGCCCAGGCCGACTCACAGCAGGTTTGGGCACTCAGAAAATCCACGATCCGGAACAAGGAAACTAAACTCCCCAAATTCCCAAACGCTTCCTCCCCAGCCGAGGTCAACCAAGCCCTCATATCCCACTTCTTCCCCCCCCAACCAAACCCCAACCCGGCACCACAACCTGGCTTCTTCCCTGACACCCCAGAAGTGACAGCCATCGAAGTAGCCAAAGCACTAGCCGCCTCCTCAAACAACTCAGCACCAGGCCCGGACACGTTCCCCCCCGTAGCCTGGAAAAGAATCCACCAAGGAAACCCATCCCTCATCCCCCAACTCCTCACCCCCCTCCTCAGAAGCGGATATCACCCGGTAGCGCTTAAGAGCGCCCTCGGGGTCATCCTCCCCAAGCCCAACAAGCCAGACTACAATTCCCCCGCCGCCTATCGGATCATTGTCCTCCTCGAGACAGTCTCGAAAATACTCGAACGGATAGTGACATACCGCCTTCACGCTTTCGCCTCCTCATCCCGCCTCATACACCCCCACCAATGCGGTTCGATCAAAGGACTGTCTACAGCGGACGCCGCAACCACTCTCCTACACGAAGTCAGGCTCCTCCAACGCGGGGGCCTGAAGGTCTCGTCCCTCTTCTTAGACGTCAAAGGGGGTTTCGATCACGTCATCCCCTCCGTCCTCGCAGATACCCTCCGCAGCAAAAACACTCCTCCGTATATGGTCCAATGGGTCCTCTCGTTCCTCTCGGATCGCAAATGCACCCTCCTCTTCCCAGGCGGCCCACGAGCCTCCCTGCTTGTAGCCGTTGGAGTACCTCAGGGCTCCCCTATCTCACCGCTACTATTCTGCATATATGTAGCACCACTACATATAGACCCGACCCCTGGCATCACCATCTCATACGTAGACGACTTCGCTTTCACAGTCGCCTCCACATCCTACCAACAAAACATCAACCTGCTAGAAAACGCCTTCCTAAGGGCAACAGACACAGGCACCCCACGCAACATCCACTTCTCCCTCCCCAAAACAGACCTCATTCACTGGCGCACCAGCGCTGACAGAAGCGAACCCTCTTCTCTCCCCATCACACTCAACCGGACCCCGCTCAACCCCAAAAGGGAAATCCGCTGGCTGGGCCTACAACTTACCGACAACCTCAACACATTTAATCACTTCTCCAAAAGATGTGCCTCGGCACAAGCCTCCTTCGCCATCATAAGAGGCTTTGCCTCAGCTGGCAAAGGCCTCACTCCCCTTAACTGCCGACGCCTTGCAGTCATGGCAATTCTCCCCATGCTCACATACGGCGCCTCCGTACTCATCCCCACCGCCCGGGCACTCAAAAGGCTCGAAACCACCTGGCACTCAGTTCTCAGATGGGTCACCAACTGTTTCAGATCAACCCCCCTCTCCATCCTACAAGCCGAAACATCCTTCCCTCCGCTCGCCCTCTACATCCCCTCCCTACGCATAAGATATGCCGCCAGAATCCAGGCCGCATCCCCCGCATACAATCCAGTCACCGCACGCACCCCAGACTCCTTCCATACTCTCTCCACCTACAGGGAGACCTCCCACCGACATCTACTAAGAGGCCGCCCAAACCCCCCCGTCAACTGGAACTCAACCAGAAGAGGGGTAGCCCGCCTCCCCATAGATGACCTCTGCCACACACTACTCACCAACTCCCCCACTTTCTCCCAGAATCCCAACTCCATCCACCCAGGCCTGGCGCTCTCCATTAAAAGAGACACCCTGCAAATCTGGAGGAATAACCCCCTCCCAGACTACTATAAGTTCCCAATCAGCATACGCCCCCACCCCCACCTCAAACTCGACCGCTTTATCGCAGGTCGCATATGCCAAATGCGCGCCCACAAAAGCTACCTAGCGGCTCACCCAACATGGATGACCCAGGACCTCCCCCCAACATGCCCCAGATGCCTTCTCGAAGACGAAGACCTCGAACATGCCATCCTACGCTGCCCTGAGCGCAGCCCCCAGAGGGCAACCCACATACCCTTCGCAAAGTCTCTAGATGACCTCTGGTCACCTCCCGCCTCACTAGCAGCCCTCTCCTCATACATAAGAGCCACTAAAACCGGGTACCCCCCACAAATGGGCCCGCCCATGTCGCCACCTTATGATTTATCCTCAGACTCCGACCTCACCTCTATCTCATCAAGCTCGGCTTAGGCCACCCACGCCCACACCAGGCCCAAGAACCCGGCCACAAGCGTCACGACCCCGACTCCTAAAAGGGTCCGCTTCCCTGCTCTCTTTTGTTCTCTTCTCTCTTATGTCCTGCCATAGTTTGCATAGCTGGTACAAAAGTACATCGCCCCAGATGGGGACGTCCGAATTTCTTAGCTTGCTGGCCAGTAGGAGGATTGCCAGGGTCTCTTCTCAACGTCTGCTTCATGTATACTGATAGTTCTCCTTTGTCCCGTTTACTTCGGCGGTTTGGTAGGGGAGGGGTGTTGTTCACGCCATAGCCTAGGCTCCATGCGATATTCTTGTACCCAGAAATAAATGAAACACTGATTTAAAAAAAATAAAAAAAAAAAATCGTCCGAAAACCCCTCTTTTTGAGGCACGGAAATTCAAAATACCTGAATCCATGTGCCAGGCTGTTGTAGGTACATAATGATAGATGGATCGTACAATGGCCTCAAGGGCCCATTTCTATAATACGTGTCTGAGGAGCTTTCCAAAGTCTTCAATACTTTGCGCTCATCTTCAACTAGATTTTATTCCTCTGTACCTGATGTTTTCGTTTGAATACTAGGTATCGCAATATAAAATCACACGTGTATTTTTCAATATGGGTTTGACTAGGGCTCTCCGCTCAGAATGCTGCCATGGAGAAATCTAGTTGGTTTTCATAACTTTCATGCTAAGTAATCAGATGCTGAAAGATCTAGAGCTCTTGATTGTTTGAAAAGTACTGAGCTCCATTGACGGAAAGTCCACTCGGCCGCTTCGGGATCCGGTAGCACGCAGCCGTAAGATGCTTTTTTCTTTCGTGGGGGAAGCATGCACCTACATACAGACCCTGCCCCACAGCATCACCCACCACCTGTATTTCACCTGTGCCTGGAAGTTAACTTTTTGGATCGAGCGAGTTTGATCCATCCGATATTTCAATTCTAATACATAGGTGTTCCCGGATGCCTTTTCTTAGATGTTTTTTCAAAAGTAGATATAAAGAAGGCCAATTCCTTTCTCGAGTCCTCATAATTTGTCGAGTCAACTACTTTCTATATCATATCATACCTATAAGATTAGTACATACCTGTCTTCCGTGAATATTAAAGAAGACAAATCAGCCAGAAAAGAAGCCAAACCGCCAGCACCAGTATCAATGTCGGGCAGAATCAGGTCATTGTTCCAGGGGTTTCGTTCTGTCGACGTAAAAGAAAAGTATAGTAGTCCCCCTGCGACAGGGTTTTCAAGCGGCAACGGCTCCAAGCATGACTCTTCAGTCATTAGACAACTTCCTCCCACTCCTCCAGAAGAAAACGACCACAGTCAACTAAAAGCCTTCGATCTCCAACCACAACACATCAACCAGAAGAACATACCTATCCGCTCCTTTAGTAGCACCGAAAGAAACGAATCAAACACAAACATGTCTGACGCTCGTGAAATTGAGGTCAATGGCCTACACTACACCCTTTCCAACGCTCTGAGTCTCTCAGCATCCCCAAATTCAACTTTCCACTCTCCCTCTGGATCTTACATGTCCCGTATGACCTCTCGTCCCTCAGCAAAGCAATTGAAACCTTTCAACACCCAAGACATCAAGATCCTCCTCCTCGAGAACGTCAACGTTGCTGCTAGGGAGATTCTTGAGTCTCAAGGCTATCAGGTCGAGTTCCACAAGGCTTCGTTGCCTGAGGACGAGCTCATTGAGAAGATCCGGTTAGTCATTGTTCTCTCCCCCCCACCTCATAAATTTTTTTTCTGCTTTGTCCTTGGATTCCGTCATGACCCTGGTCATTTTTTGTGTCACCCCGCAACCCTTATCGATAACCGGAAAAACATAGACCCTGTCGTCGCTAACCTTTCTGTCGTAGTGATGTTCACGTAATTGGTATTCGCTCAAAAACCAAGCTCTCGGAGAAGGTCTTGCGGGAGGCAAAGAACCTTCTTGTCATTGGATGCTTCTGCATTGGGACCAACCAGGTCGATCTCGAGTTTGCTGCAAAGCATGGAGTTACTGTTTTCAACTCTCCCTTTAGTAACTCTAGAAGTGTCGCCGAGCTCGTCATCGCCGAAATCATTGTTTTGGCCAGACAGCTAGGAGACCGCTCTAATGAGATGCACAATGGTACCTGGAACAAGGTCAGCAACAAGTGCTGGGAAATTCGTGGAAAAACTCTCGGTACGTTATACCTTAACAATCCTTGCACAGTTAATACCAATATATGCGCGAAACTGACTTGACAAAGGTATAATCGGGTACGGCCATATTGGATCTCAGCTCTCAGTCCTGAGCGAGGCTATGGGAATGAAGGTTATCTACTACGATGTTGTCCCTCTCATGGCCCTCGGATCAGCCAAGCAAGTCCCTACTCTTAAGGACCTTCTCAAACAGGCCGATTTTGTCACCCTCCATGTCCCGGAGCTCCCGGAAACCAAGAACTTGATCGGCGCCGAACAGCTGTCATACATGAAGAACGGAAGCTACCTAATCAATGCCAGCCGTGGTAGTGTTGTTGACATTCCCGCTTTGGTGTAAGTCCTTCGCTAGAATATCCGGTAATAATTTTTACTAAGAGTTCGCGTAGTGAGGCTATGCGTTCTGGACACATCGCTGGTGCCGCTCTTGATGTCTACCCTTCAGAGCCAGCAGCAAACGGAGACTACTTTAACTCAACCCTTAACACTTGGGGTGACGACTTGAGATCACTCAAGAACCTTATTCTTTCTCCCCACATTGGTGGTTCAACCGAGGAGGCCCAGAGTGCAATTGGTGTTGAGGTTGGTGAGGCATTGGTCCGCTACATCAACGATGGAAGCACAATTGGTAAGCAGTCCTACCTTTCATTTTATATGCTTTGCTAAAATAACGATCTTCAGGAGCTGTAAACATGCCTGAAGTCAGCTTGCGTGGGCTCACTCTGGCCGAGGAGAACCATGTTCGTGTTATCTTCATCCACAGCAACAGGCCCGGTGTTTTGCGACAAGTCAATTCGATTCTCGGAGACCACAACGTGGATAAACAGATGTCTGACAGTCGTGGTGATGTTGCGTACTTGATGGCTGATATCAGTGACGTCAACGCTGGTGACATCAAGAGCTTATACGAGAACTTAGAGAGCTTGAGCTGTAAGTGCCTTATATCTAGGACTATAATAGATTTACTTCGGATGCATAGCTAACCTCCTCTACAGCTAAAATAATGACCAGAGTGCTTTATTAGACGCTTGTGATTTTCACATTTTCCAAGGGTTTCTTGGGTTATTAGAAAGAAACCCAGTATATACATGACTGGGGAGAAAAGGTTGGGAGTGGTTTCATTTGTTTGGGTTTTATTTTTGTTTTGGCTATTTAGGTGTATAACCTATCAAAGTGCTCATTTATCTGACACTTCTTTGCTGCCTACTGTTTCAACAAACATGGGCTTTGGTTTTCTTATAAATTTTCGGGGCGGAATCCATAACCATGGTTCTATGCATTTTCGGGCGTTCGATTCAACTTGGTGGAAAATGGGAACCACGTGTGTGGGCGGATGGAAAACATGTTTCACTAGTGTTGAGTTTGTGTGAGCAGTGAGAAGAAATATAAAGGCCTTCAACACGGTAACAAATTGTAAACATAATCCTGTTAGCAAATGGGTACGATCTTTCTTGCATGATAGGGATGGTTAGAGGAGAATGAGTTTACAGCTTCATTGGCTTTTGTTGGCGAGGCATGGGCTGCATGGTGTTTTCTGTCGCCTTTGATACTGGTGAAATATTTTCACTGCAGGACAAACTTGGTTCTCAGCTCTATCCTTATCAATCAATCTCTTACAAACAAAAAGGCACGCGAGCACTAATATGACGTTCTCTAGACCTGTCTCCCGATCTATCGACACTCAAGATTGTTTGTGTTCTCTTTAGTCATAACCGGACCATGGGCCAGGTAAATCCATGGCTATTCATCCGCTGTATTTGCCTTATTACTGGGCAGTAGTTCACTCAAGTTTCTTCGTGTCGCCCATTCAAAGACTAAAAAACATCCCGGAAAAGTAAATACGAGGCTGCAACCCAATAGGTTCCACCGTTTCATGGGCTCGGCGATCTGGGCTCTACCTACCCCGCCATCGGTCGGTGCGACTTTAACATGTCTCACCGAGAGGCTCCGTACTTACCGGCTCGTTGAACTTGCTGATATTTCTCCGAACTGAAATGGACTGGCGGGCACCGACAGCCCTGTCCTGTCGTACGTGGCAATAGTAAGGGTAAGTGCTTAACCACTATGGACCGGGAGTGGGTAAGCTGTTGCTTGTGAAGAAGTCGGCGCCTGTTGACTGAACTGGTATTGTATTTCCTAGCTGGGGACTCAGGGGAAGTAATGCATTGTACATGATGCAGTGCATGAGGCGATGGTAGGCTCTGTCGCTTCTGGGGTTTCCTGCTCTACTCGATATTAATCATTGAGTGGTGGGCAGATTAATTAAGCATTAATACCGTACAATTAAGTATGTACAGCCCAAGTTGGGGAATGGGGGTTTATCGGATCTTCGGAGCCGGAGATGCCTTTGGGTACTAATTGCATGAAGTACATGTTACAGACAGAGTATCCGTACCGTCGTACCAGGGCTTCTGGGGGATTAGACTTTGTCCTTTTCATCCGGGGGGGGGGGGGGTGCAGACTTATGGAATAGCTAGAGTCGGTCTGAACTTGTTGGTTTGGGAGCTGTTGGTGATGACTCGTAGTGCATGTGAGGATCCTCCCGGTGAGCGCTAACATCATTTAGTTACGACTTTAAGGGCCATGAGGCATAAAAACCATTTCGGTCTTCTCTCTTGACGCTTAAGGCTCAAGACATCGAGTTCGAGCTTCATGATGACTCATATTTTGTGTGACTCAGAGTATATTCGCCTTCGAGTGATAATCCATGATTAATAAATGAACAGAACAGAAACTTACAACCATATCCTAGGTGCGCTACACGTTTGGGGATATCAGAAGCCCGCAGATACAAAAAACCTATAGACGCTTAACTTGTATAGCCATAACCGGCACAAGTTGAAACAATCATGTCTTGAGCGTGTACCTTGATTTGAATGCTCTTGGATATTGCTAATTCGGCGCTATAAGCAAGACGGCATTGAGAAAGCAAGTCAGGCCGGCGCGTATTATCCTTATGGCTTGGGACATATTAAGGTTCGAGTGTGTCAACTCTACAAACAATAAGGTCTCCCATACGAAAAATCCATTTTAATTCCGAAGTTGACACACCTACGCCCCCAATGTGTCTCGAGCCATATTCTATCAGTAAACTCCTAGCTCCAAAATTAGTGTTAATAGCATGGCTTTATCAACAGATCTTATTATCTTATAGAATAACAAAAGGCTAGTGGGCAATAATATTGATTATCATACTAGGGAACGCAGACAACAGGCATCCGGAGAAATGATGGCCCACAAGATATGCTATTGGTATGATGCGGGCAAGACACAAAAGGTCCGAGTAAGATTAGAATGGGTGAAGGGACATAGCAGGATAAAAGGAAACTCGGAAGCAGATAAAGCAGCGAAAGAAGCCATCAATAAAGGGAGAATCGATAACGAATGGTTCGTTTCTTTTGCGTTCCTAGAAAGAGAGTCCCGAGAGGAATCAATAAGAGAATGGGAGGTGGAGTGGGAGCCGAGCGCGAACAAGGAGAAAGCGGTATTCAAACCGTCGCAGCGAAACACCATTAAATTTGACGATACGGACCGGACGGACAGAGTTATTATCAGCCAGCTCAGGACAGGTCATATAGCCATCAACAGATACCTAAAAAGAATAGGAAAGATCGAGAGTGCCGAATGCGAATGCGGCAAAGGTGTAACGGGGGCAGCCTATCTATGTATCGCTAGAATCCAATAGAATAGATGCGGCCGTGCAAGATAGAAATCAGGTGCAGATTTATTCAAAGATACTATCGCTAGAACTCAATAATCTTTAAGGGCTCTGCTACCGATAATGGTCTACTCGAAGATGAGGATCAGGTCAGTTGGGCGGGAATGATCCTGAGTACTTATACTCCAAAGGATTTTATTCTCTGCTCCTACTTCCTTACTAAGTTCCGGTGCTGCCTCCTAGTGGAAGGGAAGCAATACCATCGCTACCCCGCTTCTCTCTAAGCGTCAGCGAGTGCTTCCGATTCCGAAGGCAACCACCCTTAGTCAAAGCCTTTGTAACACCTGCAGCCTTTGTTGCCACACAACTAGGGGCCTGCATGAATGAGCTGCCGCTCAGGTGTAAGCTTAATCATTGCTGTAGAGCTTCCGCTTATTGTAGACTTCCCAGGCATAGTCTCTTCCACTGCTGGCGGACTTCCAATGCTCAGAGGATGTGGAGGATCGCTGAGCACTCAGAGCTTCACTCTGGCTAGCCTTCTAATCATTGGCGAGGCACAGACTCGTCAGTCATTGCTCCCATGAGTAGATCCTCTTCCTAGCGCTCAGAATGTAGTTACTCTGACAGTTGGTAGCTAACCACACTGCCGGTACTTGCATGTCACTGTGCAACTGGCTTCTAACAATAACCCTCAGCATGTAACCGGGCCCTGTGTGTACTCATACACCAGACAGTTGAAATGGCTCCGTTACACTACTCCCCTCTTCCAGGATCTTGGTCTCCGAGATCTATAATCTATATCTATTTATCTATGCAATACTATATGATAAGGAAACTCCTTTGGTGTGGAAGGGGACGAGAATGTTAAAGGAAATGCTACTGGCCTAGAGCCCTCTTATCTCTGGGCTTCTTAGGGTACCTCATATGGAAATCCCGGAGGGCTTCTTCAGCACTCTTCCTGAGATGTTCCCAGGGCTCCCATGTAGCGTCCTCATTCTCATATCCTTCCCACAGCACCAGGTATTCCACCCTTCTCCTCTTCTTATTGACTCGGCTATCAGCTACTTCCCGGACGATCCAGTTTTGTTCTCCTGCAATCTCCTCAGGTTCCGGTGGGGGAACTCTTCTCTCAGGATCTATTGGTGCTCTATAGGGTTCTAGGTGTAACGGAGCCATTTCAACTGTCTGGTGTATGAGTACACACAGGGCCCGGTTACATGCTGAGAGTTATTGTTAGAAGCCAGTTGCACAGTGACATGCAAGTACCGGCAGTGTGGTTAGCTACCTACTGTCAGAGTAACTACATTCTGAGCGCTAGGAAGAGGATCTACTCATGGGAGCAATGACTGACGAGTCTGTGCCTCGCCAATGATTAGAAGGCTAGCCAGAGTGAAGCTCTGAGTGCTCAGCGATCCTCCACATCCTCTGAGCATTGGAAGTCCGCCAGCAGTGGAAGAGACTATGCCTGGGAAGTCTACAATAAGCGGAAGCTCTACAGCAATGATTAAGCTTACACCTGAGCGGCAGCTCATTCATGCAGGCCCCTAGTTGTGTGGCAACAAAGGCTGCAGGTGTTACAAAAGCTTTGACTAAGGGTGGTTGCCTTCGGAATCGGAAGCACTCGCTGACGTTTAGAGAGAAGCGGGGTAGCGATGGTATTGCTTCCTTCCACTAGGAGGCAGCACCGGAACTTAGTAAGGAAGTAGGAGCAGAGAATAGAATCCTTTGGAGTATAAGTACTCAGGATCATTCCCGCCCAACTGACCTGATCCTCATCTTGTGGTAGACCATTATCGGTAGCAGAGCCCTTAAAGATTATTGAGTTCTAGCGATAGTATCTTTGAATAAATCTGCACCTGATTTCTATCTTGCACGGCCGCATCTATTCTATTGGATTCTAGCGATACATAGATAGGCTGCCCCCGTTACAGATAATCTTTAGTGCTCAAATCACCTTCAGATTATTCTTTCCTCTCACAACATGTCCGCCCTCCCGGCTCCCCAAGCACCTCTTCAGATTGAATGGCAACCGGCAGCTTTAGAATTCCAAGAGGGACAGACACAGTTGATCCACAATCCCAGGACGGCGCTCCAGTCCTACATCCCCGGATGTGAGCCCACCTGGCAAGATACCGACGAAGTCACCCTACAGAACTTCTTTGCGGAATTGCAGCGCTACCTGAAGCACAGCCTGCAACAGGAAGTCATCAAGGCCGGCAATGCCCTAGCCTTGGTGCAAGAAAGACAAGAAGCTGAGGCAGTCCTGCTCCGGAATGCCTTCGGCTATATGCAAGAACAAGTCTCCTCAGTCCAGGCACAACTCCAGAGTTATGCTCAGAGAGATGACTTAGGAGCGGATGAGATGG